GTGTGTGTGTGTGTGTGTGTGGGTAGGGTGGGGGTCTAGAATCTTCATAGCTCCTGGTATCGATATTGACGTATATTACTGCGTTTTGCTGATGGCCTATCCCTCATTGCTGATACCCTGTTGATATACAGAGGAGGCTTACCATTCTTCATAGATATTGTTCATAATGGAACATGAAGGTTAATATAAAGAAATCCAAAACAGTAATCTTCAAGAATGGGATTATTCCGCCAAGGACGGGGATACTATGAAGGAAATTACATAGAAGTTTTAAATCACTATAAATACTTGTATTTGTATTTTTAAACCGACTCAAACAGAAAATATGTTGAACAACAGTAGCACAACAAGTTTCTAAAGCTTGAATGTCATCAAATATCTCCAAACTAGGCCATAAAAATAATAAAATGGCATTTAAGATTGATTTTGTAAGTAGTTAATTATGTACTGGTGTTATAACTTATAACGACAAATGCTTTGACTGGAGTCGGATACGTTGTCGTTATGAATTCTACACTTATTATATAAACTTATCATGATGGTATCAAGCATTGGTTAAAATTATTGTGAATGGATAACTCTAGATTACTAAAATTATGTAATAATATACTCTATGATCAGGATTTACATAATCGAATAAATTGGTGCACCAATGTATGTAAAACTGTTCAAATATGGATTTTGTCATGTTTGGAGTCATCCTCGGTATCCCCACTGGTCTCGTTCCGTTCTGCTACGCTAGCGCCTGGGTCAATTATCGGAATATTCCCGAATTCAAATTATCCTCCTTTGATGATTGTATTGGCCCACGTAGGTTGTTTCTACGAACCAATCAAAATTCAAATTACATACCAGGCTTCGAGTCAGTTTTTATGTTCGAACGACTTTCTTAGGGTGGCTGCAGACGAAAATTTGTTCCTGACGGGCATCCAAGCCTTGCAACATTGTTGGCACTACTGTGTACACCTCGAAGGGGACTGTGTAGAAAAAAAATGAAACCATCTACTTTGTACAGGTCTTTCACGGATAGGCTTAGAACTTTTCAGCCAGCCCTCGTAAATCTCTGATCTATAACACCTCTTTCCACATTCTACATGTGGAAATTTTAGAAGTGTGCCATTAGCAGTCATTGTGATCACTTAGTTTGATTTCGTTTAAATTTCGTGTTTTATATGTAAATATCTAAACACAAAGCTGTTGATGACGCAAGTAGTCAGCTGCAGGTTACAGTAACGATTCGTCTGCTTCTGGACGTTTCTTTGGACTGTCAATGATACCGATATGCAGCTATGAATACAGATCTGTAAATTATGTAAAAACAATTTATAAGGCACAGTTTCACATTGATTTGTGCCTCAATTTTTGCCTGTTTTAGATGTTGAGGATCAAAAGATCTTGGTTGAATTCGATTTTGGCGCAACTGCTTGGGTTATGGGCTTACATACACAAAGCGTAACAAAGTTTGTGAGCTTTCTATTGTGGTGAATTTGGAACATGGGATCACGAATTCCATCGATAATCAGCATTCCGTAACCTTCAGTTTCGGAGTTAAGCCCTATCGAAAACCTGGTGGAAGCGATAGGGACTACTGTTTTAACCGTATTTTTTTTTCAAATTTGGCGTGAAGCTTTGGGGTCATGAGACCACAAACCCCATCGACAATCAGCGTTCGTAACCTTCCGTTCTCGAGTTACTAAACTTTTCCAAAAACCTTGTGAACGCGATATACAGGTTCATATTTGATGTGAGGCATTGGGACAAAGAGAGGGTAAGCCTTGTTGATTTCCAAGCTCCCTGTCCATCGGCTTATCGCGTAGGCCTATGCCAAACTCTTGTTTGCTTATAAAAGTGTAAGCGTGGTGATAATTCAGGAAGTTTTTATTCCACTTCTGGTGAGCCTTTGTTTTGGGTACCACTAATAGTAACAATAAATCAAGCTGGCACACTATAAGAAACTTTCTAGACGACTGTGCGTAATCCTGAATGTGCCAGGAAATAATTGATAAGATTCAAAGAGCCAACGAAACATATTTAGAAATGTGCATGGAGAAGCGGTACTAGATGCCTGTGTTGTATAGATAGTATTCGCGTTGTTCATTTAAATAGAAGGGGAAAATAACTGAATACATAAATAAAGTATAAGATTTCATTATCCACAAATGTAATGTTACTTTTTTTTTAGGGTCTGCGAACACTGGTGAAACATTTCATATGGGTGTGGGAATTAAAAAAACTGGGAACTGCTGCTGTCAATTACCATCCAAGCACATGTATTACTACATGTACATTAGCTTTTTCAGACAGGAAATTATGCCCTTCCTTTACAGGAAATATGCCTTTCCGTGTATCTCTGTGTTGGTGCGCCAGTATTGGTGCATTTTTTCTCGAATTTCCATGCAACGGTTTTGTTGGAAAATTAGATCCGCTATACTAACAAATTGCTATATTCATTAATTCTTTCAATTCATTCAGTATATGGCCACTACTGTTTTGTTGAAAAATTAGATCCACTATACTAAAAGTAAAAAATTGCTATGTTCATTAATTCTTTCAATTCACTCAGTACATGGCCACAACTGTAATTCGATTTCTGTATTCTGGATTGTGTGGTAGCTTTGTGTATATCTATGAAACGAGACGAAATTCTCCCGTTGTTGTTTTAGCTCATAATAATATGTCGATTTAGTATTTGAAACCATTTTTGTGTGGTATGTAGCACGTTTTTTGTACTAAAAATACACTGAGAAAAAGACGATTACACGAAGCACACTGATCCGCAGTGAATATTCGCTTGGCCGAAATAAAAGACGGATGTCGCATTAGCTCTGTAAAACAGATTGGATACGAAGGTGTGGTGTACATAATCCCAATAACAAGCGGGGTTCAGAATAAACTGCTCGCACTGTAGGATTATACTGTTTGTTTGGTTAAATACACTTTACTCCAATAAACGGGTGCATACAGAATGTACATTTTATCAGAAATGCCCCATTGCTTATCGAAGTTTTCTTCATAAGAAATGACGTAGTTTAATAACCTGGTTCTGATACTACAAAATCTTACATTGCCGTAATACAAGTTATGCACGCTCCTTCCCTATCTCCAACCTCGTGGGTTTTCTCCGGGTCCTCCGGTTTCCTCCCACTGCTAAAGACCCCTACGCGCAAACGAATTATGTAAATAAAATTAAACTGTATGTTAGTCCCGAAATGACCTAGTTTGTGTCGAGTGGACGTTAAACCCCATTTCTCTCTCTCTCTCTCTCCTTCCCTATCTATATACTGCGGTCGAGGTGTACGATTTTGCCATAAAAGTTGAAAGGCTATATTCTTAACCAAAAGTGAAATATTAAACACAATGTATCAAATAACGAAACATGGTATTTATTAATGCGATATGACAAATATTCGGATCGTGCGCCTGATCATACTTGACGGATGGCTTCATATATCTATCTATATATATATTTGTGACTGTCGTTTGTCTGTCTGTCTGTCTGTCTGTTCGGGGTTGGCGGCTACACTAGGTCTGCCCCGAGTCTGAAATTTGGGGTATAGGGGTAGCTCGGACCGGGGAGTAACAAGGGCCAGGTGGCGTTAGTCTACCACTACCGGTTTCGGAGTTATGACCCCCGAGCGAAGTCGGTCTGTTCGGGGTTGGCGGCTACACTAGGTCTGCCCCGAGTATGAAATTTGGGGTATAGGGGTAGCTCGGACCGAGGAGTAACACAGGCCTGGTGGCGTTAGTGTACCACTTCCGGTTTCGGAGTTATGACCCCCGAGCGAAGTTCGGGGTTGGCGGCTACATCTGCCCCGAGTCTGAAATTTGGGGTATAGGGATAGCTCGGACCGGGGAGTAACATAGGCCAGGTGGCGTTAGTCTACCACTTCCGGTTTCGGAGTTATGACCCCCGAGCGAAGCCGGTCTGTTCGGGGTTGGCGGCTACACTAGGTCTGCCCCGAGTCCGAAATTTGGGGTATAGGGTAGCACGTACGGACCGGGGAGTAACATAGGCTAGGTGGCGTTAGTCTACCACTTCCGGTTTCGGAGTTATGACCCCGAGCAAAGTCTGTCTGTTCGGGGTTGGCCGCTACACTAGGTCTGCCCCGAGTCTGAAATTTGGGGTATAGGGGTAGCTCGGACCGGGGAGTAACATAGGCCAGGTGGCGTTAGTCTACCACTCCCGGTTTCGGAGTTATGACCCCCGAGCGAAGCCGGTCTGTTCGGGGTTGGCGGCTACACTAGGTCTGCCCCGAGTCTGAAATTTGGGGTATAGGGGTAGCTCGGACCGGGGAGTAACATAGGCCAGGTGGCGTTAGTCTACCACTTCCAGTTTCGGAGTTATGATCCCCGAGCGAAGCCGGGTATCCTGCTAGTATACCCATAATTCAGGGTGTTCGCCCCCACGCACCCCCACCCCCCACCCCTGCAAATGTTGTTTTTTTTACAAAATTGGTTGTATGATTATTTGGTAAATGTCTTCGGTCACCATATAAAGAAATTAGATAATGTTCATGTTTCATGATCCGCGCATTCTCTCACTCCTTCCTTACCGCGGTAATGTCCATAAAATTTCGACCCGCCTGCTCTTGTTACGCTAAATAAAATTAAGGTCCGAGTCAGTTCACGAATATTTTTACCAAAGTCAAGCTAAAAATAAATAACATTTGGTACGAAATTTGATTTCAACGTGTTTTTATTTTGATTTATTGATCGGCGATACACAATGCGTCACGTGATATTGTGTTGTGGCTGTTGCAAAGCGATGAGTTACAGTTACTTTAGATAGTTTACTCTGAACTTTTCCTCATTCTCTTGTTATTTTACAAAATAAAGCACGCATTTCATGTCGATGAATTATTTTATTTTTGTATCAGAATGCTTTAGAAGGGGTACGTAAGCTCACATTGCTTACAAAAGGTCAAACATAATAGTTCATTGTTTCAAGACTTGATCAGTGAAATAGACAATTTACTGTAACGCGGGCGGGTAATGGAACAGCCTAGGAAAATGGCGACCATGTGATTTGCGACACCGGCGGTTTTCATATAATGGCGTTAGCTTGCAGCTAAAGTAAGCCTTACCATTAACTGCATTATAAATAAAACACAGAAAGATAACGTGTAGACTGGATAGAAAAGGTAATTATACAAAAGAAACGATGCAATGGTAGTAAATACGTGTGGCACAATCTTGGCGGCTAAGGAAAAAGTAATACGGTACGCTAATAATAGCAGCGCGTGCGTAGTGTAGTCCTTACGCCACCGTGTAGGTGATTATGAAAAATTGCATGTTGCCTGTTATTGAATAAAATAAACATTTGAACATTACCTTTATATCATCTTGCTATAACGGTTTCTGCTAGGCACAGATGATAACTTCTGATAAGGGTTGCAGGATTGAAATATTGCTGATGTAGCATGACTAGCCTGCACGTTATTTATCAATTTTAATGGCATTTAATATTATACAGTCACAGTGCTAGATGGACAAAAAAATGTTCAAATGACAATTTTGAAAATAGACAGATATTCATGCACAATAATACCATTCCTTCACCTCTGGAGGAGATCGAAGGTGTCCACCCATATATAGCCTGCACATAAAATATGTCAGAATTCAAATGTTGCTGCCATTGCATATTTTCCTCCCATCACATTTAAAGGGTTTATGGCTTAATTGTGAGGAAATTTGAAATAGACGAAATGTTCTAAAACCACATACTATGTAATATGAATGTACAGTATGTAAAGTGATTTAAATTCAGGTTTTGAAGAAAGATAATTGTAATTTCTAATCAATTATATGTTCGGTGAAATATATGTGAACAGTTCAAATTGAATGTCTGTTGTTTACGCTGCATGGGCCCATTCTACATGTTTTTTATTATTATTTTGTCTAAAATGTTGGATATGAGGGTCCTATATTTTCATGGCAAGATAACATCAATATTGATTGAATTTGACCCATATTGAATCCCGATTCGTGTTTTTAATTTTGAACATTGTGGAAAATATTGAGTTAGATCCTTTAAACTTAAAGTAGTTAAGTCTCTAACTCAATATCATCCAAAGTCTTCGACATTGAAAACATATTGTTTGTCAATTTAAATCAACATTGATGTTGTGATCTTACCGGGAAAAGATGGGCTTCTGATATCCAATATTTATTTTAAGACAAAATAAACGTTTTACCATTGTTACACGAATCATGAACCATAATAGGGGTTTCAGGTCACATGATTTTAGCGTGAAATCTGAAAGCCAGCGGCTGAAATATAGCCTACTTCAATCTACGATTCTGAATTAATATTTTATTTAAATGTATTACTAGCAATTGTATTGTAATAGTTTGATATCAGTCTCAATATCTGCAAAGATTCAGGCTCAAATATTATTGAAATGTAAGCGAAATTACCATTTATGTACAGGAGATGCTCGCGGGAAAATCACGCTCTGATGTTACACGGCCAGGGATTTTCCATTGCTACGGCTCACTTCATTGGTTAATCCGCACCTTAGTTTCTGGGGGATTTCAACATAGAACCAATCAAACGATAGATGATATTTTTGTGATTATTATGATGCGTGATACCCCGAGCTACGACAATTACAGCCGTAGAAATCGGGATCTCTGTTTTGCTGACTGAAATTTGTTACATTTCGACTAAATATTGCCTACTTTTTTTGTGGTATCATCCCGATTATAAATATTTGACATATGGCGAACATAACTGATTTGAAATTAGTTCGAGTAAAAACAGAAATGAAATGAAATGAAATGGGGTTTAACGTCCTACTGTTCTGCTCCTAAACTGGGCTAATGAAGACGGCCATACGTCATACAGTGTGCTATCAGGGAAATTTTGCCCGGGCAGCAGCGCTACGGCCTACTTTTATATCGAATTCCATCTGCCAAGGGATCTTTTACATGCACGTTAATATGTACACGGGACCTCGGTTTTTCATCCCATCTGAACGACTAGACAGCTCTCCCTGTCAGGCCCTCTGTCCTGCGAGTAAAAATGGAAACGATTGAATGTAAATCAGTTTATATACATTCATATTACATTATTATAATTTATATGCATTGCGACTCATTTGTGTCAATTCCTAGGTCCCAAATTCAGCGATTTAGCTCCTTTAAGTGTTACTATGCTTTTGTTTCCAACTGACCAAAGTATTGTTATTGAAGAGATGTTAAACCCAATTTCATTCGTTTTAAATATATATGTAGATTTCCCTGTACTGTGGAATTATGGCCCTGGTGATTTTCACAATTTCGAGGGACATTCCTATTTTTTGTAAAGAAAGAAAAAATTGATTTATATGTCTAGCATAATATGATATAACAGTTAGGGTGGGCTAGGGACTAATAAGCAATTCGATGGTCAAGACTTTGAAAGTCTGATAATCAGTTTCAACTAGGGTTGCAAAATTCCCTGGAATTTTCAAACATGGTAAATTTCCGGGGCATTTTCCGGGAATTTTGGGAATTTTCAATTTAGTGTCATAAATTGAAACCTGTGTCGCTATTAATGAGTTGCAAGTGACAGTAATATTTTAATAACTAAAAGATACAAAACATATTATCTGATATGTCTTATATACTAAAATCAAATAACTAGTTCTGTAAAATTGTTCATACACAGGTTACACATTCTATAATTAATGCTCAAAGTCGGGTAACTCTGCCATTTCATCATTATCTTCGAAATCATTATCTACATCATATCATCATCGGTGGATAAAACTGAGATTTCAGGTTCAGGTGAATACTCATGAATATCTGAAATTTCTGTGCTGGAAGGATCGTTGTCAGCTTCGAAGAGTTTCAAATTAGATCTTATACAGACCAATTTTTCAACATGTTCATTTGTTAATCTGTTTCTAACTTTTGTATGAGTTGTACCGAACAGAGACCAAATACGTTCTGATGCTGCTGATGAAGGTGGTATTGCAAGAATTAATGAAGCTATACTCGGAACAACTTCTGATGCACACAGTCCCTTCCACCAAGTTGATGTAGAAATATATTTTGATGATGCCTAAATACTTTCTCCTTTCCACAATCCATCTTTTGACCGATATTTAGCCAAACTAGCCATTACTTTGCCTTCATTAAAGGCTCAATACCACTCTTGTTGTAACTGAATAATATGTCCTAATCTTTATTCTGGTCAACAAATTGTACTATTTTACAATATTCCAAGTAATTGACGATACAAATTTCATCTTAACACACCTTATTTAAAAATTTTGAAAAATCCAACATAATGGTTTAAACCTTTTCAAATGAAACTTCGATTTACAAATATTTTCGAACCCTCTGGACAAGTAAAATAGGATGTAATGGATAATTTACACAACAGGTAGGACACTTAAACATCTAGTACTTAGATAGAGATATTATTTATTTTCTGGAGCTTTCAAGCCAGCAAGAGTGTTATTGTCCCTTTAAGTTTGTAGTGTGATGCAAGGGAACTAATGAATCCATATTCTTTATCAATTTCCATATCACCAAGAGGTAAAGCATTTCGGTAACAGTTGGGATCTAGCATATAGGCAGCGGCATGAATAGGCTTAAGGCAAAATTGCTTTCTTTTCTGTAAAAATCCAAGTACGGGCTTCTCTTCAGTTTTTGTAAGTGGAGATTGCTGGACATTTTCAGTAAGTTTTGTTTCCAATTCATTGAAAATTCTAAACACATCAGATAGAATTGCTTTATCTCCTTCTACTTCAGTTATTGCTTGAGCTATTGGTTCTATCAACTTTAAAGTGTTTGTTAACCTTATCCAAAATATATCGTTATGATAACTTATTAAATAAGGTGTGTTAAGATGAAATTTGTATCGTCAATTACTTGGAATATTGTAAAATAGTACAATTTGTTGACCAGAATAAAGATTGGGACATATTATTCAGTTACAACAAGAGTAGTATTGAACCTTTAATAGTTTATATAGATGAAAGAAAAAGGAAATTCCAGTAAATAATTATAATTTTAGTATTTTTCAGTTCTAAAAATAGATTTGAAAATTCCCAACACAGAAAATTCCCGGAAAGTATCCCTGGAAGCTTTCCAAAATTCCCGGAAAGTTTCCCACCCTTTGCATCAACCTTTAAGATGTCATTTGAGTTGTGAACAAATCATTATTTTACTTTTTTTTTATAAACAATATTTTTATTCAGGATGTCTGATTGGGATTGGGGAACAGGCTTAGCCTACATGTATGTAAAACCCCTCTCCCTAAGGTTTTACTTTACTTGACACTTGGTACTTTATTTTTGTTGCCGTGCGGGTGGCTATTTAAACATTATACAAGACTCATAGAGGCCATAAAAAAGAAAGAGTAAACAGTGCTAAATCCTTACCGGTGTACATTATTTTTTTAATCCTTATTCACATATTGTCCGAGAGTTCAGGTCTCTCAATGCATTTTTTAAGAATATCATTTCTGCGCATGTGCACACGATTAACGTACACTGGAATTCTGCAAATTCTATTCAGTGGTTCAAGGGTAGATGGGTCATCAAATTTGATAAGTGTAATTCTTTATACTGGTACCACTTTGGGAAATTTGAAGTGTCGCAAGTCACACATTTGGCTATACTTTGATCACTGTCGCTGATCGTGAAATAGTTCCAAATCTTAGTACTTTTTTTATATGCCCACATGGAAATGTGGTCGTATATTGCCGTCACCCCCTCCATATGTCCGTTGTGCACAATTTCTTGTGAACACTTTACACACTACATTATCATCTGATTGTGTTGAAATTAATATTTGTTGTTTAGCCTACATTAGTAACATGAAGAAGCCTGTTTAATTTCAATAATACTTTGTGTAACCTTGTGATCGCTCTATCAACAAAAGTTATCATCCAATCTGAATGAAATCTATATGTATAGTGAAAAGAAGAATCCTATTGAATTTCTGTTAATTTCATCTGGAGTTATGGCCCTCGCATCAATTTGTTGAACCTTGTGAAAGCTCTAAAGACAGAAGTTATCATCCGATCTGTATGAAATTTATACCCATTATTTAAATCAGGGAAATGAGGGAAGCCTATGGAATTCCAACAATTTCCGTTAATTTCTTATAAAGTTATGACCCTTGTTTCAGTTTGAAAGTTATCATCTAATCTGTATGAAATTTATATGCATCATTAAAATTAGTGAAATAAGGAATCCTATTGAATTTCAGCAATTTACGTGAACGCTCCAACAACGAAAGTTATCATTCGATCTGTATGAAAATGAAATTGATACGCATCATGTAGATTATTGAAACACAGAAGCCTATTGAATTTCGGCAATTTCCAATAATTACTTCTAGGGTGATTACATTTGTTTAACTTTGTTAAACCTTGTTACCGGTGGGATGACGAAATTTATTATACGATATATGCATGAAATTTATATGCATCATGTAAATTAGTGAAATGCAGAATCCTATTGAATTTCAGCAATTCGGTCAATTACTTCTAAAGTTATTGCCCTTGTTTTACTTTGTTGAACCTTGTGAACATTCGAATGGCAGAAGTTATTATCCCATCTGTATGAAATTTATATGCATTATTTGAATTAATGAAATGAAAAAGCCAGTTGAATTTCAACAATTTATGTAAATTACTTCTGAGTTAAGGCCCTTGTTTTAGTTTGTCAAACCTTGTGAACCCGCCGTTTCCCCAACTAACAATGACTTGTATCTACATCGATTATCATGACATTCAGGGCATTTTAATATATATTAGTTTTATATCCACCACTCTCAGTAATTGTATCTGTATCGGCTGATATGTTTCGCTGTCAAAGTCAATATCTAATATTGGTAAAACTGATAGTTTCCATATCTAATCATCACTACATTGTAACTCTGATCCTAATTGAGGTACGATGTTTAAACTTGGTTCAAATTGACATTACCATTTGGTGAATACACCAGTACATGTACCGGTACTTACGGTTCATTCAAATTAGGTACCATAGTAGAAAAACCTAGTCAAAATAAATATACTGGTAATTGTATTTCATACAATTGTGTACTGTGTATTGAATATATCGAATAAATAGGTCTATAATTGGCGTTTACTTGAATTTAAATTTACAATTAAAACCATGATTCTATTTCTAGATTGTTAAAATGGATAAGAGTGAGAGAAAGCCAAATACCTCTGCCAAAAATGAAAAAGATGATCCTGAAGTTGAAGAAGAAACTGAGACTCAAGCTAGTTCTTCTGTGAAAAGCAAGGGATCAGCAAAGGTACTGTATACATCCATAATTTTTTATGAACATTCACATCATATGTATTATTAACATTATTTAATTTATATTCGTCAGATGAATAAGACTATAAAACTGGGAAGAGTTATGATTATTTCCTTTCGGTTAGGGCTCTTGTTTTTATACGCTTGCCGTCGCCCCCGTCCATCGTCCACAATTTCTTGTGAACGCTCTAACGCCAAAAGTTATCATCCGATCTTTCTGAAATTTACATGCATTATTTAAATTAGTGAAACAAAGAAGCCTATTGAATTTCAGCAATTTCCATTTATTACGTCTAGAGTTATGGCCCTTGTTTCACTTTATTGAACCTTGTGAACGCTCTAACGCCAAAAGTTATCATTCAATCTTTGTGAAATTTATATGCATTATTAAGATTACTGAAACGAAGAAGCCTATTGAATTTCGTCAATTTCCGTTTATAACGTCTAGAGTTATGGCCCTTGTTTCACTTTATTGATCCTTGTGAACGCTCTCACGTCAAAAGTTATCATCCAATCTTTCTGAAATTATATGCATTATTTAGATTGCTGAAACAAAGAAGCATATTGAATTTCAGCAATTCCTGTTTATTCTGTCTAGAGTTATGGCCCTTGTTTCACTTTATTGATCCTTGTGAACGCTCTCACGTCAAAAGTTATCATCCGATCTTTCTGAGATTTATATGCATTATTTAGATTGCTGAAACGAAGAAGCTTATTGAATTTCAGCAATACCCGTTTATTACGTCTAGAGTTATGGCCCTTGTTTCACTTTATTGATCCATTTGAACGCTCTCACGTCAAAAGTTATCATCCGATCTTTGTGAAATTTATATGCATTATTTAGGTTACTAAAATGAAGAAGCCTATTGAATTTCAGCAATTTCCGTTTTGGCCCTTGTTTCACTTTATTGATCCTTGTGAACGCTCCAACGCCAAAAGTTATCATTCTATCTTTGTGAAATTTATATGCATTATTTAGATTAGTGAAACGGAGAAGCCTATTGAATTTCAGCAATTTCCGTTTATTACGTCTCGAGTTATGGCGCTTGTTTCACTTTATTGATCCTTGTGAACGCTCTAACGCAAAAAATTATCACCCGATCTTTGTGAAATTGATATGCATGATTTAAATTAGTGAAACGAAAAAGCCTATTGAATTTCAGCAATTTACAATAATTACTTCTAGAGTTATTGCTCTTGTTTCACTTTGTTAAACCTTGTTTATGCTCGATTGATAATAGTTATCATCCGATATGTATGAAATTTATATGCATCATTTAAATTTGTGAAACAGATATATTGAATTTCAGCAATTTCCGTCAATAATTTCTAGAGTTATGGCGATTGTGAACGTTTGAATGACAAATGTGATCTGTATGAAATTTATATGCATAAATTAATAAAACGAAAAAGCCTGTCAAATTTCAATAATTTCTGTAGATTACTTCCAGAGTTAAGACACTTGCTTCAATTTGTAGAACCTTGTAAACCCTCAAACGACAAAATTTATAATCTGATCTGTATGGAACTGTCTTATAAAGGCTCCCAATTACCTACAAAGGAATAAATATGCGACAACCCTTGACGACCGCTCGGACGATTTAGCTGCTGTGGGCGTATGTTTTGTTGCCTGGCAACCTATCTTTTCAATGATACTTAACTGTGTACAAATTATTGGTTTTGTTGTCCTGTATTGCACCATAAACTATCTGTTTTGGATTTTTATTTAGAAAAGAAAGGTTTATCAGATGGATCCAAGATCACCATTAAAACGTCAGAGGATAAAAATAGAACGATTCCAATCTCCTATGACGGAAGACGCAAATACCAAACCTAAAATGATCAAAGAAGAAATAATTGTTCTGTATAAAAAGGGAACATTCATCGCTGTGAGAGGAGCTGAAGGTAATTTTATTGGAGTGATGTTATAATATGAAATAGAAATCTATAAGTAGCGTGTAGCATCCCAAATTTCTCTCATAAAGCGACCAATTTCGTTTTATGCGAACTCTTCAGGCTTAAGTGAGATTGTGCGGCTGTTCCCTTTATATTGTCGTTAGTGACCGGAGCACAATAGAAGTCTCAAGTGGACCAGAGCAATTCTGTAATTATGTGTGAATAGAAAATCGACTAAAGAATTGCCATTATAAAAATGCTTATTTGCAGAGGCTCTAAGCCCCCAACCCAAATGACTATGTCATTTAAAATAAATGTTAGGTTATAATAAGTCGAGTAGCATAAAAAGTAAACTTTTCATTGAGAAACCAGGGTCTGTCGCAGTAGCCGATTCAAAAACAGTGATCTTCGTAAAGATAAAGTATGATATTAAGGCCACAACAATCTTACCAGTACCAATTTCAAGTAGAGACTGTTGTTATTATGTAATTGAACACAAAGTATGAAATCAGTAGAAACCAATTTAAGTTTGAAATGGTCTTGAACTTTGTCAGAATTGAAGGATTTTGGACTAGAATTTTTTTTTTTTTTAATGGAAGTAATTTTGCTTATAACTTTTATTCTGACATGTTAGGACTTTAACATTACTATACATCTATTTTTTAGAATCATTCTACTTATGCAGAAGTCTACAAAATGTCCAAAACACCACAAAAAGGTTCCGCATCCAATGGTTGTCTCTCGATCAAGAACCCAATATTTATAAGCTGGATTACATTGATCAGACAGAGTTTGCTTGTGTGTTAACAAATGTTAAAATGGATCGTATAGCTAAAGACACTTACCGTTTACCACATAATGAACAAGTTCAAGCACAGAAAGTTTTAGAAAAGGCAATCAAAGTGGAGAATGGATTGCCTATAGAAGATGAAGAAATGGTTGTTGAAGATCATGAGGAAGAAGATGACTATGAAGAAGAAGAAGAGGAGGAAGAGAGTTAGTATTATTATATGTACATTTAACAAGGTTATAAATACCTTTATACACCCACAATCATTAACTTATCTTAAAGATACATTATGGGAGATTAGATAAAGGGCGGGCAGTTCTTACAATAATAGTTACAACTAGATAATGTATAGGGAATTTGCTGAAAATTTCAGTCAAATTGATCTACTCTGAACCGAGAATTTAGTGATTGAATTTTGGGCCTAGCCTCGATCATCATTACTAAAGTCGGTACGATAAAATAGATAGTCTCAGTTAACCATTTCTTGATTTAATCATGAATGAGCGTAGAGCAACAGATCAGATCCTAATCCAGTAAATATGACAGGCTAGCGATAACACAGAGAGTTGATTATGGTCTAGATAAGTTAATTATTAATTTAGATAACATTTCAGGCCTAAAGAGGCCTGCAATAGGCAGATTTAGCTCTTGCATAGTGTATGTTTAGATTTGTATTGGTTGTCTATCAATACAATTGAAAAGATGAATGTTACTAATTTTCAACTGTATTTGATAACTTTGTTATGAAATCCTGTTAGCCCTTTGGATTCTCAAATTATGGAAACTGACCTTTTTGAAATGGTGATGTGTTTTTTACCTTACTACTGTTTAAAGGATTTTACTGAATACAATTTTGTAGATGCTGACTTGCTAGCCTGGAGGTTGGGTGTTCGATCCCTGCATTGGCCGAGAAAGTGCAAAATTTCTCTCTTTTAGCACACTGTATGGCATATGCCTGTCTTCATTAGCCCAGTTCGGAGCAGAACAGTAGGATGTTAAACCCCATTTCATTTCATTTTCGTAATATCATGTCACTCATGAAACATAAACAGTAGACAATGAAACAATTTTGGCGATTGTTTCCAAGTGGTTCAGTGCTGTATTTTGAGATGAAGTATGGTAAAACATTCGTACATTTGATTTGCTTGCTTAAACCCACTTTTTTGAACAGCTACCATGTCAAGTCAGGGGCTGCTCCTTTAAGTTCGATATCTTGTGAACACTCTACAGACTACATTTATCAACCGATTGTTTTGAAATTGATATATGTTGTTTGCATTAGTGAGATGAAGAAGCCTATTTAATTTCAATAACTTCTGTTAATTTCTTCTGGAGTTATGGCCCTTGTTTCACTTTGTTGCACCTTGTGAACGCTCTAACGACAAAAGTTATCAACCGATTAATTAAATCTAGAGTTATGGCCCTTGATTCACTTTGTTGAATGTTGTGAACGCTCTAATGACAAAAGTTATCAACCGATCTGTATGAAATTGATATGCATCATTTGAATTAGTGAAGTGAAGAAGCCTATTGAATTTCAACAATTTCCGTTAATTTCTTCTGGAGTTATGGCCCTTGTTTCACTTTGTTGCACCTTGTGAACGCTCTAACGACAAAAGTTATCAACCGATCTGTATTAAATTTATATGCATCATTTAAATTAGTAAAACAAAGAAGCCTATTGAATTTCGGCAATTTCCGTTAATTACATCTAGAGTTTTGGCCCTTGTTTCACTTTGTTGAATATTGTGAACGCTCTAATGACAACAGTTATCATCCGATCTGTTTGAAATTGATATGCATCATTTAAATTAGTGAAATGAAGTAGCCTATTGAATTTCAGCAATTTCCGTTAATTACGCTGTGAGTTATGGCCCTTGTTTCACTTTTTTGTACCTTGTAAATGCTCTAACGACAAAAGTTATTATCCGATCTGTATGAAATTTATATGTATCATTTAAATTAGTAAAACGAACAAGCCTATTGAGTTTCAGTTATCACCTAAATTAGTGAAATGAAGACAAACAAGCCTATTGAATGTCAGCAATTTCCATCAATTACGTCTAGAGTTATGGCCCTTGATTTACTTTGTTGAACTTTGTGAACTTTCGAACAACAAAAGTTATCATCCGATCTGTATGAAATTCATATGCATTATTTGAATTAGTAACACGAAAAAAGCCTGTCGAATTTGAACAATTTCTGTAGATTGCTTCCAGAGTTACGGCCCTTGTTTTAGATTTTAGAACCTTGTCAACCTTCAAACAACGGAAATTATAATGTGATCTGTATGAAATTGTCTATTAAATTCCCCTAATTACCTACAAAAGAATAAATATGAGACAACCCATGTCGACTGCTCGGACGATTTAGCTGCTGTGGGCGTATGTTTTGTTGCCTGGCAACCTACCTTTCCTCTTTTTCAAAAACTTATCCTAATTTCATCTGATTTTACAGATTGGGAAGATGTTGAAACACCAGCCAAGAGACGAAAAACTGCAGCAAAAGGTATTCTTCTATAGCCATATATGTATATTAACTTTTCAGTCTTTTCAAACCTGGAAACAAATGCTACTGGTGTTTTGTGATCATTTTTTATACGCCCACATGGAAATGTGGTCGTATATTGCCGTCACCCCCGTCCATCCGTCCGTCCATCCATCGTCCGTCCATCGTCCACAATTTCTTGTGAACACTCTACAGACTACATTTATCATCTGATTGTTTTGATATTGATATATGTTGTTTGCATTAGTGAGATGAAGAAGCCTCTTTAATTTCAAAAACTTCGTTAATGTCGTCTGGAGTTATGGCCCTTGTTTCACTTTATTGCACCTTGTGAACGCTCTAACGACAAATGTTATCAACCGATTAATTACATCTAGAGTTATGGCCCTTGTTTCACTTTGTTGAATGTTGTGAACGCTCTAATGACAAAAGTTATCAACCGATCTGTATGAAATTGATATGCATCATTTGAATTAGTGAAATGAAGAAGCCTATTGAATTTCAACAATTTCCGTTAATTTCTTCTGGAGTTATGGTCCTTGTTTCACTTTGTTGCACCTTGTGAACGCTCTAACGACAAAAGTTATCAACCGATCTGTATGAAATTTATATGCATCATTTAAATTAGTAAAACAAAGAAGCCTATTGAATTTCCGTTAATTACATCTAGAGTTATGGCCCTTGTTTCACTTTGTTGAATCTTGTGAACGCTCTAATGACAACAGTTATCATCCGATCTGTTTGAAATTGATATGCATCATTTAAATTGGTGAAACGAAGAATCATATTGAATTTCAGCAATTTCCTTTAATTACGTCGTGAGTTATGGCCCTTGTTTCACTTTTTTGTACCTTGTGAATGCTCTAACGAGAAAAGTTATTATCCGATCTGTATGAAATTTATATGCATCATTTAGATTAGTAAAACAAAGAAGCTTATTGAATTTCAGCAATTTCCGATAATTACATCTAGAGTTATGGCCCTTGTTTCACTTTTTTGCTTCTTGTATACGCTCTAACAACAAAAGTTATCAACCGATCTGTATGAAATTTATATGCATCATTTAAATTAGTACAACAAAGAAGCCTATTGAATTTCAGCAATTTCTGTTAATTACATCTAGAGTTATGGCCCTTGTTTCACTTTGTTGAATCTTGTGAACGCTCTAATGATAACAGTTATCATCCGATCTGTTTGAAATTGATATGCATCATTTAAATTAGTGAAACGAAGAATCATATTGAATTTCAGCAATTTCCTTTAATTACGCCGTGAGTTACAGTATGGCCCTTGTTTCACTTTGTTGTACCTTGTTTATGCTCTAACGACAAAAGTTATTATCCGATCTGTATGAAATTTATATGCATCATTTAGATTAGTAAAACAAAGAAGCTTATGGAATTTCAGCAATTTCCGTTAATTACAGCTAGAGTTATGGCCCTTGTCTCACTTTGTTGAATCATTTGAACGCTCTAATGACAACACGTATCATCCGATCTGTTTGAAATTGATATGCATCATTTAAATTAGTGCAACGAAGATGCCTATTGAATTTCAACAATTTCCGTTAATTACACCGTGAGTAATGGCCCTTTTTTCACTTTGTTGTACCTTGTGAATGCTTTAACAACAAAATTATTATCCGATCTGTATGAAATTTATAGGTATTGTTTAAATTAGTAAAACGAACAAGCCTATTGAGTTTCAGCAAATTTCCGTTAATTACATCTAGAGTTATGGCCCTTGTTTCACATTGTTGAATCTTGTGAACGCTTGAACGACAAAAGTTATCACCTAATCTGTATGAAATTCATATGCATCATTTGAATTAGTGAAATGAAGAAGCCTATTGAATGTTAGCAATTTCTGTCAATTACTTCTAGAGTTATGGCCCTTGTTTTACTTTGTTGAACCTTGTGAACGTTCGAACGACAAAAGTTATCATCCGATCTGTATGAAATTGATATGTATTATTTGAATTAGTAAAATGAAAAAGTCTGTCGAATTTCAATAATTTCTGTAGATTACTTCCAGAGTTACAGCTCTTGTTTTAGTTTTTAGAACCTTGTGAACCCTCAAACGACGAAAATTATAATGTCATCTGTATGAAATTGTCCATTAAATGCCCCCTAATTACCTACAAAAGAACAAATATACGACAACTCTTGTCGACTGCTCGGACGATTTAGCTGCTGTGGGCATATGTTTAGTTGCCTGGCAACCTATCTTTGCCATTATAAAATGGTTGAAAAATTGAGACCATTGTTTGCTATACATCTACATTTCTGGTTATTAACAGTTGTGTATTACGAATAATATACAGATAAATTGACCTTTCCTGTACCTTCCAAACATGCGTGATGTTTATGACCTTGCCATAAAACGTTATAATATAGTAAATGTCAAACTTTATTTTACATATTGTACTTCTTTTCAATGGGGGACTAGTCTTATCTTCTAAATTTGAAAGGGCTTAGAGGTCCAGTTATACATGTATATAGGGGAGTTGGATGGCCGAATGGTTAGCATGTGCGTGCTGTATCATAAGACCTGCCATTGAGTCAAACAGTGTGGTTTCGAATCCCCGGTTGTACGTGACAAGGAGTAGGGTTGCCTGTCCAGCCTCGTGGGTTTTCTCCAAGTCCTCCGGTTTCCTCCCACTGCTAAAGACCCCTACACGCAAGCAAATTATTGAAATAAAACTAAACCATATGTTAGTCCCGAAATGACCTAGTTTGTGTCAAGTGGACGTTAATCCCCATTTCTCTCTCTATACATGTATATAGGCATATTGAAAAAGTTTGAACTGATTATTTGCAAGTTTTGAAATGATTATACATCATTAATCCTATACAGTATTAACACAACAGTCATCAGACTAGAAATAAATCACCATTCTTTTGATTAAAGGTAAAAGTGAAAATGGTACAAGTAAATCAAGAGGGAAAAGGAGTGCGGATAAATCAAAAGGAAAAACAAAATCTCAGAAAGACAAAGGTACGTTTGTATTTTAGGTATGAATGTTGTCTGTTTAATGTCATTCAACTTTGAAAGTAAGATCTGGAATAGAAGTATAAAAAAGAATTTTGATTTACTATGGATTCTTGGGTCGATTTTAGTTTAACCCATTTAACCCTTGAGCCAATTAACACATTAGCTATCTTATCCCTAGAGCTCGTTAAATTCAGCAAGGCTCACCTCCCTAAGCCAATTACTGGATTATAGTTAATCCTAATACCCTTTATAAAATTGCAAATAACTAAAAGAATATTTTCTATACAAATGAAATACTCAGCTACAAAAATGTACAGATTGTCGTGTTCTTTCCAATCGTATAAAATTCAGTTGTCTAAAGTATCAATTATATTACTATAAATAATAGTGAAAAGTCAGTTCCACTAAAATTATGACTTTTCTCTGTCATAATGTTAAAATAATGTGAACAGATATCCCCTAAGAAGTTTTTGTTTTAAAATAGAACACAAATATAGTCCCTCGCATTGGCAGCAGTGTTCAAAGTAGATATAAATATAACTTTTAAAAAGAAATATCACTCAAAATGACCGTTACTTCATCACTATCAGCATTTCTGCTTTGGGTCACTTTGGATATTTGACAGGAATTGATGTCTTCTCTGCTTCATTGTGTTGAAAATAAAAATATATAGTTGAAATATTTGACAATATAATATTCATCTATGTAGCTTCTATTAAATTCTATAAGTTTTGATTCAATTTAGCTTTCCAAAGTCTAGAATTATTCGTCGTAATTTTTATGTCCAAGATGGCGGACGACACGCTTGATCTCGGCTGGACTATTAGTATGCTTCGCATCTTGATGTAAAAAAAAAAAATAGTTTATTTCTTTTATTTCTTCAACATTATCATATTTAACGATATGATTGGCAGTAAATCATAAAAAATCTGATGTTTCACACTCATCATACATTTATTAGCTGTAAGTGACATGTGAAAATATTGGAATAATGCCAAAGTCATTGATATGGTGTTAATTTTCACCTCTGACCTATTACGTAAATACTGGAAGATCCTTTGTTGAACCTTAGGTTTTTTATTAGATGATTAGCGAATATAACATTTCTTTTCATTGGGTGTTTTATTTTTATTACTCAATCACTATTGATTTAAGCAATAAAAACAGTAGAAATCTGTTGATTGATCTGGCGCTTTTGTTAGCTAATGCGATGCCAGGTGTGATTGGTATAATGACAGGGTGCGCACTGATTCGCTCTTGGCAAAATTGGGTTGAAAATTTAAATTCTGCTAGCATCAAAGTAGTAATTTATATCTTTTAGGTAAAAAAGTTCAAGAAAAGAAGAAAAAAGTAGTAGAAAAGAAGGAAAGGAAAAAGGGGCCAGATAGAAATCTTAAGCCTAATCCTAAAATTAAAGTATTAGAAAAGGATCCTTTCTTTGAAACTAAGTAAGTATATAAACAACTTATTATTTCCATTGGGATAAATGTGATAGTGATATCTCAAGATTAGTTCATTACCGAGGTATGGATGTAGATGTATAAACATGATTTCATTTCAACCTTCTGTAGTCCATTCAAATTGAAATTAATGCTCAACAGACATGCACATTTATTAAGTTTTGTTTCTTCTAAAAATAATATTTTATAATAAATTATTTATTTCACAAGTATGCAATTTTATAAAAGTAAATAACTCATTACTGTATTGTGCAGTCCTTAATTTGAACCGACTGGAATTGAAATTTACCAACTTGTGAATTAAATTTTGGTATTCCTATATTTGTATTAGGTATCTTGATGCATAGCATGAATATTAATATAAGCCATAGGTCATGATAAATGCTATTTATCTGTATGTTGTGAAGATGTCAATGTCACCATATGGTAATGATCTTGGTAATTTGGGAGATCATGGTCAATACAATTGAACTGATTGTCGGGAAGGTGTTAGATAGCCTGTTGCTGCTCTACACCGTGACGGTCAATACTCATTTCAAGACTCAAATCGACTGAATTAAAATGTTTACAATGCATTGAAAAATTTATCATTCATTACATGGCATTAATTATAACCATTTCTTTTACTTCAGAGAAAAGGTTCCATTTATTTCCATTCCAGTTTATAGTAAATTAGTGATTAGAGCTGCTGTACTAAATGATGTAGGAATGTTAAAAGATCTGGTAAAGGATGAAAAAACGTACAAGGTGAGAACACATTTCATTTCTTTGAAATGGACATTAAGAAAGAATGTGAACAACAGTTCAGAGAAATAGTAGAGTTCTCTCCTGTACTTGTTTCCAATTAATGAAATTTAGTGAACTCAATACAGGATTATAGGAAAGAGTTCTCAACAGAAGTGGGAGTCAAGGCGTGCTAACATGGAGATCCAGGGCTCGATCCCGTCATAGGCTGAGAAAGTTCATTGGGATGTAGTGCCCTCATAGCACACTGTATAGTGTATGCCCCTCTTCATTAGTCTAGCCGGAGCAGATAGGGGTGATGATAAACCCTATTTCATCTCATTTCTGTGTGCATAAATAAGAATTTGGTACAAGTCATTTAACACTTTGCTGGCGGTGGGCCTATTAGGGAGTCTGACAATTTGCTATTTATGATTTTCTGTGAGTTTCTTAGATCTTAAAGGATTCCAGAGTGCTAAAGAATTAAGTTAATCACTAAATGACCTTGTTGTGTAGGTCCAGAAATAAGAGTGAGAAGGATAAACTTTGAATTAGTTTGTTTCACTTCCCTTTTACAGGTTTATTATCCAAGAAGTGTTGGTAATACCATGATAGCATTAAACTATGCTTTAATAAATGGTAATAAAGAAATGATAAAGATACTGTTAGATGAGACGTTTCCACCTAAAGATAGAAAAGTTATTAAAATTAAACCACCACAACCGTTATTAAGTAGCATTGACACTGGAGAGTAAGTACATTTGTAGTTTATTTTCAACAAAATATAACCCAAGGAAATGTTTAATAATTTTAATTAGTATGTGATGAAGAACTGCACGCCAAAACCTGTGAAAGACGCACACACATAACCAGTAATAAAAATAAAAGTCCTATCAAATCAAGTGAATAAATGATCAGATATTTGCCTCTTAATGATAAGACAAGCCACATAATTCACATCTATTTCAAAATATGTGTTAAAACACCTTCATGAAGAATGGACTGGTTTGTAGTGAAACATTAATTATTATTACTGTATCTGTTTTTGAGATATAAGGATGGTGGTTTGAAATCAGTTGAAACTATTGTAAACTTTATTAGAACATCAGAAAAATAAATAATGTTTTATATAACACTCTTGTTGGCTGTAAATACAAATAGGAGCCACAGTGGGTCAGTGAGTAAGACATTGGCTCGCTAACCTGAAGGTTTCGTGTTGAATCCCTTGTTAGGATGTAAAATTGAGGACTCATGTTTAAGAATTAGAAACTCTTGACAGTTGGAATTCAATATAAGAGTAGGCGGTAGTGCCGCTGTCCGGGCAGAATTTCCCTAATAGCATACTGTATGGTGTATGCCCGTCTCCATTTGCCCAGTCGGTTCAGAATAGTAGGAAGTTAAACGCCATTTCATTTCATCGTTAAAAACAAATAATATGATGATTGTATTTGTACTGTTATAGGTATAATCCAGTAAACCTAGGTATCCGTAGTATAAGAAAGCTGAATGTCAGCCGAGGTAGTAGACAAGGGAATGATGCATTTTCAGAGGTAATGTCTTGTCTAGCATTTTTATGTAACCAAATTATAGATTTTTGGTTTCAACACATTAGCTTTGGTTTAATTAGGTGAAAATATGAATAAAAATACCCTTACGGTTAAATTAATTTAACATAGTTTGATCATCCATTAAGTTGGCAATGACCATCCATAATCAGGAGGCTCAGTGAGGATGATGCTGACTCTAATTTCAAGGTTTTGAGCTTGTTCCCGGTGTTGACCAAGAAAGTTCCTAAGGATTTTCCGGTGTGGTTCCCCTTGTTAGTGATGCAGGACAGAGGGCTCGACAGGGACATCTTTCTGACACTCGGATGGGACAACAAACTGAGGTCTTGTGTATGCATTGGCGTACACGTAAAAGATCCCTTGGTAGTTGGAATTTGATTTTAAGATTAAGGCCGTGTTGAATTGATTCCTTGTTTCTCCTCGCCCGCGCGCTTAGGTCGAGGACCCCGAAAATCGTGCGCTTATGTTTTTAACACAAAAAAAAATATTCAAAAAATTACGTTAATAACATCTAAAAAAAATTCTACCAAACATCAGAAGTCAATTCTCGTTGTTTATTCCTCGTTACGAACTAAATAAGTAAGTGCAGGGGGGGGGGGGGGCGCACTACACGCAAAACAAAAATCTACAAGATAAACCTTCGGACAAGACAGAAAATAGGCATTGCACCGAATAAACCAATATCAAATCAAGTGAATGGATCCGGTTGATAATACACATGTAGGGGCCCGCATACTATGGAATAAGTTACACTGTATATGATTGGATGAATTTCGCAAAATGGCGCGTGTAGCAGTCATTTCGGCTAATGAGAAAGCATATTATAAATTGTAAGACAGTCGCTAATATTCAACCGGGAACCTGAATAATCAATTTTTTCATTTGCTAAAATTATAACACATGTCATTATTATTCAAGTATTACCCAATCATATCTTGTGTAATAAATAACGCACGCCTTACAAAATGGTGAGCTATGCGGGGACATAGGTAAATTCGCGTACCGGTCGGCCTGATTTATTGATGTTCAAGGAAATAATAGTGGTCCCGTTCATTCGTTTCTGGAGTTTAACGAACGAACGGAACCATGGACCTTATAATTATAAGGTCCATTATCATAAAATAAGGTCCATGACGGGACCACTATTATTTCCTTGAACATCAATAAATTAACGAACGAACGGGACCACTATTATTTCCTTGAACATCAATAAATTAAGCCGACCGGTACGCGAATTTACTTATCTCGACTCGACTTTGGTGTGTATTCCCAGCACTTTCACGTTCGATGATATTGTCGAAACCATCTATAACTCAACAAGCGAATCAAATTTCGTCTAACTGGAATGTTTCCATTGTATTGTAACACAAGAATACGGAAAATTTATATCAAAATATGGTTATTTCATTTTTTAAAAAGTTAAACAAAGAAGCCACTTGTTACCAAATTTTAGTTTATTAAATTTATTTAATTAAATATTATCTGTGTTTTTATTCTAACCAATAATATAACTAGATTATTTATAATATTATTAAAAATGGTACACAACCCTCAGACTATATAGGTATTATGCCAGACCACTTTGTGTTTTGAAACCCACTTTGTGTTGTGTTTACCGCACTACCGCACATGATTGCCAGAGTGGTGGCAGGAGAAACAAGGAATCAATTCAACACGGCCTAAGTTGTAGTGCCGCTGTCGGGGGGAAAATTTGATATAAGCGCCAGTGTCAGGGCATAAAATCCCCTCATCATTAACCCAGTTGGAGCAGAACAGTAGGATGTTAAACCCCATTTCATTGCATTTCATTTTTTTTTTTTTTTAATCTTAAAGGACACACATGAACCCGATAGTGTTTGTCCTTCTGATTTTGTGCAAGAATTGATCAACCTTGGATGTGACTGGGATATAGTAGATTGTTTTATATCATCACAACCGAAATCATCAGATTTTGATAGAGAAGAACTGGTAAGTTTAGAGAAATAGAATTTATGAGAGGTTGTGTATAATATAGATTAAAGGTAATCAATATGAGCTTGTGGAGTGAAGGACAGATGTGTTTTTTCTCCATTCTGAAAATGAATGAATGACAGTCCAAAAATGGATTCATTTAAATGACTTAAAATTCAAATAATATCAGAACTCGAAAAGACAAGTAGGTAAAACCTTGTATGGCTTTCTATACAAGCCAGCATGATATTAAAGCGTTAATTATCTTATTAAATAGATATTACAGATAGGAATATTACTGGATAATGTGGAGGATGCTGTAATTCATGGGCAGCATAAATTGGCAGGCTTTGTAAAACATTGTATGGCTTTATATACAAGCCAACATAATATTAAAGCTTTATTTATCATATTAAATATATATATATTGCAGTTAGGAATATTACTGGATAATGTGGAAGATGCTGTTATTCATGGACAGCGTAAATTGGCAGCCAGACTGGTTGAAGAAGCTGAAAAACGAGGTGGATTAGGTTTTAATTTCTTACATAAAGAAGTATTGAGTTTTGATAAAGAAGACTTGAGACAGAATGTCATGGCAATATCTGTGAGGAAAAAGCCACTTGAAAATTCTGGGGTGAGATAATTCATTTCAAATTTTGAAAGCGTAGAAACTTTGCACTATGTTCTTGATGTTTACACATATAGTTGTAACTTTTATCAGCAATTTTATAAAAACAAAAATAACTTACAACTTATTTTTTTATGCCATCTAAGAATAGACTATTAGAGTGGAATACAAGGGAAAAATCTGAAGAGAGGAAATCATTCTGACTTATGGAGTTGATTTCCTCTCTGTGTTGAATTAAATCTTTTATTGAGTTTAAGTCATCTTGTTTACTAATAATGTTCTTGATATATTTCATTATTTTTTAAGGTCAACTTATAGAATATAATTGATATTTTTTCCATTAAATACATCTATTTGTTATTTGGTATGGGTGACCATGGTGGCTCAATGTGTAAGACTTGGCTTGATCCTTGTGTTGACCGAAAAAGTTCATCAGGATTTTCTGATGTGGTTCTCTCTTGTCATTTGTGCAGGACAGAGGACCTGAAAGGGGACAACAGATAGTCATTCTAGTGGGTCAAAAAACTGAGGTCCTGTGTAGATAGTGATGTGCACATTAAATACCCTTGGCAGTTGGAATTTGATATAAGAGGGCAAAATTTCCCTCATAGAGCGCTGTATGGCCTGAATGACCGTCTACAATAGACCAGTTGGAATAGAACTGTAGGACATTAAATCCCATTTTATTTCATATGATTTTTATTTCGGTATGTAATGTTTGTATTGTTTGTATAATGATAACCCGTATATTGTTTTTATTTGTTAGATAACACCTGTCCATTGTGCTGCCATCAACCCAAACATCAAATATTTATCTCGTCTGATCTCAATAGAACCTGATATTAATGTCATGGATAAAAACACCAGACGCCCCATCCACTTTGCAGCAGCATGTGAAGGAACCGAGCCCCTTGAATTTTTGTTGAAAAGGTTAGTAGTCTATGTTATGAAGAATATAAAAACATCTTTATTCACCCATAATTAAATGTGGTTGTATTGCTGTCACACATGACCACAATCCTCAATTTCTTGTGAACCTTTTGACTACTTTATCATCTGATATTTTTATACATGTTGATAGTACATGTCCTTAAAGAGTCTCAACCTTTTATGGACTGCTCGGACGTCTTATCAGCCATGTGTGTATATTTTGTAATCAGGAATGTCAGCGATTAATTGGAAATTGCAAAATGAGTGTGTCCTTGTCTGTTATTAAAATGTTTCACAAAGTAATTTAATAAAGCATTAGGATGTTGGCCATCCTCGTCCTTGACTTTCTCGCCTGTCCAACCTCGTGGGTTTTCTCCGGGTCCTCCGGTTTCCTCCCACTGCTAAAGACCCCTATGCGCAAGCGAATTATTGAAATAAAATTAAACCATATGTTAGTCCCGAAATGACCTAGTTTGTGTCGAGTGGACGTTAAACCCCATTTCTCTCTCTCTCTCCTTGACTTTCAGGGTCACTTCATCTGGTATCCTTTTCTGCTATGTATTCTACAATATTCATAGTGTATCAATGTTTATTTACAAGTTTTTAATTGATAGATGCAGTAAATGTTAATTTAGTATTTATTTTTATTTTTTTTTTTAAGGGGAGCCAGCCCTTTTGAGATTATGAAGGATGGAAAAACAGCACTTCATTGTGCGTGTGTTGCAGGAAGGTCAGCTAATGTAGATCTTCTCATAAAGAAAGGCACAGAATTAGGTGGGTATTGATGTTTTTGTTTTACAATTGATAAGGTAGCATTGGGATCACTGATTGACAAACAAATGTACAACAAGAAATTGTTAGTTATTTGATCTTAATTGAAAAGTGATATATATTTGTCCTGAACTAAAGACGAAGGGCAAAAAGCATTAAAATGACTAGACGACATTGATTTTAGTGGAAAAGTGTTGATTAATATACATGTAGTGTGATGTATTGATTTGAATTGTAAAGTGGATATCTGTCTACATTTAAAGGTTAGGTCCACAGATAAAACTTATGTTAAGATACAGCTGATTTTGTGATCCACTGTCGACAGTTTAAGCCAAAAACATAATTAAGACCGGAAAGCACACAATAGTTATCAATAGTATAATTTGTGGATATATGTACTGGTATATTTGTTGAATTTGGTTACTATATTGATGTTATATTTTATTGTCCCCCATCTTTTGAAGAAAGCAGGGGACTATTAAAATGAGTCTGTCTGTCTGTCCGTCACAATGCCTTGACGGAGCTAGAAGATGAGTTTTGGTTGATGCTTTGGGACACGATGATTTTAGTTCTAATTAAGTGAGAATGATGAATCTTGGTGTATAGTTTCATTACATCAATATCCTGACTAAGTTCGATAATACACATTTTCTGCTGAGGCTTTGTAGCGATAAGCAATTTGATTGGTCAAGACTTTGAAAAATAACAACTCTGTTTTTATACGCCCATATTGAAATGTGGTAGTATATTATTGTCGCCCCCGGGCGTCCGGCTGGCGTCCACTAGGAACGTGTGTCATCTGTTTATTTTGGGATTTCGGCGGGGAACATCAGCCTCACTGTTGGCTTTTTAATAATTACTCTTTACTCAAAATAATTAACTGATGATGATGTATCTTGTTCCTGTAGAATCAAGTTTCGGTCAAGATGCGATGGTGTCCAAGTGGGGAAATGGTGGAATTGATCGTCCATGTCAATCTACATATACTGCTTTACACCTTGCTGTTACTCATTTCCATACAGTAAGCTTATCTTTATTATAAAATTGATTTTCAAATACTGCTTAATTTATTTGTTTATAAGCTTGATAAAGACTTGTGAAATCGTTTTGAAGTAATTGTTATCCATAAATAGTGTTTTAATTGATAAGTACATGATTTATTATTTCAGGAAGTAGTAAGAGTATTAATTAAACATGGTGCTAATCTCAATCGACAATTGTCAGCCGGAAAAGAAAAGTTATCTGCTTTAATGATAGCAGCCGCTACTGGACAGTTAGAAATTGTACGAATGCTTGTACAAGCTGGAGCTACTGTTGAATTATTAGGTAAATTTTGTTCATGTTCTCTCTTTTCGGATTATAGTTTATATAACTTCTGACATGAATGCAATCTATGTGTGCAACTATTGTTATATTTGGATCCTTGGATCCAGGGGTGTTAAACAATTACATGTGGGTGAAATTAAAAATCAACCATTCTCCATGTTAGAATTCCAATCTCTTTCTTTTAATTACTCAAAAAGGCAGAAGAACTACCACATAAGGGAGACAACTTGTGTCTGCTTAAACATAAGGTTTCAGACCACAATGATATAGAATATACCTCAATATGACACGATATATGGACCAGTATTAATGTTAATAGAATTTATTTTGTTCATTTGTCTACCTACTCTATTAGCATCAAGATAAATATTAAATGGTTATTGTTTGCTAAATGTTATTGAGATATATGAATTATATAATTGTAGACAAATTTAAAAGAACAGCTTTAACTCATGCCATAAAGAATGGTAATACTCATGTAGCATCTTATCTACTATATCTTGGAGCTGATCCGAATCGTACTGATAGTTCAGGCAATACACTCGTACATTATGCTGCAGCATATGGATGGTACTTCTGTCTGAAACTACTTATAAAAGATGCTGGAGCAGATGCAGCTGTTGCAAATCATTGGAAGGTATTATTGTAGTCACATTAAAAATTGAAGAAATTGATAACTTTATTTGTTAAATGTGCATTATGCAAGAGCTAAATCTTCCTATTGTTTCTTTCTTTTGGCCTATAATGTTGTCTAAATTATTAACTGGACATATAAGTAACTTACTGGATTTGAATACATTTTTTGATGGATAATTTAATGTAAAAATGGATAATCAAGACTTTATTTGTTATCATACCACTGTCAGTAATGATGACCTAGACTAGTCTAAAATTCAATGACTAATAATTTTTCGGTTCAGAGTGAAGCAATATGACTGAAATTTTCAGCATATTTTGTTTTCATTATCTATTTTTTAACTATTATAGTGAGAACTGTCAGCTCTTTATCTATTCTTACCTAATGCCCCTTTAAGATTTATTAGGCTGAAACTCTTTTTAATAATTGAATGTTGAATGTACAATATATTGAATTCACAACATTAATAAAAGTCATTTTCCCTATATAATTATGCAAGAGCAAAATCTGCTTATTACAAGTCTTTCTTTAGGCCTGAAATGTTATCTAAATTATCAATTAGACATTAATTAACTTATCCAGACCATAATAAACTCTCGATGTCAAGGCTAGCCTTCGATGTAGGCTGGATTAGATTCCTATATGCCGCCAACGGCCAAAGATAATTAAATCAGAAAAAGTGGATAATCGAGACTATGCTGTTTATATTAATGATTTTAGTAATGATAACCGAGACTATGCAAAAATTTCACCGGCTTCTTTCTCGGCTCATAGTGGATCAATTTGACTGAAATTTTCAGCAAATTACCTTTACACTATCTAGTTTTTAACTATTATAGCGAGAACTGCCATCTCTTTATCTTATCTCCCATAATGTATCTATAATGAATGAAATGTGGTTTAATGTTCTTCTTTTCTGCACCAACTGGGCTAATGAAGAGATGCATACTTCTTGCAGTGTGCTATGAGGGACTTTATGCCCTGATAGAGGCACTTATATCGAATTGCAACTTTCAAGGGTTCTTTTAAATTCACACCAATGTGTACAGAGGACCTCGTTTTTGTAACATATGAATGACTAGACGCCTGTCCTTGTCATGCCCTTCATCCTGCACCCCTGATTTTTGAAACCACACCGAAAATTCCTGAGGAACTTTCTTGGCTACTGCAACTCCCTTCCCTATATAAACACTACACAAAATGTTGAAGTCGTTAAATTTCATAAAGCATTTTGCACTTGAAAATATAATATTGTCCTGGTTTGTTTCTTCATTTAGACAACACCACTAAGTATTGCATTTCTGAAAGGTCATATTGGTATTGTAGACTTTATACTAAGTGAAATAGGAGGTGATATAAACTTTACAGATGATGAAGGTAAAGTGAGATAAAAACATCATTTAACATATTCAATATTTTTATATTTTATGAAATATTTTGTTAGTAAATAAACTGTTTGCGTGGTTTTATGCTGCTGCATTTAAATGTGTTCGTACATCTGGTCATAATTCAAATTGACTTTTAATTTATTGCACTTGATTAAAGTTAAATTCCCGTAGCACCAACCTGTATGGACTGTTGTGGGCATATACCTGGCAGCCATATTTTCTTTTCTTATGATTGATGGTATATTTTTACAGGAGTAACTCTAGTCTGTTTAGCTGCATCTAGTCATTTAGTAGAAGGTCTAGTAGATCAGATCAAATATCTTGTTAAAGAGAAGGGAGCTAATCCTGCTTTAGCTGATATTCGTGGACAAAATGCTGTAAGTAATTTTACATTATATAAATGTGCTTTCTGTTAAAAAAAAGAGCTTTATAAATAGAGTATATAATTAAAGCATTCGTAATATGTCTTAAATCCTTCGTCTATCTATTGCTCCTAACATACTCAGAGTTCACAGAATTGGCCTCCAGAAAAAGAATTTGCATTTTAAAAACCAGAATTTCACGGAAGCACACATTTTACTCCGTAAAAACTTCAAAATATTCTTTGAGAGTTCACATCAGTTCTTTACTTATCGCTTGTTTCAAAATGCTCATTGACAATGTCAATCCACAGCTCATTATGAGACAATTTACTTCATCATAATCATACCTTTGTATTGAGCTATTCTATAAATGTTGATAGTGAAACTAAAATAAAATATCAATAGACAAGGTAATTTGTATTGTTTTACATGAATTTCAAATTGTTAGATTTTGATTAAGTTCTCTGAATTTTTTTTAGTTCAAACATTTCAGTCAGTATCTACAATATTGTATCAAACTGCATTAACCTTCCCTCTGAAACAGAGAAATAGAAACCTCAATTCACACTAAATTCCCAAACAGAATTTACCATTTTATAAATCAGAAAATCCTCTACCATATATTGGGTACTATGTAATTTAATATATCTGTTTGTGGTTTTTTTTTTATAGCTTCATCGAGTTGCATCCAATCGAATCCCTATTTCTTATTTAGCGGTAAGTACGACAGTTTTCATCGCTTAAGAAAAATTCTAATAGAATGACAAACTTAAAGAAAAACAAGTTTATGCCTTAAACAGTTCATATCAAGATTGACTAGCTGATCATTTGATATAACAATGATGTGATTTCAGGATTCCAAAAATGTTGCCAATATGACTGTGGAAATGGCTAAAATGTTTATAGAGGGTGGATGTGATCCCAATGGCAAAGATAAAGAAGGCAAATCACCAATTATGATGGCTATTACAATGGTAAGATACTTATTGCCCCCAGCCTTTCGAAGAACGCTTGGGACTATTAAAATGGGTCTGTCTGTCCCTCACACTCTTTGGGACACGATAACTTTAGTTCTAGGTAAGTGAGAGTGATGAAACTTGGTGTATAGTTTCATTACATCATTACCTTGACTAAGTTTGATAATGAGCATTTTCTGCTCAGGGTAAGCAGAGCGCTAAGCAATTTGATTGGCCGAGACTTTGGAATACAATAACTCTCCTTCTAATTGAGCTAGAATGTTCAAACTTGGTGTAGGTGTTTATTAGGTGAATGCCGTGATGGAGTTCGAAGATGAGCATTTTCTGCTTAGGGTAAGCAGAGATAAGCAATTTGATTGGTTGATACTTTGGGAACCGATAACTTTAGTTCTAATTAAGTGAGAGTAATGAAATTTGGTGTATAGTTGATAATCGATTTGATTGCTTGATACTTTTGGAAAAAAAATAAATGTGCGATTAATTAATATGTGTCATCTATTTATTTTGGGATTTCGGTGGGGGACATCAGCCTCACTGTTGGCTTGTTTATTTCAGCGGGGGACATCAGCCTCACTGAATTGTTTTGTTTTAATTTTAGATGTAATAGTCTGATGCAATAGGTATATATTGCTGTCTTAATTACAAAACCATATAATCATTGGCTGGGCTTTCTGATTATAGTCACAACATTCCAGACCTCTGACAATTTGGGCTTGCTTCTCAGAACTGCTTGATATATTTCAACCAAATTTTGTAGATATATTGCTAGGGTATTCAGATGTAATCAAGAGAAATTCACAGGATAGTTTACATAGGGGGCCTTAGCAGGACAAATTTGGAAGTGAGCATGGTATAAACTCTATATTTGACTTTTGAGAAGTTGCATCTTTATATATGACAAATTTCAAAAACTTCTATGTGCAGTATTGCTGTAAAGCTATAAATTAATAATGTATATTATTTTCAGGGTAATCATGTACTGATAAAATATTTGTTAGAAGTAGGGGGTTGTATATCTGCGGATGTAATTAAAAATGGAAATAATGTACTACATCTGATGGCTGAACAATGTGCAATATCTGACATGGGCTGTATAATTGAATTTATCACTAAAAAGGTAAGTATATTTTTAGGCATTATTAGGGCTAGAAGAAATATGTGTTTTATTCATAGACTAGTAAAATGGTAGCATTTATTGTATTTTCTTGGACTTGTTGAAGAACGATATTTATAAAGATTATTTATTTCAACAATGTGACTAACCAATATTCTAGAATTATATTTATTAGCCTGATAAATATTGTAGTTGGCAGAAAATATTGATATTGTCAGTAATCATCGGTAAAGCATTTTGAAGATCAATAATCGATCAATGAAACAAATTCTACAAGTATACATAATGATATTACAGCATAAACTCCATATAATTTGTTATTTATATACAAATTATGAAAGTTTTTCATAATTGTTAGGAAAAATAATTTGTGGATATTATTGATTGGTAGATGGTCAACGATTATCGATACGTGGAAGCAGTATCGATTTCCAGACCGAATTATGCATGGTTCTTAACCCATATAAAAAAGTTATGTGTGCTGTATTAATTCCATCTATTGCTGTATTAATTCCATCTATTGCTGAATTAATTTCAGGAAACTGAAAGTAAAGATAAGATTGATGAATCTGGTGATAAAGCTGTTCAAAAAGATGATGATTCCGTGAAGAATCTCCATAAAATGGTTCATGCTGTCAATCATTCTGGTTATACTCCTCTTCTTAGAGCTTGTAAGACCTATGTTGATCAATTAGTAAGTAAATATTTTGTACTATGTCATGACAGAAAATATGTCTTAAAGATATACATTATGTACAATTTTAATAGCTGTTCTTGCTATAATAGTTCCAAAAAAAAAGATCTTGAATAATGGATATGTTGAAGATTTCGTTGAAAATTGTTTTATTCTGAACAAAGTTAGCAGTGTTTGAAGATGGAGCATAGATTGTTTATTGACATTGTACATGGCAATCGAGACTAAGTCTAGATCCATTTTTAGCTTTACTCCATTTAAATCTCATTCATCCGATGTCATCTGAATACATGTCTAAATAATAGTTTATAGAACATTTGAATGCAATAGGCGGATATAACTCTTATATAATGAATCTTTGGTTAAATTTTCTTGGCTGATAGTAAGTGGGGGATTGGATGGCCGAATGGTTAGCCAGTACGCGTTGTATCATAAGATCTGTCATTGAGTCAACTGGCGTGGTTTCGATTCCCCGGTTGTACATGACAAGTTGTAGGGTCGCCTGTCAAACCTCGTGGGTTTTCTCTGGGTCCTCCGGTTTCTTCCCACTGCTTAAGACCCCTTCACGCAAGCGCATTGTTGAAATAAAATTAAACCATATGTTAGTCCCAAAATGACCTAGTTTGTGTGAGTGGACATTAAACCGCATCTCTCTCTCTCTCTCTCTCTATCTCTCTCTCTCTCTCTCTCTCTCTCTCTCTCTCTCTGATAGTAAGTGCAGGGAGAACCACAAAAGCAAACAGAAGACACATCACACACATAATAATTGATAAGAGTAATCAGGTGAATGGATATATGGACTGACTGTTAGTGTCCACTGCTCTGTACAGTCTATGGCCTGAAGTGGTACAGGCTTCACTCAAATGAAAATACACACAGAAAAAGGGAGTATTTCCCAACAATGTTAATAGTTATGGTCTGTAGTGGTTTTCAACAAATCTCAAAATTAGTACACTGAAGAAAACAGAACCATTTAATTTGTAGACATGATACATTGGAAGAAATCAATAGGGTGTAAAATATAAGTGATTAAAAAGGTAAACATCAAGTTTGGGCATGCTTCATTCTATCAGAAAATAATATGCACTCCTTTGATGAGGATTACTAACAGCTATTTATATATTTAGTGAAACTTTTAATACGCCGGTTACATAGCCGGTTACATAATTCCGTAAGAAATTTGACACTCTTGAAAACTTAATTTAATGAACTATTTTCTTCAGAGACAACGAAGTTATTATAGGTCTGATGATAATGAACAAGAACGGAAGAAAAAGTGTGCTGTATCATTTATTAAAGCAGTAATCACATGTTTAAAAGCTGATATAAATGATACTGTACAGAAATTACATGTAGAAGATGAACTGGGTACAGGAATAAATAAAGACAAATATTCAGTAGACGGTAAATAGATAATAATTACATCTTATTGACAATAATAACAAATATTTTTCCATGGAATTTTTGGTCTTGGGGTGCATGAATACACTTTTGATTTCTTTTTAAGGGTTATGGCACCGTAAAAGGGCAATTTTAGACATTTTCACACACTTTTGATTTCTTCTCAAACTTCATTGGTTGGTAATTGTGGAGTTGAGTACAAATCAAGTTTTCAACAATTTCTTTTAATTACTTCTAGATTTGTGGCCCTTGTTTCACTTTGTAGAACCTTGTAAACACTCTAATAACAAAATTTATTATCCTATTTGTATGAAATTTATAAGCATTATTAAAATTAGTGCAACGAAGAAGCCTATTGAAATTCAGCAATGCTATTACATGTATACTGTCTATTTTGCCGTATGAACTGCTCAGGCAACTTTGCTGCTGTGGGCATATGTTTTGTTACCTGACAACTTCTTTTTTACCTAAAGATTCACAATGTATTGTTCAGATGACTTAGCTTTTGTTGACACATTTCGTTGCTTGGGAACATAATCATTTTTTTAAAGCTACCAAATTATATAATATGGTTATTATATTTTATATTTACAAGGAAAGTACTCAGCTGTTCATATGTTGGTTAATGAAAGTAATTGTCAGAAAAATCCTAAGTTGCTTGATTGTTTGAAACTGTTCCTGGAATATAAACCGAACTTGGAACTGAAGGATACTAAAGAACAGACACCATTAGCCATGGCAGCAGTCAGTAATCAACAAGATATAGTTAAACTCTTAGTAAGTTGGAATAATATTTAAAATGAACTGAGCAATAATTATGCTCATCGGTCTTTAAAAAGAAATTGCATGTTTACTGTGTCTTCACGCTTCAGCTCAAATATTGAGTCCTTTGGAAATGATCGCCATATGAAGCTGACATTTGGACTTATGCAGATGTATCACAGAGATTCAGATAGTTGCTTTGGACTAAAGTAAAGGATTCAAACATTATTCCACACAATTAAACACTATTTAAATTGTCTTTCTGAAAGTGATGTGCTTATGTTTTCCTTATTAACATGTGAGGTTCATTTGTACACATTTTAACACTGAGTTTAATGCAGCATATGCTTCATGACCCAGGTGCTGTGGTTAGTGATAATATTTCATTTATTTTACAGTTAAAAAGTGGAGCAAAAGCTAATGTTCATTTCAACCAAAATACTACTACGACACAAATTACTACATCTACCCCTCTACTGCAAGCAGCTGAGTAAGTAAATTAGTTATATTTATTACATACTCGACTAATGTATCCTGGCTATCTGTATGAAATATATATCATAAAAACTGATATAATCTATTGGAATGATAGAATCTTTATTGCACAAAATAAGAATTTTCAATTTAATTTCATCAACAAATAAATCGAAACCTTCCATTTTTAAATTAGATTTGTGAAAAATTTTGTCTTTGTTTCAATTTGTTTTTGTATTTTCCTTTGAAGACATTGTAATGAGATTATGATAGAAGATTTAGTGAATTATGGAGCCGATACTAAAGCTAAGCATACAAATGGACAAACAGCATTACATTTTGTTGCCAACAATAGAAGTAAGTTCATTATAAATAACGTCATCAAATGTATCATTCTCTCCTTGGATTCTGGTTGCTAGATAGGTCTTATCCGAATCTTCTAAAATTTATTTATGGTGTTTACATTAGGGAAGTAAAGAAGCCTATTTCAGTGATTACTGATCATAAATTCTTGTATTATTGCCCCCCACTCACTTTGTAGAACATTGTGAGCACTTTGTAAAACAAACAAACCTAATATAATGATTTTAAGTAGTTTTAGCACTTGATTATGGGGAGCTATAGGGGACCTGGCAAGGAAAGGCACTAGTGACTTGATTGGAACTGAAGACTTCGGTCCCATGTTTTTCTTTGACAGCCCCTATAAGATCCCCTGACATCATGGTTGACGCAGAAAAGTAGCTTGTTAAACCCCATTTAATGTACTTGATTTTGTCAAAGCATGCAATATAAAGACTTTGCTTTTTATTTACAAAAAGATTCACAATACTAAGCTGCTATAAGCATATTATTTGTGCCTGAATATTATCTTCTAAAATATGTTTATCTTAGCTAATTCTCAACCTTTTGAGCTCAAACAAAGGCTACTCAACTATATTAATTGTCAAACAAAGTGACATTTTCATGTCCCTTTAATCCAAATAATTATTTTTGTAGGTGATGAAGCTAAAGCAGTCAAATTAACTGATATCCTGTTGTCTCATGGTGCCGAGATTAATGCTGTATGTAACAAAAAGAGAACACCATTCCATCTAGCTGTGAGTAGTAATCAAGGTACAGCTAATTCCAGCACTGATTTAGAAGAGTTAATGATTTCTAAAGGAGCCAATCTGTTTGCTAAAGATATCCGTGGAAGAACGCCATTACATTATGTGTTTGTTCAGATTGGTTGGTATGTATAACCTAGATAAAATCTTTATAATAGATCAGTTCATCTTCTAACATGTCTGCTTTAGATCATAAGACCTGTCATTCAGTCAAGTGGCATGGTTTCAGCCCCAAGCTTATGGGTTTTCTCTGGGTCCTCCAGCTTCCTCCCACAGGTAAAGACCTTTACGTGCATGCAAATTATTGTAATAAAATTGTACAATGTTAGTCCCGAAATGACTTAGTTAAAACCCATTTCTTATATAAGTATACATTTCAGCCCTTTTTCGTGTTGAATTGCAAATTATTGAAGTAAAATTGTACAATGTTAGTCCTGAAATGACTTAATTAAAACCCATAAGTACACATTTCAGCCCTTTTTTGTGTTAAATTTTAATAAGGAAAGTGATTATTGGCCTTCTTGCGCATGGATGCTTTTAAATTGATATTAATTATTAATTAGGAATTTGTTGTTTTTTCAGTCACAAAGACCATAGTTCTCTAGATCCTATAGATTTATGTAGTCTGCTTACATCAGCTATGGGTGGTAATCATTTAGATGAAGTGGATGTATTTAAACAAACACCCTTACATAGAGCAGCTATTAGAGGTGGAACTATTTGCTGTATGCATTTAATACAGGTCAGTATAGTTTAAGAAAAAATCTAAATTTTCAGTAGTCGTCTATCGTCTTAACTTCTTTCAAAAGGCTTGTTTCCTGAGTGGTGCTTTTTTAAATATTTCAAGAAATATGTTTAAATAAAGTTGATTTTCCACATGCAGGTGGGACAGGTTTTGATTTTTATTGAATTTTGTTTTTTATTTGGAACAGAGAAAGGCTAACATAAATACTAAAGATCAAATGGGAAATACACCATTATCATTGTCTATATTAAACAGACATATCAGGTAATTTATTTCTTGACAATCCTATTCTTTATAGAATACCAGATACCACTTTTCATTTCAGGAGTTCATAGCTAATAATCTTTAATAGCAATATTTGTATTTACCCCCATTGGTTACACCATATCACTATAATCTGAAAGTATCCCTTTCGAATAGTCTCAGAATTAGTCCAGACAAAATAGCATTCATTGTTTGTATGATTACTGGTTCTTGTATACAGTTCAATTAGCAAGAGCTAAATCTGTCTATTACAGGTCTTTTTTCTGGCTTCAGATTTTATATAAATTAGTATTTAGACATCTATTCACATGACAATCCCATAACTCTATGACTGAGTCGAGATGTTGAATGAAGAACACCTATGACATATAATAGTTTATATTAGAATGGACAATAGAGACTTTGTTTATTATCTTAGCAACGATACTTGACCATCAAGACTATGTACACTATTTCTTATGATAACTTTAAACACTCATAACATCACTCAGAATTTATTAATTTGACTGTATTTTCGAACTGTTATAGCAAGAACAGACAGCTCTTTATCTAAATTTTACATAATGCATATCTAAGAAATCTATGTTGTGTGTAAAAGTTTATTTTACTGTATTTTTTAACTATCATAGCAAGAACAGCCAGCTCTTTATCTGAATTTTATATAATGCATTTTTAATAGGTCTATGTTATTTGTAAATGATTATCATATAAATATTATTGACATGTATATTAATATATTTTTCTAGTTGTGCCATCTTGTTGATACAGTTGGGTAGTAATTGTCGAGATACTATTCTATTAGATACCAAACCTTCATCAAGTGCTAAACCTGTCACAGAACTAGAAGGAAGACCTGTTCTCATTTGGCGACCAATACAGAAACTGAAAAAATGTCCAGAACTTGTACAAAATAATTTTCCTGTTTTCCAGGTAAACCGATATTAGAATTGATATCAAACTTAAAGATACCTTCCTACATACAAACTTGGTGATTTGATGATATATTTGGACTAAGAACATATTCAAACTAATTAATCTATCAAAATTTTGCTTCAAATCCTGCTCAAAACATTCTATTTGCGAGGGAATACCCCTGATATAAAAAACCTATGAAAAGATGTCATGTTTGTGCCACATGACTTGGCTGATACGGTACCTAGCAACGGGTGCGAAGCCGGAGGGGAATTCATTGCATATACAAGACGATGTATTTAATCGCTGTCCATTTATCAAGTGCTCACTAACACTGAGAGATCAGACAATCTTTGCGTGCAACCCTTTAAGTCACTCGAACACACATCCCCAATCGTTGGGTTGCTAGTTAGGAAAACCCTTCCATTTTTGTCCTGTATGGGCTCCATGGGTGTTTTTCAAGGAATCCGGGATATATTTTTTTTTAGTAAGATTGAAATTGAATGTTTCTGCTTTCCATATATATCAAAATTGAAAAACTATTATTGGAAATAACCACTCGATAAATACTTTTGTGGTAAAGTATCTTTAGTGAAAAGTCCTACAGTTTTGCTCCTATACTGGGCTAATGAAGACGGGCATACGCCATACAGTATGCTATGAGGGAAATTTTGCCCGGGCAGCGGCACTATCGCCTACTCTTAAATCGAATTCCAACTGCCAAGGGATCTTTTACGTGCATTCCAATGTATATGCCCTGTCCGGGCAAAATTTCCCTCATAGCACACTGTATGGCGTATGCCTGTCTTCATTTAGCCCAGTTCGGAGCAGAACAGGACGGCAAGCCCCAATTCATTTCATTAGCCCTGTCGGAGCAGAACTGTAGGGCGTTACACCCCATTTCAATTTATTTAAGAATTAATACCTTTATTTTAAAAAAAATGTCTATTTCAGGAAAGTATTCGCAGTGATCTGCAGGGTGTGGCCCATATGCTTCTAGAGAAAACTGGTATAGGGAGAACAGAATTAGAAGACACCATTACTGTCAGCAAATATAATGTTGCCTTGCGTTTGATGAAGCGAGTGACTAATCCTAAATTACTTCAGGAATCTAACAACAAGAGACAGAATCTATTTCATACCTTATTAATCAAATCTATACCTGGTGCTGATGTTAGCCTTCAATTAAAGGTCAGATATATGTTTTACAATTCAAATACAACTAAAATAATTCATCAAACTGATAGATCTTACTTAATTTTCATTGACTTTCAGAGTAATCAGTGTGAAAAAAGTCACAGTCCATCACATAATTCAAATTTGAATGCTTGATAACGACCATTGAAATCTTGTCGAAATCTTGTCTGTATATAATATTGTGAACGTTATCCACAGAACTATCTTGTGTTTCATGATTTAAGAATGGTGGTGTTAGTAGAAGTTGGATTACAACAGATGCTGCTAAAGCATTAGTTCAGACGCTAATACTGTCCCGTATTGATTATGCAAACAATCTGCTTTTCGGACTCACCCAAAAGCTAAAATATAAATTACAAAGAATCCAGAACATCACTGCCAGCATTGTAACAAGAATATTTGTCCATAACATAAGTGTTGAAGTCTCTTCACTGGTTGCACGTCGGACCCTGTATTCAGCATGATTGGCTAAGAAAATTCATCCAGATTTTCCGGCGTGGTTTCCCCTTGTCATTGATGCAGGATGGAGTGCCTGACAAGGACATCTGTCTAGTCGTTCGGATGGGACAAAAAACCAAGGTCCCGTGTACACATTGGCGTGCACGTAAAAGATCCCTTGGCAGTTGGAATTCGATATAAGAGTAGGCCGTAGCGCCACTGCCCGGGCAAAATTTCCCTCATAGCACACTGTATGGCACATGCCCGTCTTCATTAGCCCAGTTTAAGAGCAGAACAGTAGGACAAAAGCGCAACTCTTCAGACCTCTTTATTGCTAGACGACAAAAGCGCAACTCATCAGACCTCTTTATTGGCTAATCCCACAGATCCAGCAGAACATGGGTTATTTAACAACTCTTCCAGATCCTATTCCTAGTGTAGTAAAACAAAATTTTGAACTATAAAAATCGAAACATAATAGGATCTGTGTTTTTTAATTAGATTGGCGATATAAAAAAAAGTATTCTGTGTAAAATGTAATTTTTATTTTGAAAATTTTTTATTTATTATATTTTTGGCAGGTTGCAGAAAGGTTGTTAAATCATAATGTAGCTATTAACCAAGCAGATGAATATGGTTGTACACCTATATTTTATGCAGCTTTGTATCATCATCCACTAAGTGTAGCTGAATTTTTAATAGGTAAACAAAATATACTGGATACATTTCACCTCTAAAAATTTGCTACAGGTACCCCTCTAAGCAACAATACATTCTAATCACGCAAGAAAACATGTAACAAACATACAGGTCACAATTCTATGGAATACAATTTCTGTTTATTACTGACCGACGTTTCGACTAGGCTTCTCTTGTCATTATCATATTTTATCATTAATTGATAATGACTAGAGAAGCCTAGTTGAAACATCGCTCAATAATAAGCAGTAATTGTATTCCATAGAATTGTGACCTGCATATTCCAGTTAAATACTAAATGCCATTGAAACAATTTATGAAACAATCTGCCTAAGTTATACAAACAAAATTCAATCATTGTTAATTCTTTTTATATATTTCAGAAAAAAATCCCAATTTTGACATAAATTGGAAAGATAAATTTGGTCGTAACGTTGTAGCGGCTTTTTTGTGGGATTTTGACAAAATAGAAGCAGACTGGGAAAGTAGCAGGTATGTGACATTTTTATACACTGTCTGGAAAACCTCTGTAGGTAAAGTTTTATGAGAATTCTATTAAAGATATTATATAATTTCTATCTCTTTATAGATTTTTAACCATTATGATACAAGAAAACATTGATGTCTGACTCGAGGCACCCAAATAACGGCCATCTTATTTTAATTTTCTATTCTTTTGTCTTCAGGAAATGGTTACAGATGCTCATTAAGAAAGGCGCAACATTTGATTTTCACTTTGACCGTCCTTTACCTGATGCTCTAGCCATTGGTTGGGTTCTTCATGGTAATTATATCGACTATTTCACTACAAAATCAAACCTAGGAGTAACTCCACTTATTTTCGCCCTTCATAACTTTCATATCAAGTTGGTGACATTCCTTCTGACGTCTGGTGCATCACCTAATCTAGCTGATACTACTGGTCTTACACCTCTAATGCATGCTGTTAAACTGGTAAGTTAAATTCTTTTAATATGTTAAGCATATCATTTGAAAAAAAAGGGAAATGTAGTTTTTAAATCCATTTAACAACACTAACATCTTATGTTTTATTTCAATATTTTGCTTGGGTACAGAGGTCTTTAGAAGACACTTCTGCTTCGTATTGCATAGAAATTAAGATTAATCTCATGGCATGTATAGATAGCAGACTCTTAAATCTACAGCATACGATTTTCACAATAAAATTTTGAATTTTCAAATCACCAGTTCCATTGATCCCCTTTAATTGCATCAACCGTTGATGTTTGTTGAATTTTGAGACCAACTATGACTTGATGAAAATGTTGTATATTGTTTTATTTTATTTTTTCTCTGTCTATTCCAGAATGAGGAGCATCTTGTAAAGGTCTTGTTGAACTATACCTGGACAAAACCTGTCAAGGAAGAAGAAAGCAAACAAAATCAACCAGTACTAGCAAAAAAACTTTCTCGTACTGTTTTTAATGTTCATTTCCCATTAAAATTGATTCAAATAGAAGAAGAGAAAGAAGAGGAAATGGCAAAAGCAGACAATGTTGCAAATATTTTGGGGAGTTCTAGTGAGGAAGAGGAGGACGTTGTAGAAGTTGATGAAATGGAAGATGATAAATCATCTGCTGGTAGCGTAGTTCATAGTGAAAGTTCTCATGATACAGATGCTGTAGCTGATAGTGATGAAGATGAAGACTTTGCCACTGAACAGCAAAAACCGAGTTTACAAAAGAAAATATCTTTATTACAAAGGTTAAGTAGCAAGAAAGGTAAGATCTTATATTTTATAGGTTTGTATTACAAACTCGCATTGATTGTATATTGTTGTCTCTGCCATGTCCATACTTTTTATATGCCCACATTGAAATGTGGTTGTATATTGTCATTGCCTCCGTCCGTCGTTCCGGTGTCCACTATTGCTTTTGACGCTCTACAGGCTAAAGTTAATATCTGATTGACTTTAAATATATACAAAGTGTTAAAGGGGTGAGGCTACCCGAGTAATGTTCTAAAATTCTAAAGCCATTGAATTGAAAATGGCACAAGTAGTTAGGAAATGTAATAAACAATTGTAAGTCAAATAGCAGCCAATTTTATAACAATCCCATCTACGCATGTTTTCATCTGTTTGACACTAGTTTAAAGCATTATGAAGTATTATCTAAATAAATAAAACAAGTATTCCTGAAGTCTTCTGACCCAATTCTACCGTAACATCACATGCTGGTGGCTGGAATGGAAATGCACATGGCTCGTTGTCTGGTGTATTTAATCATTTAAAAAGTTCAAAACAATTTCCAGAAATAAAGGTTGTGAATAATTTACTGGAAAATTTGACCAAATCAAATAATTAGGTTGGGAAAATATTTCATATATAATATAATTTTTAGGGTAAATATAGACAGAATGTGAGAAAGGAATTCCCGGGGGCTTTATGTGTCCGCCGTATGATGGTACATGTAATATAGTGTCCTGCACAGGTGTGAAGTCGTGTTTTGATAATCAATTTACGGTATTACGGATATTTTAGAATTGGAATTCAACACCTCAATGGCAAAGTATTCATTTAAAAAAGCAAGTTTGGTACCATGATACTTATATTTGGTGAATTCACATGGATACAGATTATAGAATTGCACAAATTTTCGAGTCGCTGAGCCAAAGTAGATTCGCGGGCTTGCAAGATTTTGAAGAAATAAAACGAATTCCCTAACCAATTTAAGGGTGTTTGTGGTGACCTAATTCTGGACTCTGTTTACCCCAAATAAAAATGTCTGACATGCAAAATTTTGAAATAGCATCCCTGGTATAAACACACTATCTAACACAATAGCCCATTGATTTTGTCAAATGATGATATGTCTGAATAGACTTTATAAATGAAAACATGCCGTAGTGACGAAAGTAAATTAAAAGTTTTGCCTTAGTATGCATAAAAACTGCCTTAGTGAAGAAGCAATTACTGTGGCATTTTTTCTTCGTTCTAATTTCACGAATTTTTACTCCTGGGTAATCACATCCACTAATGAGCACACCATTTATCAACATGCATTAAAAAAAATAAAAATTATAACTTTAAATATACATGGTTATAACTTATAATTAAGATTTTATTTCTTGTAGAGTATGCAACTGTTGATAAAACAAGTACAGTAGATGTTACATGTGTTGATGGTTTAGGATGGAATGTTATACATCATGTTGTAGCATCATTAGATTATGGTACATTCGATAACGAAGAACTCATTTATATATTGGCTAAAGCCGGTGCATCAGTCACCCAGAAAGACAAGGCTGGTTTGTCTCCCTTAGACCATGCTTTGATTAGAGGTGCTCCTAAATCTGCAGCCATGATACAAAAGTTAATGGAAATTCCAGAAGAAAAATATGTAAGATTTAGTTATTAGGTTTTAGTGGAAACAATAATGTAATCTTATTCCATGTTTTCCATAAATTTGCTCATGTAATAAAGTGGATCACTGCAATTGATAACGTATATATAAAATCTTCTTATTTGTAAATCCAATGGTGCTAGGTCGGTTCAAGTAATTATTATCTTATGAAAAGTCCCTCAAGTAACATTTAAATGTTACAGTAGGAAGTGTCAATTAAAAGTTTTGATCCATTAATTTCTTGATGTGTATTCAATTTGTTTCATAGGAAAAACCATCCAAAGGCACATTTGAAGTCAAAGACCCATTCACTAAAGATGATACTGTGGTCAATTATAAAAAAGATTCTGAGAAATTCCTTGAAGATATTTATTCAAGAGTTATGGATACTTCTGAAGAAATGGAAGTACCTGTTGACTCAAATTGTAACTTTGCTTCTTCAGGGTAAGTTTGAATATATTTACCTTTAAAAAACAAAACACAAAGTCAGTTTTATTGTATCTATTCAGTACAGTTTAATTACCCTTGATTTCTAATGAATTATGAAATATTGCACTTGGGTGTGTCTCATCTATGTTATGGAAAGTAAATTTTGAGATTAACTACATGTCTAATCAAATTAAACCAAGTTTATTATTGCATGAGAGTGTGTGGTTAGTTTACTCAACCGTCATAAAAAGAATTACTTTCCTCCATAATTAGATATTCTGGAGAGTTTGTGTGGCCTAATAATTAAAATATTGTTTGTTTTTAGATCTGTTTATGTTGATCCTAAAAGCAAAGTACCATTTGATGTTCTGATGTCTAAAGTTAATGTTGCATCTGGATTTTATGGTCGTTACAGTTTCTATAAGATGCAGGTTGGTTTTTTATTAGAAATGAATTTGGATTTAATCTCCCGACTAGGATAATGAAGATGACTATGTAAGACAAAGTTTGCCCGGACAGTGGTGCTATGGCCTATTCTTATTTTAAAATCAAACTGTCAAGGGTTCTTTTATGCCAAAAGTGAACACATTTTATTTTGGCTAATATTTTAACAGGTTTATTATGAAAATTGATTTCCAATTAAAAAAAATTTTAATTTCATTTCCTGTTTATGAAATATATGTTTATTTTTAGGTGTTACATCAAAAGGGTAAAGATATATTTGTATTGTTTACAAGATGGGGTCGTATTGGAGATATTGGAGAATATCAGCACACACCATACCCTACAGCCGAAGAGGCAGCTAAAGAATTTTGTAAAATATTTAAGTCTAAATCAGGGAATGATTGGCAGAATCTTGATAGGTAAACTAATTTGTTTTCTGGAAAAAAATGTCAACTTCTAAATATAGTTAATACCTCAAAAACCCTCATTTATACAATTTCTAATAATATGAAATGAAATCGGGTTTAACGTCCTACTGTTCTGCTCCTAAATTGGGATAATGAAGACGGGCATATGCCATACAGTGTGCTATGAGGGAAATTTTGCCTGGGCAGCAGCACTATGGCCTACTCTTTTATCGAATTCCAACTGACAAGGGATCTTTTATGTGCACGCCAATGTATACACAGGACCACAGTTTCTGGTCCCATTCGAACGACTAGAAAGCTGTCCTTGTCAGGCCCTCCATCCTGCAACATGTCGGAAAATCCCGATGAACTTTCTCGGCCAATGGGAGCAAACCCGCAACCTCCAGGCTAGCGAGCCGGTGTCTTACCCAACTAGCCACCGTGGCTCTTCTAATAATATGAATGACCCTTCCTTGAAAAGTTTATGGGAATTCTCTTAAACAAAATGTACCAAAGGCAGTTCTTTCAGTGTAGAAAATATGTCAATTTAGCTCATTAATTTTTGTCACATATTACCGGTACATAATTCTTGTGAAATTCTTGGCTAACAAAAAATATGTTATTCTTCATATTTACATTTTTTTACAGTTTTGTCAATCAACCGAAAAAGTATCGATTAATTCATTGTGAAGCTAAAAAGAAGGTTCCTAGTGTAGAATTAGATTTAACATCAAAACTTCCCTCCAAACTGTCTCCTCAAGTTCTAGATCTCATGAAGGAAATGGTAAATATTGGTGTTTTCTGTAAAATGAACATTGATTTTAGTGTTTGCTTCTAAATGATACATTGGAATTAAATAGATATCTTAATGTCACACATATAACATATCATCAGAGTACATTTTGCATAAACTGATTGTTAAATTTCTAGAGAATCGATGAAAAGAAGTATATATTTATTATTATCATTGAAATATAGAGAATCTGTGATACATGGACTTTTCTTTTAAAAGTCTTGGTGTGAATACTTCTATTGAAAGCATCTACGTATCATTAAAGTATTTTACTGATCAAAATATTTATTAACTAGATTACTGTTAGTGTTAATAAAAGGTTGGAAAGTAATGCAAAATTCTTATGTTTATTTATTATGTTAAAAGGTTATAATATAATGTTTACTTTATGTAGTGCGATAAAAGTATGTTGGAGCAAGCAACAAGAAAAATTGGTCTTGATCCATCATTGATGCCTTTTGGACAAATCAAAAGAGAAGTATTATTAGAAGCCAGAAAGATTTTGCAACAGTTGGGGTAAAAATGAATTTTATTCAAAATATTTCTTAATTTGGTTTACAAGATTTATTTCAAGCACATGCATTTAGTATTTTAGTATATTTATAAAAACGAATACTTAAAAATATCAAGTACATTAAAGATGGGTTCCCAGAAAAGTATTTATCGGGTGGTTATTTCCAATAAAAGTATCGCAATTTTAGTATATATGGAAAGTAGAAAAATAATGGATTTCCCGAATGTACAAGTTGATATACTTTATGAAGAATTAGACGTACAACACTTTCTGAGATAAAAATGATGGAAAAAGATGCGGGAAGTGGATAATCCAAGAATTTAATTAGGATTCAATATTTGTAATAAATAGTAAGCGATTAAAGACAACATCGTCTTATGTATGCAATGAATTCTCCTCTGACTTCTCAGAGAGGTAAGTCACGTGACGTAAACATGACCTGGTTTGGTCGAATTTTTATAGCAGGGCATTCCTTCGCAATTAAAATGTTTGAGAAGGATTTGAAGCAAAATTATGACAAATTAATTAGTTTGAATATTTTTTTAGTCCATATATACCATTAAATCACCCAGTTTGTACGTGGGAATGTATCTTTAAAGACTTGGTATTTGTACAGAAACATCATCATTGTTTGTTTTTGCAGAGAATTAATCAGTATTGTTGAGAAACAAGAAAGTAATTTGTTATCAGAAGTACAAAATGAACTACAGACAAACGTAGAAAAGGTAAAAACATCATTCATTACAATATTGTACAGTTCTGTAATTGCTCTTTAGAGTGAGTGCTCTATATATGCCAATGTACCTAGTTATATGTTAATGTACCTAGTTATATGTTAATGTACCTAGTTATGTTAATGTACATATCTATGATATATGAGAATCTTACAGCATACTTGTGAGTGCGAAACACTGCAAAATGATTATCAAGCTAAATCTGTAACCAGTGGCAGCACCGGGAGGGGGCATTTCCGTCAGTCTATGTCCAAATTTTCTGGTATCTGGTCAGCTCTATTTATCTTGACGATCAGTTCCTCAAATACTGCCAGACTGCATTTTCGGAAGTCTATTTTTCAATATTTTCTAAACCATATTTTTTTTTCTACTTCAGATTTGTAAATTAACCAATGAATACTATCATCTTATTCCAATGGACGGCTATAGCCATGATAAAATTGAACCTATTGACAAGAAGGAAACCTTAAAGCATCATCTTCGTCTGTTGTCTAATTTATTAGATCTAGAGGTAGCCAGTAAAATATTATTGGGTGCCCAATACCAAATTAAAGGTAAGATTAGTATTCATTCATAAAATATTTAAGTTTAGATTTTTGTATAATACATGAAGATAAACAGCAGGGTTCTTAATCCATTTTGAAATGAACAGGCCAGAATTGGGTCAGATTAGGGCCAGGAAGGAAATAGGTTAATTATGAGCTTTCATTCCCTTCATTATATCCAGACTTCAACAAAAATAATTCTTATAAATTTACCAAGAATGTTGTATTCTAATGTATGTGATTACCACAAAAATAGCAGCGAATAGATACACCTTTTGAAAATTTTCTATATTTAATTCATGTATGCGCTTGAATTGTCAGGTCAGTAATATTCCTGAATAAATTACTGTCTTTGTTTATTTGATGAAACATTCATACTTCATCAGTCGATCTGAAATATTATCATTTTTCTAGTTTCACCAGTATCAGAATATGTTGTAGGCAAAACAATTTGACACATTGTATGGCATCATGGCATTTCTTCGCAACACAATTCGTAGTTTTTGTGTATCATGTAACTTGCACAAGTTTTTAGTCATTTGGCGATGATAGACAAACGGCAAAATAATCGTGTGACAACCATAATTAAAATTGCTTTAAAATAAAATTATGTACAACTATGCCATATTATAGCCTTCAGTAATAACATGTGTCATTACACCGCCGCAAATATGCACGAAATTGAACGTAAGCATTTATTGCAAATGAAATTGAAATTTCTATCATTCTATCAGGGATTCATATTTTGATACTGTTACAGTACTTGAAGATAACAATAAATCTATTGTACACACAAAACCTTATTTTAATTTAGTCGTTTGACAGCTTCTTTAAAACTAAACTCGATTACCCAGTAAACAAACTTTATCTCCTGACCACTGGCACTAAGGTGCTAATTAATTGACGACGTTATTCTCACTAAAGATATAATATACAAAACTTAGATAACTAATGTATGAACTATACTCATTTGTTCTAAATTATAACACTATTGTAGGAAATGTGAATATGCCGCATGTGTTGTTGATGTTTTGTTACTTAAAGAGTTCATTGCATGAGATAAAATAGCAAATGAACGGCATGGTTACTATGTGATTTTGTTTGGAAACATACCGACATCTTTAACTTGCTTTTTCTCAAAACTTACTTTCCTTGCTTGGACAGCTTCAAACAGACATAGCTCAGTCAATTTTTGTCTGATTTAAACCAACCACACGTCATTTTGAAGGTATTGAGCTGGAGAATGTGAAAATAACAATAACTCAATTTTCAAAATTTCATCATTGCAACACAGTTTGCCAGCACGGGTCACATATGTTGTTATATAACTTTTAGAAGCTGAGGGAAGAGAACATTTGTGACTACTCTTAAACAAATACAATTTCAGATTAGTTAATTGTGTATATATGAATAATTGTTGGCTTTATCAACACTTCTATTGTAAACACATAGCATGAATAAAAATGTATAATATATTTAATTTATTTACAGATATGAACCCATTTGATTATATTTATAAAGCTATAAACTGTAAGATACAGCCATTATTAGAAGAAACCATAGAAACACAGTATCTACTTGGATATATCAGAGCTTCTGGTGAGACACTTTATTTTCTTTTATCTTCAAAATGTATCAAATGGTAATAATGAATACGGCGTGTTTGAAAAAATATGACAAAATGATGCTCCCTTTTCTTTCTAATAAACATTGTTGCTCATGATTTTCACCTGGTAAAATAAGTTTCAAATTGTATTTTCAATGTATTTATAATACTCTAAAGACTTTAGGAGCTGTGTTGACTCAGTAAGACATTGGCTCACTAAGTTGGATGTCCTGTGTTCGATCCTGGTATGAGCCGAAAAAGTTCATCAGGATTTTCTGGCATGGTTCCCCCTTGCCTGGCAAGGGACAGTGTAAAGTCATTCGGATGATACGAAAAATAGAGGTCCCGTGTACAAATTGGGATGCATGTAAAAGTGCCCTTGAAAGTTGGAATTAGATATAAAAGTAAGCCGTAGGTCTGCTATGCAGGCAAAATTTCCCTCATAGCACACTGTATGGCGTATGCCTGTCTTATTAGCCCATTTGGTGCAGAATAGTAGGACATAAAACTCCATTTCATTTCTAATGGCTTTAGATTTATCTTGTCCATATTAACAATCAGTCTAACTACTGTATTAGTCATACATTGCTCTAAATTATGTGACATCCAGTTTAAATCTTGGGACAAAGATTACTGAACATGTCATCCCAAAATGCCAAGTTTGAACATAATTCTTTGTATTTTGTTGTTTAACAATAATGCATTATGAATTGAAAAGAATGTTGAAATTGGTCATGGACTAATTATTATCTAGAATGCAGAATTTTTGATACATTATTCAATTGCCAATTTACGTTCTTTTTTTGTAGATCCATCAGTGAAACCGCACGCAATATTTAAATTGTCACGTCCTGGAGAAGAAGAATCCATAAATGCTAAAAATCTAAAGAATCATCGTTTATTATTCCATGGTAGTAACATGGGTAATTTTATAAGTATATTAAATAGAGGTCTACTAGTAGCACCAGTTGATGTACCTATTACAGGTCATTTATTTGGAGAGGTAAGACTTGCTTCACTGGTTCTCACTTTCTATACTTAATTATTAAGCTGAATTCCTAAATAGAAATTCCACTTGAATGGCATACTAGAAATTGTTGCAAGGTATTTTACCTGAATTTGATTTTTGTGAGTCCAATATGTTGCCCTATGTCTTTTAGTCCATACAACTGTTATGGACAGTTCCCATTAGCTCTTTATCATAGTAGCTACTGTCGTTCACAAAAAGAAATTTTAAATTTATACAAATATTGAATACCCTCGGTCTTTTTCAAATTTTGAAGTTAAATCTGGTGTAAAGAATACTGCATTTTTGTCTCTTATTTCCTTTATATGTATACATTTTTCTTATAGGGAATCTATACATCAGATTGTTTTGTTAAAAGCAACGGTTATTCAAGCAATTATAGTAGTACATCGAATATTAATCTGATGCTAGTCTCTGAGGTGAGTGATATTTTTCATATTGATTTTGTAACACCGAATTTAAAAGACTGTTTGCTTCGATCTTGTAAATACAGGTGGGCTTGGCTGGAGAAAACTAGACTGTTGTTTGTGATGTTACAGGATTATGATTAGGTTCACAATATACTTGCTCTGTTTTACACAGCATATCATAGAACATAATATATATGTAAGTTTAAAAGCAAGTAAAATGTTTGATTTACGTCAATGTAAATCTTGCTTGTGCGTTGTGAAACGGGACCTAAACGCCTTCATCTAATTAATGCTAGATGATAATATCGTTGTATATGGTTGGTTATTCCATAATATCTTTAATCTTGATTTGAAAACCAATCAAATGTCCATAATAAAAAAGCCTTTCAAAAGATTTCGCAGAATTTTCTTTATCACAGGTTTCAATTAATAGGTTAATCTGGAGTCAACCAATCACAATATGTGTATTACTGAATACGCCCTATAAAGAAATGTCTTTAGAGCAAGATGATGTGGAGTAAACAACTGAAAGATAAAGGAAATGATATACTGGTATAATTTTATTTAGAAAGGACATGAGGAAGTATAGAGCTATAGAATATAATGAAGTAATATTTATATTTTAGGTTGCATTAGGTAAATGTAAACAAACTGACGATTTTGATCAAGATGATATAATGGATCCGGAATATAACAGTTTAAAGATACATGGTCGTAAACAACCTGATCCGCTATTTGATGTGGCTCTACCTTATGGTAAGTGGAAATAATTATTGACTGATAACAGAGATGTATATTGACAAACTTATTTGAAGGAAATGTGGATGTATGTTCAGAAATGAAGTGCTCTTTTTCAAATTGCTATAAATGACTTGCCATTTTTAAGGAAAAACAAAGTATTGTTTTAATCATACCAAAGACATGGAATTCTATATCAAATATTTAACAACAATATTTCATTTGTTCTTAAAAACTATTATTTAATATAACGATGTGAGATATGTGTAAGGGTTATACAAAAGGGGTTTCCAATGGCATTCATCATGTTTAGGAAAATAGCTTTTTAAAATTAATTATTCCAATGGTATTCATCATGTTTAGGAAATTAGCTTTTTGAAATTAATTATTCTGTCTGCTCTTGTATTTGTATTTATAGCATAATAGGACCATCGGATAAGTAGCTTCCTTTGTTGTATTTTTCAGGAACCACAATTCCATTGGGGATAATGTCAGATGTTAAAGATGAGAAAAGGCCTTACTGCTCATACAATGAATATATCGTTCACGATTCTTCACAGATTTGTCTACGTTATCTTATTATGTATACACCTTAGGGTGTGATGATTATATTTATTATCATTTCATTTTCTCACAAGATCAGCAAAACAATTTACAACATTTGTTCAGCCATGTGTGTTCATTTCATGACAGGAATGATAAATGTAAATATTCTTTCACTAAGATCCATATTTTACAAGCAATAGTTTGGATCTTTCTGTTTTTAAAGTGCTAAATTTATCAGTTTAATATAGAATCATTGTATTATATCATGGCCCTATATTAATTGGCTACAAGAATATTGTAATTTTATCATGCAGTGAAACTTGAATAATCAATCTTTATTTTAAATATTAAATAGTATCATAAAAATTCAAAAAATTTCACATAATATTTATGTATCACAGAATTTTTAAACTTATTTGGAAATGAAATTAAAAAGTTATCCTGGTTTTTAAACTTATTTGGAAATGAAATTAAAAAGTTATCCTGGTTTTTTTTTTTATAAATTCATTTTTGTCTGTAGTTGTTTCTTAATCTATTCAATTGTTGTATCAAAATATCTACACGATTATTTTATATGTAAGAAATTTAATGTTCTTTGTATTCATTATTGTGAGTAAAGTTTTGCAGTGAATATAATTCTAAAATGTTATTTTGTTTTGTAAGATAGATTTATTATATATTATACATATATATACTTGAGAAGAGAATTTATTAACACTTATTATATGCTTGCTTGTATTACTGTATGATCTGTGTGTTGTAATCATGTAAAATTCATTTTCAAGCGAACACATTCAATTTTGTATAAACCAGTCAATCAGTTCAAATCCCTGTCAGATTTAGTAGCAAGCATACTAGTGGTAAGTTTTAGTTACTCAGATTTAGTAGCAAGCATACTAGTGGACAGTTTTATTAATTCTAATTTTGTTTTGAGGTTTGCTTATGATACATCAAAGATATACATTCCTTAATGAAATGGGAACAAATTATCAATGTTTGTATTATAGTTGGAAATATGTGATGTCCGGAGTCAAATAGAATCTAATTGAATGGTTTACTTGTTAAATCCCCATGTTTAGTTAAGAGTATCCATATTTTGCGGTTCATAAATGAGTTAACTGTATCAATGAAATATAACTTTCAGTACAAGATATTTTATGTTTATCTCTAGAAATTATGTTTGTATTGTGCATCGTGCAATATGCTTTTGTAGTGATTATAGGCTTAGATATTGAGTAATATATTGAAATAATAAATGGTTACCAGAGGTCTGATGCCATAAACATTGAAACTATATGATGTTTAACAGATATTATGGAATATTGACAGCAATCTTTATTTATTGGGGTTTATTTCTTCGGGATTAGAGGATATACTCTATCCGATATAGAGCTTGAATGTTTCTCTTAGGGTAATGCGGTCAGAAACTTCATTTATTTTGCAACAATGACTAATGGGACCTCAGTAGACAATGCAAGCACATCTTGTATGTTGTGAAATATTGTGATATCACAGTAAGTTTCCTTATTGGAAAAAACCCATTATTCTACAAAAAAGACTGCTTATCTGTATCTTAAAGTTTCTTCAAATTTGTTTTACCGGTTTTAAGTAAAAGCATGAAAATTTGACAAAGAACAATGAAATGGAGTGTATGCATACTCCATCTTGAACACCCGATACCCCTTCTCATTTAAGGTTTTCACATAGCTAACAAAATGTTGTACTTTTGTGTTGAAAACTGTTCTCTTGATTCACTACACTATAAGGGTGTATAGTCAGTTTTAGTTGTATATACCCTATAAATCATGTGTTTATCACCTCTACTCTATAATATATATTACCTCTCATTATATATAAAGGTTGAAATCACAGTCATTTAAATACCATACATACAGTGTTGTTACTATTCCATATATTGGTATTATGTAGATGATGTCATTTTCATAGTGGAAATAAAATATTAGATTTAATGCTATTTTCTACTCTTGTTTTTATTTTTATACTAGCTGAAAGGTATTATTCCTATTCTAAAAGGATTTTGTTGTGTTGGTGAATAGGTCTGTCAAAACTAAAGGGAATGGTTCTAAATGCTGTTTTTCATTTGAAAAAAAAGAAATGGACTAGTAGAATTGAAAATTTGGAAAAGATACAATGATTTTCTATCTTAACCTTTTTAAAAACATCTGGTATTGGACAAAGATTGTTTCAGATAAGAATTGGCGAAATGCTGTTGGCTAAAAAGTGTTATATCACAAATGTGGATTAAAAGCGATACCCGTAGCAACATGGCACCATCATTACTACTTTACATTAGGTTTGATAAAGGTCCCCGCAGTGTTTCGTTTGATTAGAGCTAATACCACTAGACACTGCTTTAATGGAAGTAAATTTCTGTTCCAAATTATAGTTCGATTAACAATTTGATTACGCTTTAAACATAGCTCCACATTGGACCAAATATGTTTACATGTTGCGTCATGACTCAGGATTTTATTGTGACCAATTAACCAGTGCATAGCAGAAAAACTTTCACCGTATTTAATACCTTAAATCTCTGTCCAAAGTATTAGGGAAGACCCCAGATTAAACGAAGGGCTATCAAGTTGCTGTACTTGGATAGATTTGATTGAACAGGAAGAATAGACACACTCCCTTTAAAGCTCAAGTATCAGAAGCCAATCCAGCAATGGGCAGAGAGGGATTTCTCGGGCCATTGTTTAAGGAATATGGATAAAGATAGTTTTCTGAAACTCTGTTGGTATGAAATGTTGAGAATGTTATGTTACAGAAAAACTTGTTATCATGAGTAAATTATTAATTTACATTTTCAATAAAAAGAAAGGAAGGCAGAGTTCCCATGGGGAATTGAATATAGTGTTGTGGGTAACAATAAAGTACTGGTATATATACTGACTTCGGACATTCTCACAACAGCCTGATTCTTGTCAATGACCATATAAAACTTGAGACAACTGTTTATAATTTATATCTTACCCACATGTATCTGTCTTGTTGCATATTTTAAAGCCATGGATGTGACAGTCAATGTTAGGCAGCTTCCAATTTTAAAGACATCCAAGAAACATTTAGCTTTTCAATACTATAACCTCATTTTTTATTGTAAAATAACCTTTCCTGTATTATTTCTAAATTGAAAAAATTGACTATTTTATCAACCAACTTGACATTAGCTTTTCTAAAGGCAGATACATTGGGTTCTTCAGAAATTTTTACAAATTCTCCAACCTTGTGGGTTTTCTCCGGGTCCTCCCACTGCTAAAGACCCCGACGCACAAGCGAATTATTGAAATAAAATTAACCCATGTGTTAGTCCCAAAATGACCTAGTTTGTGTCGAGTGGATGTTAAACCCATTTCTCTCTCTCTTTTTTTACAAATTCAGTTTATTCCGAAAATGAAAAAACTAGTGTATTCTACATTTGTAAGAAAATGGTTGTTGTTCTACATAGAATAACAATTAAAGGTTAACTTTAAAAATTATTTGGCATAGCCTGTACATAGATTCATCTTGCATAGAAAAAATAGAGATGGTCAACCCAACTCAGTTAATTTTGGCATGTTGGGATCTTTGTGGTTATAAATATTAAGATCATCGGAATGCTGTTTAAAAGAGTTGTTGGCAAAAGAAATTACATGAATTTACATTAAGATTAGTGAAAGACGTACCAGTCTGAATCCGTATAATTTGGATGACCTCCCTTTAACTAAATCTCTAGAACGTGAAGTCATATTTCTGGAACTCTTAATTTGGTAAATAAAAATTTACCTTTGCTGTGAAATTTATGTTTACTGTTTTTCCAACACTGATTGACATTTTGATCTTATTTTGTGGAAAAAAAGAGTGCATTTGATAATGGAACCTTCTGAAATGTTAATACGTGTTTATTGGGAGTAATAAGGTAATAATTCTGACTATAATGATGATAGCAATACTAAATACTAATAATATACTATGCTAATATTGTTAAATACATAGCATAGATTCAAATTGTTTATAATTAAATAGCCAGTCTATAGGCCAAATGAAAATACTAGTATAGCCTAAATAACTGATGGTTGGAACTTTAGTTTCTGTAAAATACAAGTCACTGACAATTGACAAAAGTCATTAATAACTCAGGTCAGCTATTTATAACCATTTCCAGTTCCACACTACGAAATATAAGCTTATCTTATATTATAATTTATATCCTAGTTATAATATAGTAGACTATGTCTACTGCTGCCTCAAGATATAAGCTAAGCTTATATAGTATATTTTCTGTTAATGAATTGATGTCATCCATGATGTGATGTTGCGATTAATTTTATTTGTCTACCAAGCGTGCATGCTGACCAATCAATAGTCAACACACCTTCGTTCTTGTAGGCTATCTGTCAGACCTTTAATAATATAGCCTACTATTTTAGTATTCATAAAGTTTTTACAGAAAGCATATGAAGTGGAGGAAATCTTGAGCCCAGTTCCACGAAAAAGACTATTTTCATGCTTACCTTTAATTACGATACTGAACCCAGATGAAAGTAACCAATAATCAGATGCAACTGGAATATTAAAGTCTGGAGTTACCAAACACCATTTTGCTCTTGATGCCCCCATAAATACATCAAAATTTCATGCACTACCATTTCAGTAGAGGTCGCCACTTTGAATGTCATGTGATATGTATGTGATCGCTGATAGTGATTGGTGCTGCTGTAAAAAATGTTCCATGTATGTTCAGCTACAACGCAGACGACGAACATAGGAATATTCCGGTGGCGAACAAGTTTGATTCACAAACATTTTGTCAGAACATTCTTGTTCATGATTTTTGAATTCGCAGACAGTGAACAAATAGATTGGAACAATGTTTTCATAAATGTTCGGCTAAAATGTTCCATCGTCTGTGTTAGGCTTTACATTACAAATCAGATGATCCTAATTGAATAAAAAATGTATTAATTTCTTCAACATATCTCACAGTGCAATATATGTATGTGTAAACTAAAATGAAAAACTGACATAATTAGTGAAGTAGAATAGTATATAATAAGCAATATCTTCACCACCATCATTGATATAGCAACTCATGAAGATGTACCAATAATACCAGTCTGGGGGGTTCCCGGGTGCTGATTTACATTGTTGGAACCTGGCTGTCAAGAAATTTGACATCTAATGACAAACCACTGTATCTTGAAGTTTTGCTGATAAATATTCTTGTATTTCTTAGAATAGAAATATAAACTGAGAAAAAATGATGTGCAGGACACACTGCATGGTGCCATCCATTTTAGATTGAAATTAGTTAATTGTCAATTTTACCAATGTTTGGAAAATCTTGAACTGAGGAGAGACTTGCTCTACCTCTATTACATCTTAGACTTGAACATTTATTCTAGTATAAAAATAGGCATTTTATGAGTCATCTCAAATAATGAAATTTTCAATACTGAGAGTACTAATCTGATGTGTGCTATTAATAATGTTATTTTTTTGTAGATTACCCGGTACCTGGTAATGCCAAAAATTTGAAGAATCGGAATTGACATAGTTCTCAAACGGCACAATGTATGCTGAGTGGGCATCATTGCAAGATGAGATACATTATGATAAAGGCAATCAGTCAGTTTTACACAAGTTCCCTGCTAGTGTTGGTCGTGATGTAGCATGCACTGTGGTTAAACATATTGCTCAAAATCTAAGTATCGCAACAACCAGTGGGGAACCCAGTACACTAGAAGATGATAAAGATGTTAAATGGACAATGGAGGTTTGTAAATATATATATCTAAAATGATATTGAAAATAAAAGGTTTAGATTTCGATTCAAATGGACTTAAATCAGATTCAGACTTGATTTTTAAAATTACGTTTGTTTAGAAATTATTAAAATGTTTTGTTTTTGGCTCATATTCAGAGGGAAAAGCATTTGAGATCAATGAAAATTTTCTACCATTATTCTGGTTGAAGTTTGTCATTTTGGATCAGAGAGTGTCTTACAATTGAATCAGATGAGAACATTCAAAATTCACCTGAATCTAGATTCATATCTTTTTTCATTCAGTTAGAAGCGAGTATATCACCCCGTTCTGATAAACACCTCTAATCTAAATCATGCTGCTCTATACATAGACTCATTAATAAAATTACATTTGAACATGCGACACAGCCTCCATGTATACGATGTAGGAATTAAAATCAAGTTAAAATATTATAAGTTCAAAATGTTTTGGTAGTCCTTCTGAACCTATATTTTTTGTAAGATAGATAGATTTTATAGTTTTTATGAAAGTGTTTTCTTTAATTGTCTAGTACATTGATCACTTTTTGAACAGGTACTGTGTTATGGACTGGGCCTACCGTTAGTGGAACATACAACTATTAAAGATTGTATAAATGTTTATTGTGAGTGGTTGACAGCTTTAATGACACCTAAACCATGTGTTCCACGATCAGTAATAGATGATCCAAATCCATTCGCTCAAGTTATGTTACACCATCTTTTAAACTTATTTAAACCAAGACAAGAAGCAGGTGAGTAAATAGACAAATGTTTTCAGTATTATTGATCAAAAGCTGATGATTAGATTGTTATCAGTAGTCAATTTAAATTGAACTTGATCAAATTAAATGATAAGGAAGAAGAGAGACATTTGTCATATTTAATGGTGCATGAACAAATTTGTATCAGATTCATAAACATTAAACACTTCTTTATCTTAACATATAAGTGTTAGATAATCAGTATTTTGTTTTCATAGTGTCTTCAGAGATTCTTTTGGCAACAAAGTTTGATCCAAGTGATCAACCTATATACTTGATACCACTACAATTTTCTTGAAAGTCAAAAATAGAGTTGAAGACAATACACTATCTGAATCACTTTTAGTAAAAAAGATTCTGGTCCAAGAATTATTTAAATCAAGCAATTGTGGCTTAAGTTATCGCCATTTAAAGTTTACCGGTGCATTTGATTTTAATAATATCACACTGCCAGAAATACATTAATGATAATTCTGCTCGTTCTTCGAGAAACTTTATTTTGTTCCCAGATGAGGTTAATTACATAGGAAAAGAAGTCTTTACATTGTTGGATTGTTGTACCTGTAATCAGATACATTATTAACAAGTAGTCCTGTATGTGTGTAGGGTTGGGTGGCCGAATGTTTAACGCATGCACATTGGATCATAAGGTCTGTCTTTGAGTCAAGTAGCATGGTTTCATTTTCCCGCTTGTATGTGACAAGGAGTAGGGTTGCCTCTCTAACCTTGTGGGTTTTCTCCGGGTCCTCCGGTTTCCTCCCACTGCTAAAGATCCCTAGGCGCATGCGAAATATTAAAATAAAATGGAACCATATGTTAGTCCTGAAATTACCTGGTTTGTGTCGAGTGGACGTTAAACCCCATTCCCCATTTCTCTCTCTCTCTTAGTTAAAATAGAATTCATAAATTTGTGTTTTTTTAGGTGTAGATTTGGTTAATCGCCAAGCGATATTGTGTCATAGAGTACTGAGAACTATAGAAACAGTAGCTAAGGAATCCAATATTCTGTCTCGTGCTACATGGGAGACATTACTTAGATTCTTACTAGCAGCTAATGATAGTCTGTTATCACCTCCTACAGAAAAAGGTATGGTATCAATTATCCTTTTAATTTTATTGTTGATGGTTTATTTATCCTGTGCATTATTATTTCTGATTTCAACAGACTAGAATGATTTATCATTTGGGAAATATTTTCCACTAATTCAGTTATTGCCCATTTGGTTATTTTTTAAAATCATTAAATTTTGACTTTTTCTCTTGAGAAAAAAAATGCAAAATTTGTGGCATGACTTTTTGTGCAACCATTTTATGTAAGTGTGGATAATTTTTGTGTCAACTTACATAATTTATTTGATTAATTTTGAAATTGAATGATATTTTGGATGAACATTTTAAAATGAGATATGCGATTGTTTTGTTTTTGTATTCATTTAAATATTTGTAACTAACATTAACTGCATGGTTTTCTGTTTTACGCAGACGATACAGGATTAAGTTCATGTAAGTTTTATTCGGTAAATTTAGCGCCACCATGGAAATTTGTTTTTATATTGTACACAGGTTAATGTTATGCTTCTTGTCACGTCTGTCTCTCTCAGTTCATATCTGTTCGTTGTTTTTCTTTTTATTTTATTGATTTTTAAAATTCTATTTTAATAATCTTATTTTAGCATTCTTACAGTAATTATACTTAGAATCTTGATATTAAGATATTTTCTTGCAGGAATTTGTTTTGATCTTAAGTGGAAAGTTTATTAGTTTTATTAAAGATATATTTGATGGAGAATCAGGACCATAGTTATATGCTACTATGTGTTGAGTTGTATGTCTAAAACCACCCCAAAATTTATTTTTTCAGTCATAAATTCAATAGCTAGCAATTGACAGGGATTAGATTTCAGATAAATATCCACCATTTGTCGTCTTTAAATAGCAGTCAGCCACAAAACCATACACTACCTCTAAAGAAATGAAATTAAAAGAGATGGTTTTCAACGTCCTGTTTTTTTCGGCACCAAATGGGCTGATGAAGACTGGCATGCCATGCAGTGGCCAGACAGCAGAATTTCCACACATTCTGTTCATTGAATTCCTACTGTCAAGGATTCTTTTTTGTGAACACTTATGTGTTCGTGGATGAACTTCTTCTACCTTGACAATCCCTCGATCCTGCACCTCTGACACTGGATTTGACACTAGTTTGGGCTATCCTTGATTTTTCACTATAGTCTGTCATATGTCTGATCTTGCCATTGTATCTCTAATGGTAAATGCTGGGAGGCTGCACCACACATAATTACACAAAACAAATCTGCGGACAAGACACAATATGCAGAAATCGCAAACAAACGTATCATGTATCAGATTATGTGAATGGATCCGGGGGCTAGCCGTAAGTGTCCACTGTGTTGTATAGTCCCTGTACAGTACATTACCACCATACAATACATTATTTCATGCTACATGTAAGAGTATACTTTTAAAGGCATGAGAATTTTTTTTTTAATACTTTTTGTGTGTATATTACATTTGTCCAGTCAGTCTCTTTTTAGTTTATGATCTAGATCAAATTACCTTTGGCAGTTTCTTAACCAAAGACTATGGCCATGATGGTCTAAAAATGTCAATAGGTCAAACTCAAATCCATTTGTACTGACTGTCAATGTTTCATGAAATAGTCTGTACAATTTGTACGACAGTCTTGTGTATTGTGTTAGTAATATTTGTTTGATCATCAAGGATTTTCAAATTTAAGGAAACATTTTTACGTTGGGGTCTGTTGTAACTTGTGTACAAATTTGTTCTGGTCCGGTAGCATCATTCTGAAGGATAAGAAATGTTCAACAAACTGCATGTCACATTACAAATAATATACCCATGTAATATTTCGTAAGTACTGACCCACTTGCCAATAATTAAAATCAAATTAACCAGACAACAAATTTCTCCCCCTACCTTTTATACATGAAGGGTTATCTGTACTTTTACTCTCTTGTGTCTGTGTTGAGATGACAGCATCCTCGGTATCCTCAGTGGTTTCAATCCGTTCTACTCCACTAACCCCTGGGTTAATCTATGGGGGAGAGACGTTTTCAAGTTATCCAACCTTGATGGTTGTGCTATTTTTATCGACCAATCCCATAAATCGTTAATTGCAAAGGAAGTTGGCATAGGGAAGTAACTCTCAACGGACAAGGTTGGGAGTTAGCCTAAATGAGAGAAGTCCAAATTATTCTAAATGCGTATTTATTAACAAAAAATTTATAATATATATTAATGAAGACCATGCGTTTATGTTGGTTCAAGAGTTTTATTGAGAACCGTTCGTTAGTTCGTTCGCCGAGTTTACATCCAACTGATATCATAGACAAGTTTTTGTGAATTAAATATCTAAGTATAAAGGCCATTTTACACGATCCCACTTCTGTTCAAGAACACCATCCAACATTTGTAGGATGATGTTCAAGGTCATGATCGCATGAGGCGTCCACGAACATGTCAATTTACACCATACAACATTTAGTGAACATGTTCAAGATTGTTGATGGATTTTGGAGAGAAACCTCACTGTTCCATCATGGATTCCCACAGAAGGTTGGTTTCCATTGGAGCAATTAGCAATCAATCAATCAATCAGTTAGATTTAAAAGACAATTAGATTGCCCCATTATATATTATATGTTAATCTTAATCTCAAGGTGACAAGTGTCAAACCAAATAGTAAATTCTAATGGCCTTTAAGTATCTCATCATTTAATGGTATTGGTTACTTAATATAGAAAAAAATGTTCCATTTTGTTTTAAAGTCATGCTGAATAATTTCCCAGTCATACATTGTTTATTGACAAACTATTTATATTAATTATAAACTTTATCAAATTACTTGAAATTAAATGTAGTTACAGTTACAACAACAGTTTTTATCACCACCGCCCTTGATGTAATATTTTATAAAAATGACAATTGATACAGAAAAATCTATTATTGTGGATTGATTAAGACTTTTATCAAATTACTACTTGAAATAAAATGTAGTTACAGTTATAACAACAGTTTTTGTCACCACTGCCCCTCTCTTTAAACTTTATTTTTGCCTTGTGATATTTTATAGAAATCCCAATTCAAACAGAGAAATCTATTATTGTGAATCGAAGATTATTTTGAGCCCAATTTTCTTGGTGCTTCATGGTAGAAAAAAAATGAGGTTGTCTGTAAAAAAGATTTTTCTTTATATAGTCAAAAAGTAATGGGTAATGGTAATTAATAACATTGCTACAAATGGGAAAGTAATTGTCATGTGACCCAATACACCACGTGACCCAGAGAAGCATTCTCATTGGTTCAAGGCCTTGAACACTGTCCTACCATGTTTAAATTAATGTGCATGCTCGAACACCATCCAACATGTTCAAGCTTGTCCAAGCTTGTTCACAGTTGTTCAAATTCCCATACACATGATAGGACATTTTCCTGCGAACATCATCCTACAAATGTTGGATGATGTTCTTGAACAAAAGTAGGATCGTTCGTTTCTTTTCGTTCGTTTCTGGAGTTTTACGTCCACTTCCACCTAGGGTGATATCTCAGACAAAAAAAAAAAAAGTAGGAACGTGTAAAATGGCCTTAAGTTCAATAATAATAAACATAACAGAATGAAACATTTCAGACAAAGAACGAATAGTAATAATAATAACAAAAGTCAAACATATAGATGTTATACATATTATTTGAAATCAGCAAAACATACCACAGATTTTGATAATGCAATTAAATATAAATGAATTAATAATATATACATAACTTACATAAATCATTCAGTAAATGGACATCAATATGGTTATCTACCCTTATAAAAACAAAGTGAAATGACAGGTTTGTAAACTGTTTTTTTGATTGGTTTGTAGACTATAGCTACAATCAAGGCTAGGGCAGATAATTTGAAATCATGGAAACCCTATGGATTAACCCGGGGTATAGTGGAGTAGGACGGAATGAGTACACTGGGAATACCAAGGATGAGATGACAGCAGAGTTGACTTGCTGATCAAGTTGAATCTAAGATTCCATCATACCAAATTATTGATGAGGGCCCAATTTTTCATTTTCTTTTATTTGCTGGTGTTTATTTAAGTTTGTAAATTATGTTAAGAAAGCCTGTGCCATGTTAAATATATTTGCCTATATATGTATGACAGTTGTACTAGTCGCTAAGACTCGCTATTTCATTCTACTATATTCTGTGCTTTTACTTTTCTGTCCAATGTTTGCATGGAGATCTTAGTTTATGTGATTGTTTTCAATTTTTAGAATATTAGATTGCATGTTGATGTAAGCTTAAAATATCTTAAATTAGATATTAGAATATGGGATTTTTTTGTGCAATTTGGACAATCTAGCTTTGGTGTTGTGAATAAATCATGATTATGTAGGAGTTTTTATGAGCCCACATTTTCATGTGGACATATGCCGTCACCCCTGTCTGTCCATCCATCCACAATTTGTTTGTGGACACTCTACGGGTCACAATTTTTATCCAATTTTGACGACCCTTGAAATATAGTTCTATCTCCCAAAGATCTTGGCTCCTTTCGATATTTGCATGTATCGGACCATAACTTAATGGATTATGGCCCCCGATTGTATGAAATGTCACGTTTTAAACTTGTGGTCCCTCTAGAGGTCACAATTAATATTCTATTAAAAAAACTGTTTGAATATATCATTCTTACACCATAATGTCGGTTGGGTTCGAATTTCGTGAAAATCGGACCAAAACTACCAGGCAAAATGTGCGTCCCTCCTACGGAAATACATGTAGTGTAAACATATGGTATTGTGAACCCTCTAGAAGTCACAATTTTGATCCGATTTTGATGAAACTTGAAATGTATGTTTATAACCCAATAATCGTGGTTCCTTTTGATATTCACGCATATCAGACTGTAACTTTCTGGATTTGGCCCCTAATTTATATCCAATTTTAAAATCCGTTTAAATATATTCAAATTTTGGGAAAATCGATACGAAACTGCCCAACAAATTGTGTAAAAGTATGTCATATGAAGGTTGTAGACGTCACAATTTTTATTTGATTTTGATGAAAGTTAAAATATATCTTTGTATCCCAAAAATCTCAGTCCCTTTCGATATTTATGCATTTCAGACCATAACTTTCTGGATTATGGTCCCAGATTGTTCGAAAAATCGCTTTTGTTTTTAGTTTGTTCTCTATCCATCTCTTGCAAAATGTGGGCCTATCTTGCCTGGCAACTGCTGGTTAGAGTCTTGGTATGATCTATTTAAACTTCATGTAGATTTTAGTCTTAAGCTATCAAATGTATAAGCACTTTAAAGCTACATTATGCAGGCCAATAAAATACTTTTTGCCAGGATTTGACCATTACATTGGGTGAGTTCAATTAGACTGTTTTCAAAATGTGACACTGATCTTCCAATCCATGGCTTGAGATAGACTTGTTTCAAGATTCATTGTCTGTAGTGTACTTATATTTATTATAACCAATAGTAATTTTCAGTGAGTTTTTTACAAAATGCTTCGCTGTAACTAAGCTAGTGCCTGGATTTTCAATAATTAGCTGTGTTGAGGGTTTCATTAGAACGTACAATATAAAACTAAAATTACATACACTGTAAATATTTTCTTGTCGAAAGTGATTTGTGTCTTTTTAAAGCATGTCGTCACTAAGCTTTACAGTTTTATTTTACTATACCTTGTTGTTATAGTAGGCCATTCATCGGACATATTAGGATTGAAATTATTGATTTAATCAAGTTCTATTAGCAAACAATATTCTCAAGCAAGACAGCAAGAATTTCATTGATAATGAATATAGAATCTTGGAAAGCCTATTGTTAATTTAGGGTTGTTTTTAATTTGTTTCTATGGTAATAATAACTAATTTTCTATTATCATTATACACATTTTTGTTTCTTTGTAACACAGCTAATTTTGTTATTGTGATACTCAATATATTGATCGTCGATTTTGTTTCTTTTGGGGAGGGGGAGATACGATTAAGTTACCATGTATTACTAGGCATGTGTAGAATCAGTTTGGCATGTTGTTATGTTGATTGTTATGTTCAGAATCCGTTGACATGTCATGTTTAGTATTTACCCAGGTGATACCATGGGAAGGATTGAATATAGAGAATTATGATCTATGATAATTTTGTGGTCCTTAAGAAACAACATAGACTAAAATCTTGCTATACTTTATATGTATTATATTTTGATTAATGGAAAGGTTCCATAGTCTCTTATATTAGTGTCTTTGTATATCTATACCTGTAGGAAAAAACAGTTTATTTGTGACAAATTTGGAAATTTTTACCCAAGATTACTTGATCCATATATTTAATGGCTAATTGATGCAGTACACTTCTAAAACAAAAAAGGTGTGTGCAACACAGACACTTAAAGCGATATGGAAACCTATCCAATCTATTTTACATATTATTACATTATCTTTGTATATTTCAGATGATATTGGTGATCATCTCTGTGAACGTGTTCTCAGTGTCTTGTTTGGAATATGGCTAGTAGCATGTACCAAATGTTTTCCATCACCGTCACTTTGGAAAACGTTTCGTAATATGTGTCTATTTTGGCGACATCATGAAGGACTGGTACATCAGTGGCACAAAGTAAACTTTGCTTTGACATCCAGACTTATGCGCAATATGTATGGTCCTGATTATCCAGAACTTGTCATTAGTATGTTTCTTTATGAAATTTATCTCATTTAGACATTAAGTTCATATAAAAACCCAATGCTGCAATAGAACCTCATTCATGAATAATAGATTTAATTTTCTTAGTTTTACAAGCTTGTGCCTTAGTATTTATTAAAAGTTGATGTCACTGTTCTGATTTTCACTTTTAGTAAAAACTGTCAAATTTTAATCTATAGTTAACCCTTAACTGGTCGACGTCATTTTGACGTTATGACGTCAAGTGGTCAGGCTAAATAAAGGCTGAAGTGAAATATTTTGTATGCCTATTTCAATCGACAACTGCCGAATAATTATAAGTGATAGACTTTTGACACCAATAAAAAAGTTGCTGGGGATAAGTTGATCTATAATTTGCAAATCATTCTAAATCCTTTTCATCAGAAATATCGTCTTCAGAATCGGTGTCATCGATATAATCCGATTTGGAATAATTCATAAGTATTTCAACCACTTCGAGCGTCTTTAACGTTCTCGACGCCGTTAAATTACGATGTTCGTCAAAAAATGTTGAACAAAGACATGTTTTTCTCAATGCCCTTGACAAGACAAGTTCCTGTCTGACATGCATGCGTGGCCATATCAATTATATACGAAACTAAATACTCAAATGTGGCTAATAAAAAAGATTCTTGCTGTGGTCGACTTTAGTCCACCATGACCACTTAGCTGTATAACGTTGTTTTTGTATTTATTTGTATGTATTTGTATTTTAGTTGAAGACGATTCTCAGATTATACCTGATGGTATGACAAATGAATGTATTGCTCAGACCTGGTTTCGTTTTCTACATATTGTACAGAATCCAGTTGATTTATGTCACCCTGAAATTATAAGTCAGACACCAAAATTTTTACAATATGCTCTAACTAATCAAGCTGTCGTAGAACCAAGTCAACATGAATGTCTGTTGAAATTGCCACCCATATTTCATAAAGCTATGAAAGGAGTATCAGTCATGGTCAATTCTTTCTTAGGTATGTTGACATTATTTGACTCAGTGCTGTAATGCCAATGGTTTTAACTTCAAGAAAACCCCTTATTCTCATTTTACTGGCGTTGTGCCTGTTGGGTTTGCTAAGATGTGTGTCAGACATACACATTAGCTGTAGAAAATCAGTTAACAATTTGGAATTCAAACACAAGGATTGAAATTACCCTTCTCAGGCAAAGTGCTGTCTTTCTGCATTGAAATCTCAATGATGGAAATAAATCTCAAATTGACCTACAATCATTGCTTATCCATACCTTTCTGTGATGATTAGGTAGATTTTAAAAGTAAACTTGTGCATAGACACAGTTAATACAAAACTGATGAAAAAAACAACTACAGTCTGAGTGAAAGATTTTGCTGCTAGTTCTTATAAGCCAGACTAAATTTCATAAATTCAATATGTGATTTTTATCCATTTCTTACAAAAACATTGTTTTAATTTCGCCAGGAATTCCTCAGACAGTGAAGTCTGAAGGACGGGCAGCTAATCAGACTCCAACAGGTAAAGCAGCCACACCCTCAACACCACCTGGACAAAGAAAACCTGCTGGTAATCCTATAGCTGTATTTGCTGGTTCACTAACACAGAGAGGTAAAGAACATTCAACTATTCTAAATGTATATATTTCTAGTCCACAGTATAGAAAAATCATCAGATTTAAAAATCTCAACAGAATGGTTGAATCTCGACCATCTATAAAAGCCCACAAATTCTGAAAGGTAATTGTCTGTGATATCACTTCCATTCTAATTTCCAAGGCCTGTTTTCCATGTATATGTTTTCGAGCTGGTTCTCGTCAGAGGAAAAGTCGATCTAATGCAAATGTAATGGAACTCTTTCACTGTACCAGCGAAAATGCGTACATAGAAAAACAGGCCTAACTGTAAAAAGTCATGGAAATAATTAACATGGAGTAAAACCCTGATTTCAGTTTGATCAAATGTTTCGTTAAATATGAGGGATCTATGTCCCAGTTCTTTTCACCATAAATTTTACAATAAGATTAATGAAACATTTGATTTCCGTTTATATTTTAGCTATATCAAAAGAATCCAAGATTGCTGTTCAGAAATCAGTTGTTACTGCTCCAAATGAAGAAACCCAATTATTATCATTAGAAAGTAGATGTCAGTTTGCACCTGCTAGACCACACTGTAACAGTATATTACATCTTTTTAGTGCTTGGTTATTTGATGCTGCCCTGGCAGGAGTGAAACTACACAGTTGTCATGCTGCACCAGGTATATGCTCATATCTTTTGCTGATAACATAAAGAATCAGTACAATAAATATTCCACACTTAAAATTGGATAAACAAAGAGACAAGTTCATGTTTAATTAGACAAAGAGAATACTACAGGTGACCAGTTCTGTCAAAAAATTAATGCACAGCTTTATGCAGCAGTATCTGCATTCAGAGTCAATAGTAACCAAAACAGCAAATTTCACATATTTCTGTTAAGTTTGTTTTTGTTGTTTTTTTTTTTCATTTTGCTGGAAACTTAAAATTGGTCAAACTAAATATTTTGCATGTTTCGTGCTGTATCTTACCATAAATATAGGGTCTGTCAGGATTTGTTATACATTGTCTCAGTAAATAACTGTTACTAATGCTTACGCCTTCTAGAACACCCAATTCCACTTCCCATTTATTGTCCAGAATTTTCTAAAAATTTATATCTAGCTTTCATTATTATCTATCCTTTGTTTTAAAAAAAGATAATTGAACTATCTCCTTGAAGTAGACAGTCTTTATGATATTTGATTTGCATTCTGTTTCTCATATTTTATTTTAGTCAAAGCCCAGCGTAGAACAAGTTCCTTTATAGAATCTAAACATAGTTCTGTATCAGTTGATCAGTCAGATGCAATTATGATCAATGATAATACTTATGAAGCTGGTCGAGCTGAGGCATGTGGTACTCTGTGTAGAATATTCTCAGCACATAAAACAGGAGAAGATATTCAGACTGTTTATTATTCAAGATTTTATATAATCATGTATTATGGACTTCAGACTGATGAGGTAATATTTCTTATATATCATTTTATTGTAAGGTTTAATTTAGTGCTGCAACTATTGAATCATACAATCTAGGACACAGGACACTAGCGCTCTAAGAACCTTCACAAAATGTGCACAAACTTCCCTATGGATGCCTAAAAAAGGTATGATTTCGAAGGAACAATATATCAGTTCCTTTCAATCTTTCCCTCAATATATAAAATCTTAAATTTCAATCATATATTGATATTTATTGCTTTTTTGTTTTACAGAACACTATCAGTGGTGAAGTATTATCTAATTTATTATTTAATAGTTGTGATTTACTGAGAGTCGATTTAGCAGGTGTGCAGATATTGGTACCCTATATATTAAATGCCTTGGAACTTGTACTTACATCGAATACACCTAATTTCAAGTAAGTAAAATATCTGTATTTACCGGTACTTCAATCTGATAAATGATTTTAATTATGTATAAATTATACATAGTTCTTTCTGTATTTGTGTAATCTGACAAATGTTTTTAATTATAAATATTTGTTACTGATGTATTTTGTATGATGTTAATTATACATCTTCATTATTAATGTATTTTGTTTATTTTAATCTATAATTATACATTTTCATTACTAATATATTTTGTATATTTTAGTATATGATTTTAATTAAACATCTTCATTACTAATATATTTCATATATTTTAGACTTTGATTTTAATTATACATCTTCATTATTAATGTATTTTATCATTTTAATTAGATGTCTTTGTTATTAAAGATACATTATGTAAGATTTAGATAAAGAGCTAGCCATTCTTGCTATAAAAGTTTAAAAATAGATAATGAAAAATTAATATATTGAAAATGACATTCAAATTACTCTATTCTGAGCCAAGTTATCATTGTAGTTTTGCCAAGATATGTGGACACAACTACAGATCACAATTTTTATCTGATTTTGATGAAACTTGAAATACAGGTTCCTTTCGATATTGGCATGTATCAGACCATAACTTCATGGATTATGGCCCCTGATTGTACGAAAAATCCTTTTTTTAGCTTGTGGACACTCTAGAGCTCACAATTTTCATCTGATTTTGATATTTATAACCCAAAGATCTTGGTTCCTTTCGATATATGTGCATATCGGATCGTAACTTCATGAATTATGGCCCTTGATTGTACAAAAAATCACGTTTTTGTCCAATTTACGAATACATTCAAATGTATCACTGTTACACCCTAATGGCCGCTTCTTGTACTACCAAGGTTGTGGACCCTCTAGAAGTCACAATTTTTATCCAATTTTGATTAAACTTAAAATATATCTTTATATCTCAGGGGATACTCGATTGAACGTTCCGGAATTAAATTCTCTCCATTCTGAAAATAGTGTCAATCGAGTGAAAAGGAGAATTTCTGAGTACAACGCATGTGCCGACTGCATAAAAAATATCTCAACCAATCATGGCAGCTGAAACATATTTGTTACTTAAAATACGTTACGATTCTACTCACACCACCTCAGCTGTCGGGACTGGCAGAACTGTGACTGGACTGAATTCTGTATCACTTGATTGCAATTCTGTCAATTCAGGACGTTTTGGACTGACAATCGAGCACCCCCTATGTCTCTTTCGATATGCGTGCATTTCAGACCATAACATTCTGGATTATGGCCCCTGATTGTACGAAAAATCGCTATTTTGCCTGGCAACCACAGGTTAAATTAAATCATTAAATGGATGAACCGTTCTAATCTAGTTAAAATCTTGAGTATCCGATGGCATCGAGAGTTGATTATGGTCTTGTCATGTTAATAGATGTCTAATTAATAATTTATGTAACATTTAAGGCCTAAAGAAAGACCTGCAATAGGCAAATTTAGCTCTTGCATAATGTATCTTTAATGTATTTTGCCTCATTTAGACTATGATTTTAATTATACATCTTTTTTATTGATGTATTTTGTATATTTTAGACTAAGATTTTTATTGTACATATTCGTCATTGATGATTTTAATTATACATCTTTGTTATTGATGTATTTTGTATATTTTAGACTATGATTTTAATTATATGTCTTTGTTATTAATGTATTTTGTATATTTTAGACTATGTGATCAAATACCATATGTTGAGTTAAGAAAAGCCTGTGTTCACCTCTTATTATCTATGTTATGTTTACCTTTACATTTTAAAGATTTAGAGATAAAAGGTAAGTACAGAATTATGACATTACTATATTTTACATGCTACACATAAATACCAAAGATCTTTATTACCTTTATGTCTGACAAGAAATTGGATCACAAGTGTTTCTTCAGGAAAATTTTTACTACCTTTACATATGGTGCTTTCCTCACTGCTTAGCAAAATAATAAATAAAAGAGTTATCTAATGTTATTACCGATATGACCTAGGTATGTTGAGTGGACATTAATAGAATCTATTTCTCCACACCTAATATCACAGTTCAAACTTAGAATTGAATATATCAAAATGTTTTTGTTTTTTTACAGATATTTTATCTCATCCAGATGATGAAGATTGTCAGAAATCAATATCATTTATGTCTCTGAAAGTTCGTATAATAGATCTCTTACAGAAGGCTTTGTTTTTAGAGACAGATTCAAACAATACTCAAATGTTATTAGGTAAATATAATATTTAGACTATACATAATAGATATATACACATTGTTGGCTTGTATTCCTTACTATTCTTTGAATGTATTTATAAAACTAAAGGTGATATTATAAATGTTACAAATAGTTATTGTGTATTTTACTAGGTGGATTAATGTTAGTAGTGCAAGATCTTGCTACAAGTGAACAAGCTGAACAAATAACATTACAACCACAACATGATATATCAGATACAGATGTACATGCAGGTTCGTGCAGATTTTATTCATTTCTCTCCTTTAAACATACATAATCCAAGCCAAAGTAATTTTGGCTAGGATGTTGGGTTTATTGACGTTTTGATCATTTTTATTCATCATATCATTGTAAGTACTGAATGAAATTAAACTATTTTTAGACTGATATTCCTTTTACAGGTTTAAGTTTAACAATATTGTAGTTTGAATGAAACTGACAATCTACCTCTTCGTCTTGTTAAATCAAGACTTTTGGTATAGAAATCTGGGTCTAATTCTTCTGATATCCTGGATTGGATTCAACCTGTTCAAAGTTAAAATATTTTGAAATTGTGTTGTTCAAGATTTCAGATTAGAATTTGTTGTTACCATAATGATTTATAAGTTGATGATAAATTATTTAAGATATGTTATTATATTATAGATCTAAGTGGTACTAGTGTAGGTACATCATCTACTGATGGTAGTTATCAAGATACATCATATCATCGTTTGCATCATCATCCTAAAGATCAAGGTTACAATACTTCTTTACTATTTATAAATCTATCTAGTCATATCCTCTATACCAGTGGTTCTCAACCTTTTATTGCCAACACATGAAAAAAATAGCGGCACACCTGGCTAAATATATATGAAAAATATTTGAAATTTGCAAAATAAAAACACGACAAGTCATAGACGGCATACAATCGTAGACACAGATTAGTCACAGCCACATAGAATGACTCAAACTAAATAAAAAAAACCACTGCTATGAACTTACTTTATTGCAGTGTTTCCAATTTCATTAGTCAAATAGCTGTCTTCTTTAGTGAGAAATTTTCTTTGTGTGCCGTTCAAAATTCTGCGGCACACTTAATAGGAAGATCTCACAGCACACTGGTTGAGAATCACTGCTCTATACTATAGTCATACATTCAATGACTAGATATATTGTACACGCGTTCAATGGCTACAAATATGTATATATATCGTTCAACTATCAGAAAGTATACAATTTGGGCATTGTTTTATTGAAGAGTGTTTCTGGAAGTAAGCAAAACAGAAATTCTGTGGATAACTTAATGAGTTATTTAATTTGAAGAGGGTTATAGAGATTATAATGTGAGATATTTATGGGATAAAATCAACTCTATTATAGTGCTATATACGCACTATCTACTATTATTTGTTAACTGACATTAATAATTACTGGAGGCATCCAGTTGACTTACATATATGATACCATAAACTGCTCAATTTCAACTTTGTGACAATATGCAAGAAAGTTTGATATGAATAATGCCATATGATAATATGTCATATATTGTCAGTTGCACGGATGCAATGAGATCTTTCTGAATATGACTGATAGGGGAAGTAACTCTGTATACAACTCCTTTCAGTCATATTATCTCCCCTTAGACCACATATTTTTTAAATTTGAACTGATTCAGACTAAATCAGATTTGTGATAATGTATCTGTATCTGTCTGTATGTATGTAGGCCAATTCTGGCATAACATGCTGGTAGGGGAGTCACCGATATTGGCGTTGTTGATGGGCTTCCTTGAAGCTCTCGACTGTATCGAGGGAGTTTTTATAGTTTTGAGTTGTTGCACATCTGATTTGATAACAGTCTAAATGGTTCCTGGTGTATTTCTAGACTATGTCTGATTGTATTGAGTGATTTGAGTCTTTATATGTTTTTGCTTTTATTTGTCTTTTTTCTTTCACAGGTGTTAAATAACTTGTTTTGTTTATGGCCATAGATTGCAACCATTTGTTTTTCAGATACAGCATATGGATTATTTGGTCAAGCGACATCATTAGTCTGTAATCGTTTGATGTCATCATGGATATCTGATCTAAATACTGCCCTTGCTGCTATCGAATTATTAGCTGGTTTGGCTAAAGTTTCTATCAAACCTCCAAATTTATTGATGTGTAAAAGAACTGTCAAGTGGATCTGTGATTTTATAGCTAATCAGTGTAATCGTCATGCTCAACATCATACTCGTGATCTACACTCTGTGATCGTAGCCACATTTAAATGTCTACAGCTATGGTTGGTAGAACATAGTTGTTTGCTATATGATAAAGATTGTCTACATATTGTACTAGAAGTTGTAGAACTAGGAATATCAGGTTCTAAATCTCAGGTAATGTGACATTATTGTCTACTTAACAAATACAAAATACATCATGACTTCTAATTCAAGAAACTATTTTTTCTTGAAAATTGAGATATTAACTCTTCCACTGCTAAGCTTGGACAGACTGGAACAGATCGCCTGCTTACGATTTTATGCAAAATGCTTGAATTTGAATATGTTGATTATTTTCTTATCCAGATTTGAATCAATCCCAGCTACTTTCACTACTATATTTATAAAATTACGTGTCATCGTCAGCAAATATTTCACTCAACATGTTTCTATTATCGTCACCGTCTGCTTTTTTGGTATTGAATGTAAAATTGTAAAGAATGATATTTGTAGCAGACTTAAATATAAACATCTAGCTCTCTCTTTATAGAAACAAGTATATATCCCCCATGTTTATTCTCCTATTTATGCAATAAACATCTGTTTATTGTGACCAAATGACAAATGCAATGAAATGAAATGGGGTTTAACATCCTACTGGGCTAATGAAGACGGGAATATGCTATACAGTGTGCTATGAGTAAATTTTTGCCATCACTGACAAGGTGGAACCAAGCCAGAAAATCCTGATGAACTTTCGCGGCCAACAAAGGAATTAAATGCCAACGTCTTACTCACTGCCCCCCCCCCCCAAATAAAATCCAAAGAAATAAAGAACAACGAAGATCTTTGTATTTATCAGTGAAAGTGTTACAATACTTTTCTCCCTTTCTCTTACCAACTGTTATCATTGGGCACGGAGTATTTTCTTCAGAAATACATTTTTTTTCCTGAAAATAGAAAATTGTTAAATATTCTCAAAACTAAATTTGTTTGATCAGGCAAGATGGAAAATTTGGGCTGGTGGTTACTGGAACATCCCATTTCATAGAACACTATTTTACAAAATTCATTGCAAGACACTATTCACACACAATAATTTCAATGCTTGCAATGTAGATATATTGTGTTCACTGATTTTGATTTAGTCATCAATGCCATTAAAAAAAGAAACACTGCATTATCTTGGTTTTATTAATTTAATTCATGTGTTATGATTTCAAATTTATTTCACCTGTTTAATTTAGGTTGTGGTTATTATTTGTATTTTTAGTTTTTACGTATTCGGTTTCTTTACCTTTTGTGGAAGGTGTGTGAATGAAACTGTTTTATTTTTTCTTAAATTAACTTTCTTTCATATACTGCGATATTTATCTAAATCTTTAAACTAATTGAACCATGGTAGCTGCCGCTGTTAAATAAAATGTATTAATTTGAGCATCATCATATTTTGCCTTAATGATTGCTTCAATCAAAATAATGAATTTTTTGTGCACTATAATTCCTTATGAGCATTAGCTTCGAATATTTAGAAATACACATCATCATGACAAAACAGTTTGTTGCAATAAACAAAATAAATAACACTATGACCAATATAATTCTGACAGTAAACACCAAATTCTAATCGTTTATTATTTATATCTTGTGTTATTTCTTTTGATTCTTGACACAAGTTGTTTCGTCATGTGATACAGCAAGCTATGATTGTATACCAATTAAAAACTTGGTCTTTGGTAGCATTTTTATCTTAATAAAATTTTATCCATGTTTTCCTCTCTGTTTCCTTAATTTAAATATGATGATGTTAAATATGTGTCTTTAGTTCCTTTCTGTATTTAATGCAAAATTTATTTCTTCTGCTTTCAATGCATGACTAAAACACAGGTTAAAGTAACAGAAACACAGACAATCAAGATACGAGATAATAAATCTGTTGCTATGTCGAAGGTATAGATTCATCATTACTGTATATGTAGTACACTCACAGCTTCAACACTAACTATTGTAGTGTTCGGCTGTCCATCTTGTAGTTTCAACATATTTCTAGACTTCTCTTTATGCATTTTGTGCCTAAAATTTTATTAGTTTCATATTAAATATAAAAATAACTTATAATCGTTCCTGTTGCATTTAGATAGTTGCTGTTCGGTTTGATTTTCGCTGTAGTAGCTTTTGTAACGTTAAAGTCGCCGATCCAAGTCATGCATTTCTTGGTCATTATCTAATTTTTCGATGCTTAATCCATGCTAAAATGTATTCAGATTGATTATGTAACATTTAATTAAGAAAACAAAACCAAATATCAGTGGTAGATAATTCCCCGGCGTGGATTCGATTGGATTAATAGGTCTATCAAAAGAATTTTTTTAATCATCACTTATATAAAGGTGACCATGGTTTGTTTATATCGTCGGCAGAGGACGCCAAAGTTTGCGAAATTTCCAATTCATTATTTATAAAAACTGAACGAAATTGAACCATTTTTAGACTGATATTTCTTTTAGAGATTCAGCTTTCACAATATTGTAGTTAGCAAGGGATTCAAAATCAATCTATTGACGATCAGCGGCTTTAAGAGCACGATGTTTAGTTTTTAGAGAAACAAAGGTGACCATGGTTTGTTTATATCGTCGGCAGAGGACGCCAAAGTTTGCGAAATTTCCAATTCATTATTTATAAAAACTGAACGAAATTGAACCATTTTTAGACTGATATTTCTTTTAGAGATTCAGCTTTCACAATATTGTAGTTAGCAAGGGATTCAAAATCAATCTATTGACGATCAGCGGCTTTAAGAGCACAATGTTTAGTTTTTAGAGAAACAAGAGAAGTTTTAATTTTTATCAGCATTATTGGTCACCTTACATACAACTATATAAAATTGTTGGAGACACCTATAACAAGAATTCATTTTTTTAACATGGTAAATCACTTTCAGGACAAGTAGCTTAAGAATCTCATTTTTGTTGGCATAGAAAATAGCAAACAGTCTGAAGTTGTATTTTAGACTGGTATACATGTCTGAATTTGTGGTCCTTGTTGTTACAAATTGATTTTGAAAAATGATAGAAATCTATGAGTAATACCAATATGATAATCAATTTAGAACTGTTGAGTGAATGAATGGCTCCATATCGTAATGTAGGCTAGTATAGGATTCAAATATGGTGGTTGAAGAAGTAGGCATAACTTGAGTGTATGCAATGCAAATACATTTCTGTCTGGCCTGGGTTATAGATGGATGGAAGAATATTCTTATTCTTTATCTAAGAAGCATGTTTGGTTTGTTTTCTGCAATTCTTGTATATCATAAAGCTTTAGTTTGGATTGTTATTTATAAAATTTGTCTTATGTAATACATCATATCGAGCACTCATTTTTATGTCATGCATAATAACATAATTTGTTGATTAAATGAGTTAATTAATTTTTTGTTTGTGCATATAACTTAATTGGATATATTCCAACAATGCAAACATAATTAATATAGATTTTTTTGTTTTATCAATTATATTTTTCTATTTATTCTTTGATTTAATTAAAAATATATTAGATACATTTTGTTTATAATTAGCATGTAATGAGCACATTTTGTTTTTTTGAATTATCTAATGAATGATATTAGTATCCTGAATGAATTTTTATTTTATATTCACAATATGAACCTTGATTTGGGAGAAATGACAATTTTAATCAGTCAGATAGGTACTATTTTTTTTTTTTGTCTTTGAAATCTTATTTCGTAATATTTTAGAATCGTGTGAGTGATCCACCTAAATTTAAAGGAGATAAACAGTTAATGCCGGCATCAATGAGAGTAAAAGATGCAGCTGAAGCTGTTTTAACCTGTATTATAGATCAAGTGGTAATATTTTATAGTCTTTTAAATTGATCTATATTTGATATTTTTCTTTCTCTATCATGTACATGTATTAAATTGATCTAGATTTGACAGGATTCTTCCCCACCCACCCCCCACCCCCCTGTACATGTATATAAAATAGACCTAGATTTGACATGTATCTTTCTATTAATATTCCATGTACATGTGTATTAAATTGATCTAGATTTGAAAGGTTTCCCAGGTTCATCATGGGATATATACCCAAAAACTAAATTGATTATGTCTTATACAGTCAACTTCAGACAAGTAGAATGTGATAATATGCTATAAAATGTCTACGATCAAGAGATTTTATTATTTGATTGACAATAAGGCAGGATTCACCTTTGATATTATATATAAAATTGTTTTTAATGTCTTTTAGGGAGCTTTTCCACCACCATGTGGTCCAGAATCACTCTTTTCACTACTTGATGAAAGATCATTGTTAAAATATGCTAAAGGTTCAGCTTTACCAGAACAAGGAACACCTTTCCGTTATTTTGTAATAGATAATTCTATTATTGTTGGTTTATTGGAACAGCCATTAGGAAATATTGAAGGTAATTTTCTACTTATGTTTTAAATAATTCAACAATAAATTACAGATTTACTTTAAAGATTTTCCAAAAATACTGTTATTTATATCTAGATTTAGCATAGTCAACAAATTTTGATTTACATTGAAGTTGTATTTTGTATAAAAACTGTCTGAAATTGTATTTTTATTGTTTTTGTATTATTAGATCCACTACCAACAGTTACTGCCCTTATTCGAGGTCCATTTGGAAGACATGCTTGGACAATGCAACTAAGACATGCACCCAGAGCTCAAAAGGTATCATTATATCTTTTTTTTTTGCTTTGTGATTATAGTTCTGATTTTCTACACTACATAAGATCTAACATATGATTAGAACAGTGAATGTTATCACAGCTCATGTCAGTGTATAGTTATGCTCTCGACTTTATTGAGTTTATAATCACTGGTATAATGTCATGACTGAATTGGAACATCTGTGTTTTAAAGTACAAAATTGGAATCGCAACACAGTGATACAACCTGTCAATCTGATTAAAACACAGACCCTATTTCCTTTTGTTTTTTATAGTTCAAAATATCGTTTCTCTTGCCTTCAATATACTAGGATCTGGAAGAGTTGTTAAAGGACAATATTGGTGTCAGTCATTATAACATATGTGATAGAACTGGTTTAACAAGTTTATTATTATAACACAGAGATCATTGCTACGATAGATGCGTAATAAAGATTTATGAATAAAAACAAGGGAATGTACGGACTATTTCTATTTTTTTCTTTTTCTCTTATCTAGTGACATTCAATTACTTTTTTGAATTGTCAGATATCCTCTCACAGTCTCACATACATGTAACAACGTTTAGTCTTCGAAGGAATTATTAGTGAGCTGAAATTCACACATGTATCTGTTATCACTCGTCACTTCAGTCAGCTATATAGAAGGATAACTTGTGTTTTCCTTTCAGCACTTCTGTTTCTTGAAATCTTCATTACGCATCTATCGTAGCAATGATCTCTGTGTTAAAATCATATTTGTAACAGGTTTAAACAGTTCTATCACCTACATGTATTTGATAATGACTGAACTGATACCAATATTGTCTTTTAAATAACCCACAAATAAATGAAAAGAAATAAAGATCTTCGTACAACCTGTCAGATGTTCAGTAAAATTGAATCTGGTAAAATATGAAGTATTGAATATAAAATGAATTGAAAATCTGATGATTTTAAAGTGATAATTTCATATTTTTAAGTTATATTTTTAAAATGTATTAAAATAAAGCCTTAAAATAGATGGTATCTATAAATAGTCCTACCTTGTTAAAGAATAATCCTATTAATCCTATAATTCACTATTACCAGTTGAGAAATTGGCAAAAATATCATTTTCAACTTCAAATTCAAATGTTTGAAGATAGCTATTCCATGGGGGTAATAGAAAAACAAGGAAGGTAATTGTGTTATTATTTCTGGGGTGAATGTTTTTTAAGTGTGAGAATGATACCTATGATCGTATAATAGTGAGTTGACAACCTATTGAGCAAAAGACATAGAAATAATTATGTTTTGACTTTCTTAGAAAATATGAAATTCTCGCTTTAATCAAATCAAAATTAAAGTAGCAGAAATTTATAGATTTTTTAATTTCATATCGAACCCATATGAATCTATTATTACCCAAAATTATGTAGATTTTTATGAATTATAAATTAATGTATATTGTTCTCACATGTACATTCTGTGTTGTAAAATATTTCATATAAATTTTAATTTGAAGAGATTAGATTTTTAAAAGCTTCTAAACGGTAATTGTGAATTTCTTGGCAAACAATGGAGAAAGAAACTTCTGTATTGAGTGATTGTTAAAGTACTTGTTGCTCTTTATTTAGAAAATGACTTCATGGTGTACTTGTAAGATTATCAATAACTTCTTTTGTTTTAGATTTCATCAAGAGCTCATCTGTCTGAACCAAGTCGTCCAGTTCCCATGGAAAATGTGGGTGTACGTCACAATGTTAAAAACCGATTTTATCCCGAGAGTGTTGATAAAATACCATTATGTAAAGCGTATGTTATTTTTATATGAATTAAATAAATTCCATGAGCTTGATTGCTGAGACTGACAAATGATCTTGGCAGATTGTACTTGCAGTATAGATAACAAGTGTGGACATAAGGCAGCTGTCACAGACTTTGTCATACACAAATTATTACATAATGTATAAAGGGTGGACATTATGTCCAGAATTGTAAATAAACTTATATTTATTTCCCCCACCTTTCGAAACAAGCAGGGGAATATTACAATGGGTCTGTCTGCCTGTCTGTCTGTCACAATTTCTGGGACACAATAAATCTCCTTCTAATTGAGCTAGAATGTTCAAACTTGGTTTAGGTGTTTATTGGATGAATGTCATGATGGAGTTCGATCATGCGCATTACGGCTAAGCAGAGATAAACAATTTGATTGGTTGAGACTTTGGAACATAACAATTCTGCTTTTAATTGAGGTAGAATGTTTAAACTTGATGTAGATGTAAGTGCATGTTTTGACCGAGTTCAATGATTAACATTTCCCGCTGCCAAGTTCAATGATTAACATTTCCCGCTGAAGCTAAGCAGACCTAAACAATTTCATTGGTCGATGCTTTTGGATAAGATAACTTTGATTCTAACTGATGGAGAGTGATGAAACTTAGTGTATAGTTTCACTACCAGATACTTCAAAACCTTGAATGGGGTCGATTGTGAACATTTTCTGCTTAGACTAAGTATAGACAATCAGTTTGACTGCTCAATACTTTTCAAAAAGATAAATGTGCAATTAATTGATATGCATCATCTATTTATTTTTGGTTTGCGGCAGGGGACTGCAGCCTCACGGTGGGCTTGTACACAATAAAGGGGGATTGGGTAGTCAACCTGTCTAACACATGCCCTTTAGGTCATAAGGTCAGGCATTGAGTCAAGTTGTGTGGTTTTGATCCCAAGGTTGTAAGTGACAAGGAGTAGGGTTGCCTGTAACACTCTAGTTTTTTTTCTTGATCTTCCAGGTTACTCCCACTGTTTAAGACTCCTACACCCAAGCGAATTATTGAATTAAAAACTGTGCCATATGTTAGTCTAGTCACAAAAATGACTTAGATTGTGTTGAGCAGACATTAAACCTTACCCCAGTTCTCTGTTTCTCTCTTTCTCTGAAATTCTTTGTGACCTCCATCTTGTACTGGAACCTGTTACAAATATATTTTCATTATTTTGAGTCCTGATTTTCTATCGTACATGTATATAATTTCAGTGATAAAAGTATTCCTACTTTAGAATCACTCGTAAGTGAGAAAGAAGCAGTAGAAATAGATAAATTTAAAGGTTTTATTGAGAAACAGATCTGTTTTGAGAAAGAAGTGAGTGAGCGATCTAGAAAAGAAAAGGAAAAAACAGCATATCCAAACCCTGAAACAGAATGTAAACAACCCCAGTATGTACACTTTTTGTCTTTTAGTTTATTTCTCTCTGTTACAGTTTCTTTATATAATCATTTAATTTTTGCCAAGGTAGATTTGTCTTGCCATATGGTGTTGGGTTTGATCTGTGACATCATTTTAGTCCTTCTGCTCATATTCTAGTCTATATTTCTATGTGCAGAAGGACTAAAATGACGTCACGGATTGCTTATTGACAGAAAGTTACGACTACCCACGGAGAACGGCGGAATTTACTAATGTTGAAATTTACCTGTTGTAGGTAATATTGACATTCGGGTTCAGGATATACTTATGGAAAGGATATTTTGCCATAATTACTTGCATTATTTAAAAAAAAGTATGAACCTTTTCCGGTGACCTTTAAACCACTCTGTTTGAATTCATCTTTTCGCTTTAAAGTGTTGAATACCAGACTAGAGATTGCCATTCGATTGAGACATCTCGCATATTTCGCCAAATATAACTGATGTGAAATTAGAGTAAAAACGGAACCGATTGAATGTAAATCAGTATACACATTCATATTACATTATTATATGCATTGCAACCCATTTGTGGCAATTTAAAGGTCCCAAATATTAGCGATTTTGATGCTTGCTTTCAACATTTTATAGGATGATATAGAGAGTATATTACCTTTCCTGGCAAGAGAAAATACCTTAGAAAACTCACCCTAAATTATGCTTTAATGCTGGCTTCCAACATTTTATAGTTTGATAAAGAGAGAAAATTATAACTGCGTTAACTGACATTTTATTAGATACACACCCCTTTAAATTGTTATAAGAGCCCTCGAGATGACTGGCAACCTGTGTTTTTGTTAGCTAATTACATTTATACTGTTTGTCTTTGATAAATGATTGATCATTATATTACACTCTATACATTTTCAGAATCACCCATGAGTATCAGACGGCGAGATTATTTTTATCTCATTATGGTTTTCTGTCTCTAGAGACCCTGAAGGTAGATCTATTATAGAGTATAGATTATTTATACTTTATCATGTAATACTCTAAATCATCCATATCTGACTCTTATTATAAAAAAAACAAATTTTGATCATTTCTGTTGTCATAAAGTTAGACTCTGTCTTAACCAAAATCTAAAGCAGATTACTTTCCTCTAGTTACCAAAAATCTTACAGACAGAAGATTTCGTTGGATTTTGTTTTCCAAATTAACTTTATTTTTACTGTTATTTTATTTCTTGTGATTTAATTTGAATAGGGTGTATATGAAAATTTGAATAAGGTCATGTCTTTGTATTAATTGATAATAACTACCTGGCAAATCTGAGCTGATGAATTATCACCGAGTGGTCTGACACATGCACTTTAGATTGTTAGGTCTGTCATTGAGTCAAGTGTAAGACAGTGTATAGGATCACCTCATAATCTCATAGATTTTCTCAAAATTTACCCCAATACTAATTAAAGATCATCATTACATGCAGTCAGTACCCCAAAATAGCCTAGCTTGTGTTAAGTGTGAGTTATGTAATAATGAAGAATTAGATGAAAGGTTGATTAAGGTTATTATTGACAAGACAATGTTACAATTTAGTAACTGTATGTTATTTCTTTGTTGAGAATCACTGTCAACTGAGGAACGAGTAGGATATGTCATTTTGAGTTAAATTCAATATGCATTTCGACCCTTTTTCCAATCGCATCAATTTCATGACATATTGATTTCTTGTTTTACAGTATAAGAATCGTTAAAACAATTTTACAATTCAAAAGTGGGGAATGGCTTGAGTCTTTATTTCCCATCTTTATCTTTACTATAATTATTATTGGTATATTGTTTCAGGAGCCAGCTAATACAAGTATACCACCTGATTTGGTTATGTTAGATACAACTAATACAGCCATGTTTACTGATATGGAATCTTTGGATAGTATACCCAGTAGAGATAATGATACTGTTCATATATTCTATGTTAAACCTGGGCAAAAAACTCTCACAGAAATACTTAGTAATGTTGTAAGTACACTATTGATTTTAGATGGTATGGTAGAATTTTATTGTAGACTAACACCAATGATATGAGACAGACATTGATTGCGACAGTTTGTTATATGACTTTTAACACTTTATTCACAGAGAAGTGTTTCTTGCGCCTTAGCAGAATTTGCTTGTCATTTTAAGTTAGTGTAAGTCTTACTGATACTAGAACTTTTTTTCCATAAAAACTGTAGCTTAGAGGGATTCTGTGAATACTTTTCCCAATCGGAATAGTATAGAGGATCAAAAATAATGTCATTTTTATGTGGACATATATTGTTGTCGCCCATGCTGTCTGGACGTCTGTTCACAATTTGTTTGTGGGCACTCTACACTCTACAGTTCACAATTTTTATCCGATTTTGACGAAATTTGAAATATAGGTCTTTCTCCCAAAGATCTCTGTTCTTTTCGAAATTGGCATGTATCAGACTGTAACTTCATGGATTATGGCCCCTGATTGTACGAAAAATCACGTTTTTGGCTTGTGGACACTCTGGAGGTCACAATTTTCATCCGATTTGGATGAAACGTGAAATGCATGCTTATAACCCAAAGATCTTGGTTCCTTTTGATATTAGCGCATATCAGATCGTAACTTCCTGAATTATGGTCCCTGATTGTACAAAAAATCATGTTTTTAGCGTGTGGTCCCTATTGAGGTCACAATTTTTGTCCAAATAAAAATAACGTTCAAATATATCACAGTTACACTATAATGTTGGTCGCTCCTGTGTGTTTGTATGTGTATGTATGTATACATGTGTGGGTGTAAGTCACCTACAGGTCCCAATTCATAATGGATTGTCTTGAAACTTAAATACTTATAGCCTAAGGATGATCGCTGTTGTTTTTGGTGCATGTCCGACTCCCATGGGCCGAGCCACGCCCAATTTTTGTATTTGTTTGTTTGTCGTCTACAGGCTGCATTTCTTAACGGATCATCTTAAAACTTTGCTTACTTATTCCTTATACCCTAAGGATCATCCCTATTGTTTGTGGTACATGTCTAACCCCTAGGGGCAGAGTAAAACCCAGTTTCTCTTTGTGTGTCTGTGTGTCGCCTACAGGCCGCAATTCTTAAAGGATATTCTTGAAAACTTTTTATACTTAATCCTTATATCCTAAGGATGACCTCTTTTATTTCTAGGTGCATGCCCGACCCCCTGGGACAGAGCCACACCCAATTTTTGTGTTTGTGTGTTGCCTTACAGACCGCAATTTTTTACAGATCCTTTTGAAACTTTGCATACCTATTCTTAATACCCTAAGGGTGATTCCTATTGGTTTTGGTGAATGCCCGACTGCCAGGGGCAGAGCCACACCCATTTGTTTTTTGTGTGTCTGTGTGTTGCCTACAGCCCACAATTCTTAATGGATCGTCTTGGAACTTGGCATATGTATTCTATATAGCCTAAGGACGGCAAATATTGATTTTGGTGCATGTCCCAACCCCCAGAGGCAGAGCCACATACATTTTTTGATTTTAGCATCTGAAGGCCACAGTTTTGAATGGATTATCTTGGAACTTGTTATACTTATTCCTTATACCCTAAGGACGGCAACTATTGATTTTGTTAATATTTTGTCTGTAAATAATCTACAGGTTGCAATTATTAACAGATTTGCACCCGATTCGGCATGATCCATCATAGGCTTGTACCTATTTGTATTGTTCCATATCCAACCCTCAGGGGCTGATCCACACCCAATTTTTGTGTTAATCATCTACAGACTGCAATTCTGAATGCATCATCTTGGAACTTTGCATATTTATTCCTTATACCGTAAAGAGAGCAGTTATTTATTTTGATGCATGTCCCGACCCCCAGGAATATGGACGCATATTTTGCATATGTACCGATGCTCTTGTTTAGCTTGTGGTCCCTAAAAAAAAACATTCAAATATATCACCGCTTCACCATAATGTTGGCCCGAGAAAGTTCATCTAGATTTTCTGGTGTGATATCTTGATTTGGCTTGTAAAAAGGATATCTGTCTAAATTTAGAATTTTATGTCCACAGAAAGGGACAATGTTGAGATATAGCGGATTTTGGCCTCCACTATCAACAGTCTAAGCCAAGAATGAAACTAAATTATTAAACAAACTACTTCCACTTTGTGTTTCAAAACAAATATTTAATTGTTTTTAGATTTTATCAAAAATAACACATCAAATCATCCCAATTTAACAATTTAGTTTGACCTGAATCATAGAAGTTTAGCTCCTTTAAATTTGATATATCAACAATTAAATATGAATTTACATTATGCTTAATATTCCAGTATATTTTTTTAAAAATGTTTTGAAACTTTTATTTTTAGACGACATCCTCAAGGGTTCAATCTCAGTTTTTGGAGTTCCTACATTCTCTTGGTTGGCCTGTTGATGTTAGACGTCATGCTGGATGGACTGGTCATATATCAACTAGCTGGAAAATCATGGACAGTGAAGAAGTTGATGGTAAGTTTATTTCATCATAGATTACAGTGGTATAGCCAGAATTTTGCAAATAAAGTTCTGTGGGGTAGGAATAAATCTAAATCATTTTTCAACTTTTTCCAAATGGCATGATGCATTTAACCACATTTGGTGGATTCTTTTTTTTGGGGGGTTGTGAACAATTTGTTCAGATACATTTGATGTCTTCATTAGTGGTAGGGGTAGGTTGGCTTTAATGTAGGGGCACTATGAAAATTCAAATTTATATATTTTCCAGAATTTTCTAGAAATATTTGATCTTGTAGTACCTATTCAAATGTGTATAAGCAATTGTGCTTTGCCCAGTAGGAATTTTTCCGGGTGCCGTAAAAGGGCAAATATATACAATTTTTCCAAAGATGTTGATGTAACCTACTACATTAACTCCCGATGTACAATCTAGCCCACTCAGACTAATGATTGTGCATATTTTATTTTATATATTTATTATAGATGATGATTATCAGACTGATACAGAAGGTAGTTTATATATTATATATATTTATTGTAGATGATGATTATCAGATTGGTACAGGAGTTAGTTTATATATTATATATATTTATTGTAGATGATGATTATCAGACTGGTACAGGAGTTTGTTTATATATTATATATATTTATTATATACTATTCAAAAAAAGTAGGGGATATTTGATTTTTAAGTGTTATTAAAGTCACCTAATGAAACTGACGAAGAAACAAATGACAAAATGAAATGAAGTTCACATTCATCGATTTAAACCAAATGATCGTTAGACTAAGTAAGGCACAGACTGACCATAATAAGGGTAAAATGATACCCGGGGTCAAACAGCAAAGTTACCACAGCATCACAACCAAGTCAGTAACGGGTAAATCCTCCTCTGTTTGCCAAACAAGCATTGATCCGACGTGGCATACTCCTAATGAGACGTCTAAGGTCATCTTGGTCCAGATTGTCCCATTCCTGTTGCAACGCAGCAGCAAGTTCTTGGAAATTGGCAGGACGTTGTTGACGTTGACGTAACCTCTGTCCAAGCATGTCCCAGATGTGCTCGATGGGGAGAGGTCGGGACTCAGTGCTGGCCAAGGTAATGTGGTGATGTTCTGTTGTTGGAGGTAACCTGTAACGATCCTGGCCCTGTGACATCTTGCGTTGTCATCCTGGAAGATGAAACGGCGGACATGACGTCGTGCGAACGGCACAACATAGACTGCCAAGATGTTGTCCCGGTAGTACTGATCTGTAACACGCCCTGCAACAACATGTAAAGCCGTTCTTCCAGCAACAGTGATGCCTCCCCACACCATAACAGAACCACCCCCAAATCGATCATGTCTGATGACGTTAACGTCTTGGAAGCGCTCGTTTCGACGACGGCACACCCTCCTACGTCTGTCCAAAAAATCAACAGTGAACCTTGACTCATCTGAAAACATCACATTGCTCCAGCGTCGATTATCCCAGTGTTGACGATCCCTACACCAACGACGTCTTGCCTGAATGTGATGATCTCTCAAACAAGGGATCACGCGAGGACGTCGGGCGCGAAGGTGACCCCTATGCAGTCGATTCCGAATCGTCTGGCCACTCACTCTCACACCAGTGTCTGTTTGAAGACGAGCGCTGATCTGATTTGCTGTGATGACACGATTTCTCAAGGCCAAGGTACGGATAAATCGATCCTGGGCTTGAGTTGTCGCCCTTGGTCGACCTGAGCGTGGTCTGTCCTGTACAGATTGTGTATCACGGTATCTGGACCATAGCCTGCTTATGACAGACTGAGAAACATTCATCGTCCGCGCCACAACCGCCTGTGTTGTGCCGATCTGTAGCATGCCAAGGGCACGTAACCTTTCATTTTGGGTAAGCCGACGCATATCAAAATTTGTTTTCTGGTCACTAAAACAATTAAACTGATGTTTCCACCCTGGAATTCAATGCCACAATGACTGTAACATTCAAAGTCAGAGTCGTGCAAATCTTGGGTTGGACCCCCATGATGATCCCAAGCATCACCTGCATTCCATGCGGTAGCTATTGGTGCGTTTGGGCGTCACATGTAACTGGAAATGTTTCTTCTGTTAGGTTCTATAGTGACTTTTTTCGTAGTCATTTGCATATTTTAGTATTATGCCCCCAAAATCAAATATCCCCTACTTTTTTTGAATAGTATAGATGATGATTAACAGACTGATACAGGAGTTTGTTTATATATTATATATATTCATTATAGGTGATGATTATCAGACTGATACAGGAGGTAGTTTATATATTATATATATATTTATTATAGATGATGATTATCAGACTGGTACAGGGGGTAGTTTATATAATGGTAGACAGCAAGTATTATATTGGGCTGATGTCTCATCAGAAGTAGCGTTTGTTGTACCATCACCGGATGCAACACATCTACGTATGAATACAACCTTCTCAGATTCCGGTAAAATTTTGGACACATATTAACATTTAAATGCTAAATTACTTTACAGGTCTAATTTTAATTATCTTAAAGATGCATTATGTAAGAACTAAATCTGGCTATGCAAATCTTTTTTCTCTTTTCAAATTTTGTATCAATGATTATTTAGACATTTATTTACGTTACAAGCCCATAATCAACTCTCTAGGTCATCCAATGGCTCAGATATTGAATGAGTTTAAACCCTCTCATCATTCAAAAATTTAACGATAAAATGGATAATCAAGACTTTGTTATTATCGTAGCAATGGTACTTGATAATCGAGATCAAATTGTCATAACTTCCCTCAGAATAAAGTAATTTTATTGAAATTTTCAGTATATTCATTTCTCATTATCTATTTTTATACGCCCACATTTTCATGTAGATGTATATTGTTGTCTGCCCAGACGCCCATTCATAATTTGTTTGTGGCCACTCTACAGGTCACAATTCTTATCAGATTTTGACGAGACTTGAAATATAGGCTTATCTGCAAAAGATCTTGGATCCTTTCAATATTGGCATGTATCGGATCGAAACTTCATGGATTATGGCCCCTGATTGTATGAAAAATCACATTTTAAGCTTGTGGACATCTAATGTCACAGGGGGGTTGGATGGCTGATTGGTTAGCGTGCGCGCGCTGTATCATGAAGTCTGTCATTGAGTCGACTGGCGTGGTTTCGAATCCCTGGTTGTATGTGACTAGAAGTAGGGTCGCCTGTCCAACCTTGTGGGTTTTCTCCGGGTCCCCCGGTTTCCTCCCACTGCTGTGGGTTTTCTCCGGGTCCCCCGGTTTCCTCCCACTGCTAAAGACCCCTATGCGCAAGCGAATTATTGAAATAAAATTAAACCATATGTTAGTCACGAAATGACCTAGTTTGTGTCGAGTGGACGTTAAACCCCATTTCTCTCTCTCTCTCTCTCATGTCACAATTTTTATTCAGTTTAGATGAAACTTGAAATGTATGTGTATAACCCAAAGATCTCAGTTTCAATATTCACGTGTATCGGACTGCAACTAACTGAATTATGGTCCCTGATTGTACGAAAAATTGCGTTTTTAGCTTGTGGTCCATCTCGTCAGTCTAGAGCCACAATTAATTTATATGGTGCCGACAATTCAACTCAGCGAGCTGCTCTCGGGCACTAATCACAACACATTAATCCATAAAAAAGACAGGGTTGTGGACCCTCTAGAGGTCAGAATTATTATCTGATTGTGATGAAACTTAAATTATATGATATGTTTATATCCCAGAGATTTCAATTCCTTTTGATATTTGCGTATCTCGGACCATAACTTCCGGGAATATGTCCCCTGATTGTACGAAAATAGCACTTTTTTTTTTTAGCCTGTTTTCTGTCCATCTCTTGCAAAATGTGGGCGTATCTTGCATGGAAACCGCTTATTAAACTATTATAGGTAATGCATCTTTAAATATTGGACCTTGAATGAGTTCTTTTTTTATTCCTAAATGAATAATGTTAAATGTATGACTCATACACATGTACTGTAATGAGTGTACACTTGTTGATATTATCTCTGCTGATATTATTACTCTTATTTGTTAGCTGAAGTAATCAAATAAACCTGTGACTTTTTTTAATGATAACTGTCGCTAAACTTATATGGTTCAATCAGTGAATATAATGAATGGAGAACAAGCTCATTCATGATCCATCAGATTATCTCCATCTCTTTTTAATGTGAGTTTGGGTGGCTGAATAGTCTAAAGCATGCACTTTAGATCAAAAGGTCTGTCATTGAGTCAAGTGGCGTGGTTTCAAGGAGTTGGTTCTTCTGTCCAAACTCGTGGGTTTCCTCTGAGTCCTCTGGTTCCTCCCGCAGCTAAAGACCCCTGTTATCTATTTCAATATGATATTTATTTTCTAGAGAAATCCCCAACAAGAAGTACAGTTAATGAGGGTTACATTAATAAACCCAAATCATTATTATTAGATTCTAATAAAGGTGATAGGTCAAACAGAGATAGTCCAGGCTCACCACCAGAAGTTCAGTCAAATACTGGAAATAGAGGCAAAAGACAAGGTCGACAGGTTGCTCACATGGTCGGACCAGATACTAAAATATTTGCAGTTTGGTTGGAAAATTTTGAAGATCATGAAAACTTTCCTTTAGGTAATACCTGAATTCAAAATGCTGGGTAAAATAAATTGAAAGTATGTATTTCATTTTACAATGACTACGAAGCCATGTCTGTTGTCTGTCGTATATGCGGGTTTTCTTGTAGATTTTTGTTTTGCATGTAGTGCAGTCCTCCTGCACTTACTATTAGAGGGGCATTATCATTTTCAACAAGTTTATAATATCATATTCAAATGAAAATAACCATAGAATAACCAACTGATTGAACGAGCTTACAACTTGTAAATGTTAAAGCATATAATGTGAGTTGAAGTTTGAACATCCTTGTTATAACAGTACAGTCAAATCACATTTTTGACCTTTCCAGTTGACAACAAAAGATTTTCAAAGTGCTAATATATGAGGAATATCCAAAATTTACCAGATCAGTCTTACAAAGCTATTCGTTATATACTTCAGAAAGGAATAAGCAGTATGATTTTTCTTGTGTAGTAGAAGAATTTTAAGATCAAAAGGTTAATTTTGATTCTATATTTCAATATATTTTTACAGGTGATATTCAAAGTATGACAAGTACCGGTCAAGAACAATCCAATCAAAAAGAAAAAGATGTTTATATTATATTTATACATGCTTTACAAAATGGACTGTTTAGAATACACATGCAGGGACATGAAAAAAACATTACAAAGTAAGTCATATATAATTAGTACTTTTGATAGAAAAGAAGACAAGTACATGCTGTGTTATAGACTGAACCATGGCATGTGTATTTTGGGAGATCCCTCGCTTTTATGTTTTACAATAAAATTGTTTGAAATTCCAATTCAGTGTCATGTAAATTGACTAACGGGTCAATTCTCCAGCCACTCAATGTTACTGCCAGTCACTTCCTTGAGCGATAGAAGGAATTCAATTCCAAAACATTCAATCGAGCACCCCAATAGTCCATAGTCCATTTCTTCTTAATTAATCTGTGAAAAACAGAAAAGTGATTTCAACTTTTATCTTTTGTCAATAAAATATGTGTATCTTTTGTTATATTAGAATGACTATGGCAATTCCTCTAGTAGATGGTATGGTTGTTAGTAGAAGAACATTAGGTACTCTAGTCAGACAGACAGCCATTAATATCTGTCGTAGAAAAAGACTTGAAAGTGAATCGTAAGTATTTTCAATACCCTCCTCTCAGAGATATCAGGGCACTGTTCAAACAGCAATCTGATTAAAATACAGATCTATATTTCGTTTCGTTTTTTTATACTTTCGATGCCTACACTACATGAAGATCTGACTGGTTGTACTGGAAGGGCGTCAAGGGTCATAAGAGCATCTTTCACCCTATGACGTCAGATATTGATTAATCAATCGGCATTGACGTTTCTAGTGGTTTATCCACAGTTCCGTGCATCACGCGCCAAGAACTCGCCGTAACAGACTATTTCATTCACTAATCCCTCACTTCAACCAGAACGCCGATAATATAACAACTCTTCCAGGTAGCAAAGACAAGTAAAATGAAATTTTGAACTATAAAGAACGCAACGAAATAGGATCTGTGTTTTAATCAGATTGGTTCAAACAGTTTTGTCGGTCTGTCTGTCCATTGCACTTTTTGGAACACAATACATTTCCTTCTATTTGAGTTAAAATGTTCAAACTTGGTGTAGATCATCATTAGTTGAATGTCTTGACAGAGTTTTACCATAATCATTTTCTTCTCAGGGCAAGCAGAGATAAGCAATTTGATTGGTCGAGACTTTTGAAAATATAACTGGGGTTCTAAATAAGTGATGATCAAGACTTTTGAAAATATAACTAAATGAGAGCAATGAAACTTTTTATATAGTTTCATTACATCGATACCTTGACTAAGTTTGATGAGTGTTTTATGCAGAGGCTGAGCAGAGATGAACAAATGAAGAAACTTGGTGTATAGTTTCATTGCATCAATACTTTAACAAGGTCCATAATGAGTATTTTCTACTCGGGTAATTGATAAATTTTTAGATTTGTCAATGCTTTATAATAAGATAAACCAATTGCTGAAATGGTGCTGTATTTAAATAGCAAGACCACTTAAAATTATACTTTAGATCAGTTATTGTTTTATTATGGTTGATATATATTGTATGTATATTTCAGATATCAACCTCCACATGTTAGAAGAAAATTACAGATACAAGATATTGTTAACAAATATAGATGTAAAATGTCTGAGGCAGAATTCTTCACAGCATTATTCCAAGATGTGCCAAAATAAAACTATTTACTCTGGAGTGTTTAATTCTAAAACAACTAATAACTGGCCTGTTTTTATTCTATGTAATATAGTATATATTGATACTGAATGTAACAGGAATCTAATAAGTGTTTAAGTGTTAACAATTAAACAGATAAATGCATTTTCCTTCCTGAACAAATTTTGAATCATAATATACATGTGTAGAAACTGAGTTAAACAGTGATATTTGTATTTGTTAAAATCTTATTTAATAATATTTGTAACAATGAGTATATTGTCAGCATTAACAATGATTTGTTATATAAATATATTTGAAAATATAAATATGACGGTTGTACATTAGTAATATGTGCAATAATCTGTTTTAATTATTAGTTTGTTGTTGAGACATAAAAACTATAGTAATTTATATTTTATGTACTTATGCATTTTATGTATATATAACTATTATTTATTTGTATAATACTTCTATTACTAATAAGCAGTAAGCAACCAAATATGGTAAAAATACTCAGTTGATGGCATTCTTAAAAATACGATGTTATAATCCTTTAATTAACCAATTCCAAATGACTGATAGAAAAATGGCAATGAGAGTTCAGACATTTTCTATTTGGAATTAAAGCGTATTTATGTAAGTCTACTTAGACTATTATTAATGTGTAAGATTGGCCTCAGTTGCAAGTAATCTGTTGAAAATGCATCAACTGGTGATATAATTAATTTAAAAGTAAACTTCTGTGTGTCTTTGTTTGTTATATATACCACATGAATAAATTGATGGTGTGTTTTGTGATGATAGAATACATTAATTAATCATTGCTCCAGAGAACAATTTGTGGCTAGCATTAATTTGGACTCTCTTTCAAGGGAATTTAGGGCGTTTCAATTCAATATGCTGATAATGTATTTGTGTGTGCTTCTAGTCAGTGTTGATTTGACATATGCAAGATTATATACATGTAATTATCTTTTGGCTGGTTGAATCACTGAAGTCATTTCATTCTTAAAAATGAATGAATGAAATAGGGTTTACTGTCCTATTCTTCTGCACCAACCGGGATAATTAAGACGGGTCATTCTTAAAGTCGCTTAAGGGATTTTGAAACCCTTGCAAACTACAGTATTGTTAACTTGGAATCTCTAAAAGGATTATCAGACCAAAAATGATACAATTCCATTTAGTACCAGTATTATAAAGATATGATGAATTGAACAACAACCTCTGTAGACGATCCAAACAAGCGACCGCCACTTATAAGTATTGGATTAGGTTTTGTTTTCCTAATTAAATGTTAAATAATCAATTCAGATATATTTTAACAAGGATTAAGCCGTGAAAAATGGGATATTGTTTGAAAAATGCTAATTACCATCAGCAACTTTTAATTTTTATACGCCCACATTGAAATGTGGTCGTATATTGTCGTCACCCCCGTCCATCCGTCCGTCCGGCGGTCCGGCGTCCACAATTGCTTGTGGACGCTCTAGAGTCTAAAGTTAATATCCGATTGACTTTAAATTTATACACAGTGTTTAAGGTCATGAGACGAAGAAGCCTATTGACTTTCAGCGATTTCCAATAATTACTGCCAGAGTTATGGCCCTTGATCGCTTCAAAAAATCTTGTGGACGCTCTAGAGGTCAGAGTTAATATCCGATTGACTCTAAATTTATACACAGTGTTTAAGGTCATGATACGAAGAAGCCTATTGGTTTTCAGCGATTTCCGATAATTACTTCCAGAGTTATGGCCCTTGATCACTTCAAAAAATCTTATGCACGCTCTAGAGGTCAAAGTTAATATCCGATTGACTTTAAATTTATACACAGTGTTTAAGGTCATGAGACAAAGAAGCCTATGGATTTTCAGCGATTTCCAATAATTACTGCCAGAGTTATGGCCCTTGATCACTTTGAAAAATTTTGTGGACGCTCTAGAGGCTAAAGTTAATATCCGATTGAGTTTAAATTTATACACAGTGTTTAAGGTCATGAGATGAAGAAGTTTATTCATTTTCAGCGATTTTTGATAATTACTGCCAGAGTTATGGCCCTTGATCACTTCAAAAAATCTTGTAAATGCTCTAGAGGCTAAAGTTAATATCCGATTGACTTTAAATTTATACATAGTGTTTAAGGTCATTAGACGAAGAAGCCTATTGATTTTCAGCGATTTCCGATAATTACTGGCAGAGTTATGGCCCTTGATCACTTTGAAAAATCTTGTGACCCTCTAGAAGCTAAAGTTATCATCCGATTGACTTCAGATTCATACACAGAGTGTAAGGTCTTGAGACAAACAAGTATATTGATTTTCAATGAATTTTTATGACTTGAACAGCTAAATCCATGATGTTAAAAGTTTCCTATACTAAACGTTAGCATGGGGCAAAACTTTATAAAAACCAAACAAATTCTAATGGTTTTCTGATAATTACTTAATGAGTTGTTACTCCTAATCAGATTTTAATGTATTATAAATGTTTCATTACCGAAAAAAGTAAAAATATGTGACAACTCTTGTTGACTGCCCGGACGAGTTAGCTGCTGTGGGCGTATGTTTCGTTGCCTGGCAATCTATCTTATTATTCATTGCAAGATTATTTTTGTTTAAAGATAAATAAAGTTATGTCACATTAGGGAAAAAAAACAAATTAATGTTAGTTTTAAATATATATACAATAATTTATTGTATTGGTTATGTACATAATATAAGTTAATCTCTTGATCATGTTCCTACAACTTCAATTTACAATAATTTGTTTAATTTAATTTAACACGACATCAGATTAAGCACTATTAAAACACAGATCAAATTTACACTTGTCAATTATATTGTAAAATATCACTGGAGAGTTTTAATATGAAGTATATCTGGTTACACTGTAATATTACATCAGGTATAAACAATTTAATATTTAATAGTTTTCATAGCAATTGATGTGTAGAGTTGTATTTCAATCATTAGCTATTTTATTAAATATATTGTATTATATATTATAGTGCTATATATCATATTACATTTTCTAATCAAAATAATTCTTTGTAATGAAATTAAATTTTAAAATGTCATTATTTTGTCCTTTTTTTCTATTGACATAACAATGGATTGTTTCAAGTTTTGGTTTGAGCAAAGTTGAGTTAGTGTTTTGTAGATTTCGTGTTGATTTATTGATAAATCAATGTGAGTATTCAAACTATATAGTCTTTATCTCTACATCGACTTGCCCAGAGTAGAACAACAGCCCAGGGCCTTGGCTCCTGGAGTGAACAGGCCTTCAAGTCTGTTCACAGGGACTTTAAGGCACTCTGGCAGACCGGTGGCTACAAATGAGACATGAAACACCCAGAGCATGCAGTGAAATTACTAGCATGCACAATTGTTTATCGTCGTATTTAATATTAAAATGTTTACGAAATTGAATGAGTGACTTTTGCGTATAAATGATTTAACATGTTTTGCTCTGAATATCTCATGTATCCCAAATGCGACAAAAAATACTGAGCATGTTTCATGTGCTAGCCTTGTTAAATTTAAAAAGAAATAGTTATTGGCTCACCATGGAAAAAGCCCTCTATATGCGATTTTCATTTTTAATACGCCCGCATTGAAATGTGGTCGTATATTGTTGTCGCCCATGTCTATGTCTGTGAAAACTCTAAAGGCTAAAGTTAATATCTGATTGACTTTAAATTTATACACAGTGTTTAAGGTCATGAGACAGAATCCTATTGATTTTCAATGATTTCCAATAATTACTGCCAGAGTTATGGCCCTTGATCACTTTGAAAAATCTTGTGGACATTCTAGAGGCTAAAGTTAATATCCGATTGGCTTTAAATTGATACACAGTGTTTAAGGTCATGAGATGAAGAAGCCTATTGATTTTCAGCGTTTTCTGATAATTTTTGCCAGTGTTATGGCCCTTGATCAATTTGAAAAATCTTGTGGACATTCTAGAGGCTAAAGTTAATATCCGATTGGCTTTAAATTGATACACAGTGTTTAAGGTCATGGGATGAAGAAGCCTATTGATTTTCAGCGTTTTCTGATAATTTTTGCTAGAGTTATGGCCCTTGATCAATTTGAAAAATCTTGTGGGCACTCTAGATTGACTTTAAATTTATATGAATCTTTATGACTTGAACAGCTAAATCCACGATGTTAAAAGTTTTGTATACTAAACATTAGCATGGGGCAGAACTTGATAAAAACCTAACAAATTTTAATGGTTTTCTGATAATTACTTAATGAGTTGTTACTGTTAATCAGATTTTAATGTATTATATATGTTTCATTACCGAAAAAAGTAAAAATATGCGACAACTCTTGTTGACTGCCCGGACGATTTAGCTTCTGTGGGCGTATGTTTCGTTGCCTGGCAACCTATCTTCTGTATTGTAAAACATTCTTATGAACAATCTCTACTGAAACAACCCCTGCTCAACTTTGCAGAATGTCATCAAGCTATTTGGTACGATTCAGTTATTCCTTTACTTTTGGTAAATATATTTATGAGACTATATATTAAATATTAATCAATATTTACTTGTACCTGAAATATAACCGAATTCTCATTTACTAATTTAGTGGATCTGAAATGGTTTTTGGAAATGTCACAGGGACCCTTGTAAGATACAGAATTCTCAGTTTTAGAATTATTTTCTGGGCACATGACAAGGTGTTAAAGTTAGTCGAATCATATGTTATCTGTTATAATTGATGCCGTTACTTTCACCAATAAATAGTGCATGCCGAAACAAGAAAATTGGATCAGCCATATTTAGAATTTAAGAACAGGGGCCTGTTTCACGAAATTTTAACTAAAGATAAAATCTAAATTTTAGTAGATACTTCAATTTTGATTGGCTAAGCACTAAAATGAATCTAATATTATCCAATCAAATTACTAAAATTTGGATTTTATTTTAGTTAAAATTTCGTGAAAAAAGCCCCAGGTATATAGTTTTGGGGATAACACTTCAGTACTGACTATATGAACGTAGTTAAAAGTGTTGAATATCTTTTGTGTCCAGATACACAGGGACGTAGGGGTCTTTAGCAGTGGGAGGAAACCGGAGGACCCGGAGAAAACCCACGAGGCTGGACAGGCGACCCTACTCCTTGTCACGTACAACCGGGGATTTGAAACCGCGCCAGTTGACTCAATGACAGGCCGTATGATACAGCACGCACGTGCTAACCATTCGGCCACCCAACCCCCCCAAATTATTCTGGGAAATCTGGAAAACTTTCTCGGCCAACACTGGGATTGAACCCAGGATATCCTGGTTAGTGAGTGATCTTCATTTAATACATAATTCACTGGGTTGCCACAGTTTAAGTACAGTAAAGAAAAATAAACAGTAACAAACATTCTGAAATTTGTTTTTAATAATAATTTGATTTTGTATTAAACAATCCTATCTATGTGATTTTCCAGAGACATGGAACAGAGATAAACGAACACTGGTCTTTCCGGTATACATAGACAAATAAAATGGTATAGAAGCATTTTATTCGGGCATCACATGCCAGAGAAGAAAAAAAAAGTGGAGTAACTGAAAACCTCTTTCGATCTAAAACCTAGATCTCTGTTCTCAGATTAATTACTTTTGTCATTAAAACAAGGTACATGATATGTTTTCTATTCCTTAGAGGAAGATCGAATCTCAAATTCCCTTTGCTTTCGCTATAGAAATTTTGATGTAACACTACTGAAATTTCAAATCTCATGTGTATGAAATCCTATCCATGGAACAGTTCTTTTATGTAAGTAAAACGGGGTCAATCAAAATCAAAGAGAAATCTTATATCCCGAATTATGACATGCATAAAGATGTTGGGAAATAATGTATTCTGTACTGTAAATAAACCTAATAGCAGTCGTCTTTGCTTTTAAGAGGGTGTGGCCGACCGCGCCCTTTAATAGTTATTGATTAGCGCAAGAATACGATAATGTGATTAAAACATCGGGCCATCCTCTTTGTCAAACAGATATTTTATATAATACAGTACTGCTACTTTGATAGGGGATGATTTTCAACTATTGTCTTGCGCAATGTTATTCCATCGTACTAGGTCAAAATATTTCCATGATATGCTAATACCCCCGTCAGATTGGGATGGCGTTCTTACTGCGACGCTACGGCGACGGAAAATGGTCGCAGAGCGCGTCAAGATAAGCGCGGTAAAAGCGTGGTGGAAACGCCAGATATCGTGCTGTGGTCTCCATGGTTGTGAATGATCGCCGAGTCACGGCGTTTGTTTTAAGCATGCTCAAAACAAACGCCAAGGCTCTGCGATCTAACCTGGAAGGTTGTAATGCCCCCGTCAAACCGGAGTTGCGTCCTTAGTGCGCTGCAGCGACCGTCGCCGGCAAACGTGAACACAACGTGCGAAAATGTTCCAAAATATTATAAACCTGAAAATAAAATCGCGTTTTCACATCTTTCCAGGGCAGATCGCAGAACCTTGGCGTTTGTTTTGAACATGCTCAGCTGACGTTTCCACCACGCTTATGGCGATCTTGACGCGCTCTGGGACCATTTTCCGTCGCCGTAGCAGCGCAGTAAAGGCGCCACCCTGGCCTGACGGGCGTATAAGAACGCGACTTTTTCAAGTTTGTAATTTTTTGGGGCATTTACTCGCGTTGTGTTTACGTTTGCCGGCGACCTTTTGCATTTTCTAGTCACTGTACGGTCGCAGCAGCGCAGTAAGGACGCCACCCGGTCTGACAGGGGCATAAGGAATCGTGCTTAATATGATAGGATCGTACGAAGTGTATAAGGGCCAAATAAAAAAAAAAAAATTTAAGTCCTAATTAGAAGATGGTTTGCCCCAATTAGAAGATGGTAAGTCCTAATTAGGAAATGGTAAGTCCTAATTAGGACATGATGACGTCATGAAATAGGAGACAGTAGATCCTTTTCTAATTGAGAGATATTAACTCCTACTTCAGACATCTGTCTCCCAAATAGGACTTACCATCTCCTATTTTGGGACCTACCATCTTCTAATTAGGACTCATTATTCACCCAATTAGGGTCGAATAAATTTTAAAGCATTTGCTAATTAAGTCCTAATTAGGACGCAGTATCTCCGATAATTTCCGTTCTGGGGTTACACCCATTGCAGTAAACGGGATAAAGCCTACAGTTTTAACGGATTTAATTTTCAAATTTGGTGTAAAGCACTGGGGTCATTCCGTGTTACGTGACCCTCCTTCGGGCGTTAATCGTATTTGCCCGAAAGCCTATTTTCTTTTTTACAAATTTAATTTATTGGGGTCATGCGAGGACAAAGCCTATCTATATTATGCAGCATCACGCAACTTTTCGGTTTGCATAGTTACACCCCCTCTAGAAGCTACAGTATATATACTGATATTTTTCAAATTGTATGTGAAGCATTGATGGGAAGACAAATCATATCAATATTTCGAAGTCATCCCCTTTCCGAACACGATATGCGTTACACTTTTACCGTGCATGACCTTCATCAAATTTTCAGATCCGTATTTTCCTTTCGGATATAGCTGAAATGAAATTAAATGGGGTTTAACGTCCTACTGTTTTGCTCCGACTGGGTTAATGAAGGCGGTAATGCGCCATATAGTGTGCTATGAGGGAAATTTTGCCCGGGCAGCGGCACTATGGCCTACTTTTATATCGAATTCCAACTGCCGATGGATCTTTTACGTGTACACAAATGTATACACGGTGCCTTGGTTTTTCGTCTCATCCGAACGACTAGCCTCTTTCCTACACCACTGACAAGGGGAACCACGTAGGAAAATCCTTATGAATTTTCTCGGCCAATGCAGGGATCGAACACGCGACTTCCATTCTAGCCGACACTTATAGCTGCTCCGTGGATGCATTTATAAGATTTGCGTGATAATTTATTTTTATTTATTTGGCCCTAATAAAAAGTCCTAATTAGGAGATACTAAGTCCTAATTAGAAGATATTCCCAATTAGGACATACTATCTCCTAATTAGGCTTACTATCTCCTAACTTAGGTAATTAGCACTTCATCTCCTAATAAGGACTTACTGGGAATTTTTCA